CTCTCCCCTGGTTTGTAGTTTTAGTGTAATTTTCTGTGAGAAGAGAAACTGAACAAGTTAATTAAGTCATGACCCAAGTGAGACCAGAGGAACTGAACTGCAGGTGTGGAAACAAGCTAAAAGTAAAAAAGGTTTTTGAAAGGTTCAAAATGGCGTCAGTAGCTCTGATCTGAGGAAACAACTATTTTTTGTTGTTGTTGATTGGTTTCCTGCACCAGGCCGCTCCATGATGCTGTGGAGAATGACCACTTGGAAGTGGTGCGCTTCTTGCTGGCCTGTGGCGCCGACCCAACTCTGACCACCTACTCTGGACATGGACCTCTGGAGATGACCCACAGCGCTGCCATGGAAACCTTCCTGGAAGGTAAGATGAACCCAGACTGTCACAACTATAAATGAGTTCTGTGTTAACGTGTAGAAACACGGAATTCTCCTGAAGCAGTCGGATGCCGTCTCCATGGTAACACCTCTGTGATCTGACTAGTTAAAACATTAATTTTTAATGTTTAACTTATGTCCATAAAATCATCAGTCCTCAAACTCACAGGAGCTCATTACTGAGGAGGAAACTCCAACTTGTGTGGATTTTCTTGTTTATTATTGCAGGTGGAACTCAAAATGTTAGAATATGGTGCAAAAGTTCATTTATGGCCAGTTTTATTTATTTTTGCTTTCATTCCATTCATTGTTTATATAATACATTGAATTTCCCCTAGTCCAAGTGTGTATGTGGGTGTACCTGTGTGTAAGTGTGCATGTCTGCGTAGGTATCTGTGTTTGTGTGCTTGCATGCATGTGTTTGTGTGTGTGTGTGTGTGTGTGTGTGTGCGTGCGTGTTTGGCAGCCTGTCTGATTACCATTCGCTGCCCGTGTTTGTTCTCGCCGTCTCTTTCTTCCTCTGCTCTCCAGAGGAGTTTAATGAGCCTTGGCTGCTGAATCCCGTAACAGCTTACTGACACACACACACTCACTCGCTCTCTCACACACACAAACACACACACACACATGCCTGCCAGCATCCTTCTGCTCAACACCGAGCATCACGGCAATGAGTCTGCACGGTCTGAACACAAACACTCATCCTCCTCTCCACATCTCTCTCCGCTTGTGGCTCCATTGTTTTCAGCTCACTGCCCAGGTCTTCTCTTATTGTTTGGCTCTATAATCGACTATGAGTCTTTCTGCCTGCAGACTATCTGTCTGACATCCAGGGAAGGTCAGAGGGTGATCCGGGAATCTGCTGGGAGTTCTACGGCAGCTCGGTGTGCGGTTAGTTCACACACAAACACAACACTAGTGTTATAGAGGTGGAGATGAGGGCAGGAAGACACTTCACCTGCACCTGCCACAGGTACAGAGTAACACCAGTTAGAAGAACTAGTGTCAGTGACTTTCTAGCAATCCTCATACTGAGCAAGCATTTGGTGACAGTGGAGAGGAAAACTCCCTTTTAACCGGAAGAAACCTCCAGAGTATCCCGTCTCAGTATAAGCAGCCATCCTCCACGACTCACTGGGGAGAGCACACATGCGTGCACGCGCGCACGCACGCACACACACACACACACACACACACACCAAGTAGTGTTTCTACGGTTACATTGAGATGTCTTAGTAAATATTCTATTTGGTGAGAGATAAACTTTATTGTAGTTATCCTAGTGAATCTATAATTAAACAGGTAAACTAGTAGTAGCACATTCAATGTCAAGGAAAGTAAAGTGTTATTATCAGGAGAGGGAGAATGTTTAAGTGGTTAGCAGCAGTGTGCTAGACGATGGCCCCCTCCATGAGGCCACCACAGCTCAGCAGAACATCGTTGTAGCTTCTTCTGGGGAGAAAAACACTTAGAGAAAAAAAAATTAAGTTAACAGCTGAAATAGCAGGAAATATTAAAGTTAGAGCAGATTGTAGAACAAAGTAGTCGAGTGTGAAAAGTGGTCAGTATGTCCTCCAGCAGTCTAAGCCTATAGCAGTATAACTACAGAGATAACTGGATAACCTAGCCTTTAGATGGAGGCGTGTCGGAGTCAGGGCAAAGGAGAGCCAGGTGTACTGACTGTACACTCCACCTCCCTCTACTCCCCCACTTGTCCTGATCTGGGCTAACATCAGATTTTAACCATAGGCCCTATCAAATAATTATGTTTTAAGCCTAGTCTTAAAAGTAGACAAGGTGTCTGCCTCACGGACTAAAGCTTGGAGTTGGTCCCACAAGAGAGGAGCCTGATAGCTAAAAGATCTGCCTTCCATCCTATTTTTAGATATTCTGGGAACCACCAGTAAACCTGCAGTCTGAGAGCGAAAGGCTCGGTTAGGAACGTATGGAACAATCAGGTCACTGATGAATGATGGAGCTTGATTGTTAAGAGCTTTATATGTGAGAAGGAGGATCTTATAATAGTACCAGAACCGTCGGAAGCAAAGCAAACCTGAATAAATGTGTTTTGTTGCTCCTCCAGAGCCGCCTAGTGAAGGTGAAGTGTACAACATCCTGGCCGACCCTCCAGGACCAGAGGAGGACGAGGAGGATGAGGACGACTGCATGGATGAGGAGCACAGAGCAAGACGGGAGGTCTTTGAGTTTGAGCTTTCTGATCGACCACTGCTGCCGTGCTACAACATCCAAGTGTCGCTGTCCCAGGGGTGAGTCAGAAACCCTCCCCCTACAGGTGTAAGTCAACCCCACCCACCCCCGCAGGTGTCGCTATCAAAGACACATGCTAACAAACTCAAAAATGTTGGAACTAAACCTAAAAACTGATCAAACATTTGGCATAAAAACATCTGGTGAACATTTAATAATAATTCTAAAATAGGGAGGATATTGTCAGAATCATCAGCATGACTGAGTGGTATTAGTTCTGTTACCGCAGGAACCAGTGATTGACCTGAATATTTAAAGGAGGCCTAATTTACTCATAACACAAATTAGAACATTCTGTAGACGATAAGAGAACGTGTTTAGAAATTTTTCGCACAAAATCGCTCACACATGAAGAGATCTTTATTCACAACAGTTTCAGTTCCTTCCAGAATGATAGTGTCACTTTACTGAAAACAAGCTGCTGTTGGCCACGCCCACACATCCCCTGATTGGCTATTATGAAGTGAAGAGCTCTTATATCTGGGAGGGGCTCAGAGTAGAGCTGCTGCTCCTCCACATCTACAGCAGAAGCCTCCTTAAGTGTTGACGGGGGGGATGCTAATTTACCTTATCGTGATATCACAATCGGAGGCGTTTCAACGGCTCAGACACACATGTTTTCTAAAACCAAACACTGACAGAAAATGGATGGAAGGTTTTTGTTCACAGCTGTTTATGGAGGCAGCAGAGACCCACATGGCAGCAAAAAGATGCAAAAAAATGAGTTTGCATAATGTGTTTCCATGAAAGTGTAACTCAGGCCCCGCCCACACCATACAGAATGCTTTTCTGCTGTGTTTACGTCACTATTCGCCAATCTGAGTTTGTGGTGAGAAAAACAATCACTTTAAAAACTCAGTGACTTAACAGCCTGTTTTACTCATCTCCATTATATTTATTTTCAACTAAACAATTTATCCGATTTATGAAGGAGCTGGATTCATGTGGGCGGGGCCTAACCACTTAGATCAGCTAATTAATATCCAATCAAAACTGGGGCTAAAGCCACCAGGTCCAGATCTGGTTTAAAGGCTTCAAGAAGCTGAGCAGGACAAAGCCAACTAGAGGAAGACCACACACACACACACACACACACACACACACACACACACACACACACACACACACACACACACACACACACACACACACACACACACACACACACGTGAGCTGGCTGCTGACGGGTTGTTAAACAGCTCGGTGAAACATGTCGCCGCCCGGCGGCCTTGTTTCCAGGAAGAGCCATTAATATGACATCAGACACCTCTAAGGTAAAGAGCGGTGGGGTGGGGGGTGAAAAAGAGAGGGAGGAGAATGGAGAGGATGAGAGAGCCACAGAGAGAAAGAGGAGAGGGAGTAGAGAGAGAAGGAGAGGTGGAGGGCAGCGACAGGGAGGAAGACAGAGTGGAGGCCAATTAGCTGCGTCGCCACGGCGATGCCATCCTCGTTAACAACCTCTCCCTCTGTCCTCCTCCACTTCCACCAGGGATCTTTTCTCCTCACACTGCTCTTCATCCTCCCTCCTCCTCCTCACCCTCTCCTCAGCCTAATTGGTGTCTTAGTGTGAGAACAACAAGCAGGAATGTGAAGAAAAAAAAAGAGTGTGAATGAAACTGTGTGTGTGTGTGTGTGTGTGTGTGTGTGTGTGTGTGTGTGTGTGTGTGTGTGTGTGTGTGTGTGTGTGTGTGTGTGTGTGTGTGTGCACACATGGGGCGCTGTCACTCTAGAATAAAACCTTGTGGTTTCTTTTGGATCATCTGAGTTTTTGGAGTTGACTCTTCAGAAGTCTTCTCTACAGTCCTCTAGAATTGAATCTAACTCCCCCTTTTTTCTCCAGGCCCAGGAACTGGCTCCTCCTTGCCGACGTCCTCGGCCGTCTTCGGATGACTTCTCGTTCCTTCTGCCGTCTCTTCCCGCAGCTCAACATCCAGTCCATCCCTGAAGATGAGTTCTACCGGCAGGCGTCACTGTCTCTGCTCCTCACGGGTCCTGACGAGCAGGAGCTGGCCTCCTTCAGACCAGATGTTAAGGACCTGCTGGAGCTGGTGGAGGCCACACCCGAGCTGGCTGGCATGCTGGGCTCCTCTCTTGAGTTCGTGGACAGTCGATGGCACTCACAGGAAGCGTCTCCACCGCCATCACCCACACCACCATCAGGACCACAACGGCATCAGCCAGGACCTGGTGCCAGAGTCAGACCTGCAGAGTCCAGCTCAGGATGTAAACATCCCACTGCTAAATGTAACTCCAACATCTGGGAAGATGGTAGCACTGTTGGGATTCCTACTTTGGGAAAGCAAGCCAGCATCTGGAAACCACAGAGACAGCAGAACCAGAACCCTGGGATCAATGGGTCTGCCAGCCCAGATGCTAGAGGACTTTAGGAATAGGAACCAGAAACATGAAGGAACCATCAAGTCCAGTTCAGTAGGAGGCGGCAACATGTGGGAGCCTCAGTAGCTATGATGTTGGAGTGCTGGGAATTCTGAAATTACAGGATCACAACCAGCTCAACTTTGGAAAAAAAATTTTGGGAATTCTAATTGTTCCCATTTAAAGGGGGGAGGTGACCTCCAACATCTGGAAGAACCAAAGCAGTAAAGCAGGAAGTGCTCTGGACTCTCCACACCCACCTGCTGTGGTTGAGTCATGTATGAAACCTGACACCTCCATGAAACCGGGCCTCTGGGATCACCGAGGAGTAAAGAGAGCAGGTGGAACCACGGCAGCACCCAAAAGAGAACCTAATTCCTGTGAGGGCTGCAGCCCGGCAGGTAAGACCCTAAAGGTGGACACTGCATGGTCCAAGAACCTGACCAACATCAGAGTCCACATCAGGGACCTCGTGACGAAGGTTTGTGGTATTTCTAAAGATAGGAGGAAAGGACTGGGAAAGGGTCCCAGAGCTAAAACTAGGTCCTGAGAGGATGAAACACCATCAGGAACATCTGGATTGGGACAAGTCATCAGTAAACTCCAAATGATCTCTGTCATGGTGTTTCCTGTAAACTGTAAATAACTTATGTATGAACCATCAGTTCTGTGGTTCTTGTACCTACGGTCTGCTGTAAACACACGTCTGTGGTGTCGCTTCTGTCCAGGCTGTCTTTTCCAAACCAGTTGTTAATAAACATGAAGATGTAGGACAAACTTGTGAATCATTTGGCTTTATTTTTCAGATCTACGATCAGCAGATGACCAGGGTTAGGCCTCGTTCACAGAACGGATGTGTTCCCACTCCATACTGACTCTGCATAAACCAAAGATCATTTAGTCCAGCCAGGGCATTCACACTGGCTGTGGTGTGGATCCAGATGCTCTGGAAAGTTTTCACGTGGATTCTAGTTTTTCCAGACACCACATGTGGATGGATCATCATGAAGATAAAGAAATGACCCAAGCCAGACGAGAAGATGTTCAGCTCAAACCGAAGTCTGCTGGTTGTGATCTGGTCTGATTATTATAAACAAGAACCTTCTGAGTCAGATTTTCAACTGGTGAGCAGTTCTGAAGTTGAGCTGAATCCTCAAGCATGTTTTAGTTCAGGAACAGATTATTGATCTGGTGAAGAAATGTTTCTGCTCAGTGTGAAGAACCGGACTGGAACGTCTGAATAAGACCGTCAGAACATCTAAATATGTGAAGGAAACTAAAAAGAGATGTTTAGGAAACACTTCCTGTAGGTAGAACTGCTAAGTGCTGTAGCTCATCTCGGGCGGCAGAAGCGCCTGACCTGGGCTACAGAGAAGCAGCACTGGACTGTTGCTCAGTGGTCCAAAGAACTTTTTTCGGATGAAAGCAAATTTTGCATGTCATTCGGAAATCAAGGTGCCAGAGTCTGGAGGAAGACTGGGCAGAGGGAAATGCCAAAATGCCTGAAGTCCAGTGTCAAGTACCCACAGTCAGTGATGGTCTGGGGTGCCATGTCAGCTGCTGGTGTTGGTCCACTGTGTTTAATCAAGGGCAGGGTCAATGCAGCTAGCTATCAGGAGATTTTGGAGCACTTCATGCTTCCATCTGCTGAAAAGCTTTATGGAGATGAAGATTTCATTTTTCAGCACCACCTGGCACCTGCTCACAGCGCCAAAACCACTGCTAAATGGTTTACTGACCATGGTATTACTGTGCTCAATTGATCTGCCAACTCTCCTGACCTGAACCCCATAGAGAATCTGTGGGTTATTGTGAAGAGAAAGTTGAGAGACGCAAGACCCAACACTCTGGATGAGCTTAAGGCTGCTATTGAAGCATCCTCGGCCTTCATAACACCTCAGCAGTGCCACAGGCTGATTGACTCCATGCCACGCCGCATTGAAGCAGTTATTTCAGCAAAAGAATTCCCGACCAAGTATTGAGTGATTAACTGAACATAATTATTTGAAGGTTGACTTTTTTGTATTAAAAACACTTTTCTTTTATTGGTCGGATGAAATGTGCTAATTTTTTGAGATTGGAATTTTGGGTTTTCATGAGCTGTGTGCCAAAATCACCAATATTAGAAACAATAAAAGGCTTGAACTACTTCAGTTGTGTGTAATGAATCTAATATACAGTGGGGCAAAAAAGTATTTAGTCAGCCACCGATTGTGCAAGTTCTCCCACTTAAAATGATGACAGAGGTCAGTAATTTACATCATAGGTACACTTCAACTGTGAGAGACAGAATGTGAAAAATAATCCATGAATTCACATGGCAGGGTTTTTAAAGAATTTATTTGTAAATCAGGGTGGAAAATGAGTATTTGGTCAAGAACAAAAATTCAACTCAATACTTTGTAACATAACCTTTGTTGGCAATAACAGAGGTCAAACGATTACTATAGGTCTTTACCAGGTTTGCACACACAGTAGCTGGTATTTTGGCCCATTCCTCCATGCAGATCTTCTCGAGAGCAGTGATGTTTTGGGGCTGTCGCCGAGCAACACGGACTTTCAACTCCCTCCACAGATTTTCTATGGGGTTGAGGTCTGGAGACTGGCTAGGCCACTCCAGGACTTTCAAATGCTTCTTACGGAGCCACTCCTTTGTTGCCCGGGCGGTGTGTTTGGGATCATTGTCGTGTTGGAAGACCCAGCCACGTTTCATCTTCAAAGCTCTCACTGATGGAAGGAGGTTTTGGCTCAGAATCTCACGATACATGGCCCCATTCATTCTGTCCTTAACACGGATCAGTCGTCCTGTCCCCTTAGCAGAAAAACAGCCCCAAAGCATGATGTTCCCACCCCCATGCTTCACAGTAGGTATGGTGTTCTTGGGATGCAACTCAGTATTCTTCTTCCTCCAAACACGACGAGTTGAGTTTATACCAAAAAGTTCTACTTTGGTTTCATCTGACCACATGACATTCTCCCAATCCTCTGCTGTATCATCCATGTGCTCTCTGGCAAACTTCAGACGGGCCTGGACATGCACTGGCTTCAGCAGCGGAACACGTCTGACACTGCAGGATTTGATTCCCTGCCGTTGTAGTGTGTTACTGATGGTGACCTTTGTTACTGTGGTCCCAGCTCTCTGCAGGTCATTCACCAGGTCCCCCCATTCTGGGATTCTTGCTCACCGTTCTCATGATCATTTTGACCCCACGGGATGAGATTTTGAGTGGAGCCCCAGATCGAGGGAGATTATCAATGGTCTTGTATGTCTTCCATTTTCTGATAATTGCTCCCACAGTTGATTTTTTCACACCAAGCTGCTTCCCTATTGTAGATTCACTCTTCCCAGTCTGGTGCAGGTCTACAATTCTTTTCCTGGTGCCCTTCAAAAGCTCTTTGGTCTTGGCCATAGTGGAGTTTGGAGTCTGACTGTTTGAGGCTGTGGGCAGGTGTCTTTTATACAGATAATGAGTTCAAACAGGTGCCATTAATACAGATAACGAATGGAGGACAGAAACGCTTCTTAAAGAAGACGTTACAGGTCTGTGAGAGCCAGAGATTTTCCTTGTTTGAAGTGACCAAATACTTATTTTCCACCCTGATTTACAAATAAATTCTTTAAAAATCCTGCCATGTGAATTCATGGATTTTTTTTCCACATTCTGTCTCTCACAGTTGAAGTGTACCTATGATGTAAATTACTGACCTCTGTCATCATTTTAAGTGGGAGAACTTGCACAATCGGTGGCTGACTAAATACTTTTTTGCCCCACTGTATATGAAAGTCTAATGTTTATCAGTACATTACAGACAATAATGAACTTTATCACAATATGCTGATTTTTTTCGGGCCTGTACTCCCCATGCATGCTACACACTGGAGTGGTTTTTAGGCAGAAGATTCACTAGAGGGCAGCAGAGTTCAGGCTGAACAAATCAGTCCTGGACAGACCTCCACTTCTCCTTCACTACATTCAAACTGGTGTCCAGTCTCCTCCCAGTCCTTCCAGCTGTTCTTTAGTTCTCTGTTCCTACGCACAGGCCAGGCAACATCATGAGTTTAGAATTACTTACACATTAGAACAGCATCTTATCTGAAAGTTCTCGTTTCTGTCTTCTTTGTTTCCTGTGCAGCACTGCCACCACTATTTACCAGATGTTCACCTGTGCAGAGCTGCTGAGAGGCTCAAAGCTGAAATACGTCTCTGATGACCCGTCTGATTAAAACTGAAGGATACATGCTGTTTGCTACAGAAATAAAACTGAGGACAAAGTAATCCTAAAGAGACAGCAGCTTGTAGAACCTCCTGAGCAGCAAGAACTTAAGACTTTTCTGACAGTTTGGTCCACTCTTCTTTACAACGTAGATTCAGGTTCTGCAGGTTTGTAGACATTGGTTTCATCTCAGCTCTCTTCAGTCAGGTTCAGGTCTGGACTCTGAACCCCTGCAGAACCGTGATTCTGTTGTAGATCTGCTGCTGTGGTTGGAGTCTGATGGAAACATCTGATTCATGCTTTTTCATTCATGCTGTGCTGAATGAAGCATCCTGGGATTTTTAAACACTTTCTCTCTTTCAGGTTGATTCCAGTTGAGAAAGTTAAGACAGTTTCCCAGTCTGACACAACTCTAGGAACCACAGCGATGGTCCACATCTGGAAGAACCTTGGTGATGTGTTATTGTTGATGACACCAGAGATTCAAGGTCTCTTGGAGACATGATGGAGACATCTCCTGACAGCAAATGACCCCTCCACCCCCACCCCATCACTTCCATACCACCCAGCCCTACCACACAATAATTTCCCATTTTATTATCTAACTCTATAACATAACAGTGACGATGGAGAGAAATGGGTCCTTGTCAACTGTTGATCCTCCACTAGAGGGTAGTGGACATGAGATCTCACCATCAGCGTTGCCATGGAAACATTCAGAGACCATAAGGAGGAAGTTGCTTATAACCTGTAGTAGGAAGAAGATGGACTCAAATACTGGGAAACTGAAGCGGTTATGGATCCACTAGAACACTTGAGTCAGAACCAGAACACCCCAGACCCGATCAGAGATCCAACCCTAATTCTTTACAGCATGTTGGTTCCATCTGTGACCTCCAGACCCTCATCTCAACAGCTTTAATGGGTCAAAAACATCCTGAAACCCTTCCTGAAGGCTCCATTCACCTGTAGATAAACTAATCTAATCCCTGCTGGGTTTGTTGGTTCTGGTTGGTTTTGAACACCTTCATCTGTGAGACGTTCCTCAGGAGAGAAAAAGGAATTCAGTTTAAAAATTCAGTCCAGTTTATTTAGTTTTTATCCAGTTTCAGGTAAACATCAGCCAATCAGATCAGCCCGTGTAGTTCCGGTTTAGTCTGACAACAACTTCTGGTTTTCAGGTGTGTTCATGTTCAGTAGTTTCATTTTCTAAAGGTTTCAACCAGAAGGAGAAAAGTTTTCTGTTAAATAAAAACAAACATCCACATCTGAAATGAACTGGACCAGCTGGTTCTGGTGCTGACGGTTCTTTTAGACACCAGATGTTCTTGTTGTGCTCTCAGCAGCTACAGAGTTTGAATTTTCTGCATGAAACGAGACGAAGGATGTTGAGACAGAATAAAAAATAAATAAAAAAACGGACCAATGAGAGGAACTTAGTGCAAAGACCCCAGCCACACAATAAATCAAGAGTTGGACAAAGACCTGGCAGAGACCACACAGGTTGTTCTTCCTATCTTAGCTCATTAGCTACAAAATGAACCTCTTAGGTTCTGGAGCCAATTAGACAAGAACACATGTAAATTCTTAGGACAATAGGGTCATTAGATTAGGTCCAGGTCTGAATAAACAGAATTAGAAATATGAATCTTGTCTGAAAAAGTCCATCAGATCCTGTGGTGTCCCTCAGGGTCAGCTCTGGTTACTCCTAAGTTTGACTGTCTAGTTTCTTTTATTTAGTTTATTTCCAGTTTGGTCCTCTGGTTCCAATTAGGTCCAGTTCAGCTCCTCACCAGATAAGTTTGTAATTTTCTCACCTGGCCCACATTCAGTAACCAACCTCCTATTCCCACACCTGGATCTGTCCTGCTAGTCCGGTTGATTAGTTTGGTTCCTGTTGGTACCTCCTTGTTCCTAATTGTAGTTCGGTTTATCATCATTACAGCCCACTTGGGTTTTATCCTCTGTTTCTATCTTAAACACCAAATCTTTACATAAACATGAAGGTTTAAAAAAAACACATCCTATTGGGGAGAAAATAACTTAAAAACAAATAAATACTAACGAGCAAAGATGCAACAAGTAAACACATTGCAGAACTTTGAAGGTGCATTTACAGCTATACCAGCGAGGACCTTGTGGGTAACCTTTGGGTCTTTCCGTTCTCATAAACCATTTAAAGCTGCAAGAACAAATTTGGAAAACAAATTAGCTTAAAACATTTTTTCATGCCAAGCCCGCCCTGTTAAAAAAAACACACAGTGAGCAGCTGCATTTAAAAGTTAATCAGTTAACGTTAACATAATATAGCAATAAATATATTTTGGAGATAAAAAAAAATAATAATTAAGAAATTGTTTTTCTTGGATTTGTCTAAAATCCTCCAACAAAAACACATTTTGGACCACCTGGTTGTCATTTTCGCCAGACCGCCACACTTCTCTGGGACCTCCATTGATTACGTACCCCTGTATTTAGCCAGCAACTCTTTAGACTCAATAATATCAGAGGAGAAACAGCCGTCTGCTACCCCTTCACCTTTAGGACAAACTACCAGAGTCCCAAAAATAAATACACCATTTACAGTCACGGACAACAAAAGACGTTCAGGACCTACAAAATGGAGAGTGGTGTTTAGCACCGTCTTTTGTCCAGCGTCGCGGGTTTCCGGTTCCGGCAGAGGTGAATATACCCGAGGGGAGGGGTGAGTGTTCTGCTACCGCATTTGCGTTAAAAGCTAACTTGTTTGCTGATTTGTTACAACAGCTTTACTCTGATTCTGGTTTGAGCTTTTAAACTTGTTCATCGAAGGAGCTTTTGATTGCAGAACCAGAACTTCTAAAACGATACCGAGTCATCAAGATTTGTGTTTTCTGAGAGATTTGTAGTTAATGAGCTAAAGTGAGGTTGAAAGCACCCGTGTGGACATATTCCTGTACAGAAATCAGAACAGGGTCAGTTCCTGCAGCCGATCTCCTCTTTATAGCGGTTGGTCAGCGTGTTGGCTTTGAGAGTCAGTTTAGACAGAATAGTGTGGAGTCCGGTCAGGTGGAAGTGGAATTGTTTTTCCAGGTCGTCCTCCTCCACTGCCGCTCTCAGTGCCTCTGGTACTTCTGGTACCTCTGGTACCACCTCTTTGGGTCGCTCTTCACCCTGCAAGACGCCCCACTCGATGTCATTCCGGATCGACTTGAGTAGAACGTATGAGCTGTACATGTCCCCATCCTGGGGGAAGAAGGTTCTGCTGGTGTCTGTCTCTGGAGCCTTTGGGTCTTCGCCGTCATCCAGCGGGACATCCCGCAGCAGGCTCGGTACCATCACCGTCTGATCCATGTTGTTGACCGCACCGATGAAACGGTTCATGGCATTGATGAGCGAGTTCTTCTGGTTGTAGGAATCAGAGATCTGCATCATGGTGAATCAGCAAAGCCCGTTCTGCTCACCTCGGTAGGTCCAAACTTAGCCTTCTAATGCTCTTTGGAGGATTAATGCAAGGCCTGATCCTGGGTCAACTCTCAGCTTGCTATTGATGCTAAACGGGCACTCACCACTCCCATATCACAGAACCAGCTTCCTGGTTCCAGACTCCGGCCCGGTGCTGCAGGACTTCAGATGAGGATCTCCTCAGACCTGGAAAAGGAGAAGAAAGGAGGGATGATGCAGCTTCAGAATGATCTGCAGGCTCACCCTTTCAAAATAAAAGCCAGGAAAAAAATTCCGGAAGTGTTCACCAGGCTAACACTGTTAGCACATGAGCCTGCAGTGCTCAGAGGATGTCGGAGTATAAACGCTTGTTTTAGTCACCCCCAATCTGTAAAATGTTGGTTTGAAAGCCAGAACATGTCAGTAGCTGGTGATAATTAACGATTAAACAAAGAGATAATCAAACCCACCACTTTTTCTAGATTTACGTCTATATTTGAACAGCTGCTTCACTTGGGATACTTTTTTGATATTTTAATATGAACACGCGCGCGCGCACGGACACACACACATACACACAGTGTTTTATAAGGGGTTTGCTAGCTACATCTAAGTGGAGCAGAGACCTCAGGCTGTAATCCAGACTATTAGACCCAGAAAGAAGCTTCATTGATAAAATGGACACCCAGATTTAATCTGACGGTAACGGCTCTTTGGTGTGACCCGGAGCGTGTTCGTTAACGGGATGATCTATTGTTTACAACAGCACGAAAGAAAAACGCATGTCCGATAATGGATCTAATCGTCTAAAGGCTCCGTGTTGCTCAACTGAATAGAGACAAATACACATAATGTATGCATCACCGGGAATGTTGACGTTATTAACGGTGATTCCACGATAATGTCTTCATAGTAACCGGATCAAACCACAGTGTGGCCGTCTTACATATAGGCTACCCGCCCGAGGGGAAGCTAATTCCGGTTACCGCTATCTCCGGTCCGTCAGCAACATTTTACACAAACCCCAAGGCGGGGATGATACCGGCGCTCTTACCGTTACTCGGTAATGTCCGCGGATGCTGATGGTGTGTGAACCACCGGTGACTCACCGTATAAAGGTCCGGTAGATGAGGAAAACCGGTAGGTCAGGGGGTTGCTGTCTCAACAAGGGTGGCAACGATGGAGCGGCTGAGCGGGCCGGGCCTAAACATCAGGAAGCAGAGAGACGCAGCCAATCACCGCCCAGATACTACCAACCAGATGGTACGTGACGTCACGCCTTCATTGGAAAATGTTGCAACAGATTATATTTTTTAACATTTTAACCAAAACATTTACGCATTTTTAAGTTATTATTTACAAAAACGTCCCAGCTCCACCAGGACTGTTACACTGCTCCATGTGCTGTCTGAATGGACGGGATACACCATATAATTCCTTCCAACACGTCTGCTTCTCATCGCAGGCCTTTTATCATAGTATCATTTCTCCCCACATATATATTATACAGACAAATCCCTATTTATGGAATCATGGCTTTAATTTATATCATATATGTGACTCAGTTTATTAAAGATGGATAATTTGTCAGACGTGCTGGAGCGCGAAGCGGAGGTAAGGATCCAAACACTGGTGAAGAAGGCAGGCAGACAGGAACGGTTAAAGGCTTTAATGATAACACACGCTGACACAGAAACAATGATCCAACACGAGACAAAGAACTGAAGGGGTTTAAATACAAGAGGGTTGGGAACTTGGGTGATTGGAAAACGAGAGGCAGGTGGGAGCAATTAACAGAGACAAGACGCTATAAGGGGAGACAGGAAAGGGTGTGACAGTAACCCCCCCACCCCCCAAAGGGCGGATTCCAGATGCCCACAGGAACAGAGAGCAGGGCGGGAGGAGGGGGACCCGGAGGGAGGGCCGAGATGGACCGAGGGCCCGAGGAAGGGGAGGCGGGGAGCAGTAGAGTCCGGGGACCTGCACCTGGGGCAGAGGAGGCGACGACGGGCTCTTGGGGCCCTGCGTCTGTGGCAGAGGAGGCGGTGACAACGGGCTCTTGGGGGCCTGTGTCTGTTGCAGAGGAGGAGGCGGTGACGACGGGCTCTTGGGGGCCTGCGTCTGGAGCAGAGGAGGAGGCGATGACGGACTCTTGGGGGCCTGCGTCTGTGGCAGAGGAGGCGGTGACAACAGGCTCTTGGGGGCCTGCGTCTGTGGCAGAGGAGGCGGCGACGACGGGCTCTTGGGGGCCTGCTTCTGGGGCAGAGGAGGAGGCGATGACGGACTCTTGGGGGCCTGCGTCTGTGGCAGAGGAGGCGGTGACGACAGGCTCTTGGGGGCCTGCGTCTGTGGCAGAGGAGGAGGCGACGACGGACTCTTGGGGGCCTGCGTCTGTGGCAGAGGAGGCGGTGACGACAGGCTCTTGGGGGCCTGCGTCTGTGGCAGAGGAGGCGGCGACGACGGGCTCTTGGGGGCCTGCTTCTGGGGCAGAGGAGGAGGCGACGACGAGCTCTAGGAGGCCTGCAGCTGGGACAGAGGAGGAGACGAGGATGGACTCTTGGGGACCCGTGCCTGATGAGGGCAGGACTGGTGGTGACCGGAGGCAGAAATGCCGGAGGAGACGTCCTTGACTTCTGGACTGGAGGCGGCGGCGTCGGCCTCTGGGCTGGAGGCGGCGGCGACCACGGGACTGGAGATGGCGGAGACGTTGGACTGGAGGGAGCGTCGACCCCTGGACACGAAAGAGCGTCGACCCCTGGACACGAAAGTGCGTCGACCCCTGGACACGAAAGAGCGTCGACCCCTGGGCACGAAAGAGCGTCGACCCCTGGACAGGAAAGAGTGTCGACCCCTGGACTGGAAAGAGCGTCGACCCCTGGACTGGAAAGAGCATCGACCCCTGGAGTGGACGAGGCGTCGACCTCTGGAGTGGACGAGGCGTCGACCTCTGGAGTGGACGAGGCGTCGACTTCAGAACACGAGGATGCGTCGACTTCAGAACACGAGGAGGCGTCGACTTCAGAACACGAGGAGGCGTTGATTCCAGAACACAAGGAGGCGTCGATTCCAGAACACGAGGAGGTGTCGACTTCAGAACACGAGGAGGCGTCGACTTCAGAACACGAGGAGGCGTCGACGTCAGAACACGAGGAGGCGTCGACCTAGGAACAGGAGGAGGCGTCGACCTAGGAACAGGAGGAGGCGTCGACCACACGACCGGAAGAGGCGTCGACCACACGACCGGAAGAGGCGTCGACCACACGACTGGAAGAGGCGTCGACCACACGACCGGAAGAGGCGTCGACCACATGACTGGAAGAGGCGTCGACCACACGACTGGAAGAGGCGTCGACCACACGACTAGAAGAGATGTCGACCACACGACTGGAAGAGGCGTCGACCACATGACTGGAAGAGGCGTCGACCACACGACTGGAAGAGGCGTCGACCACACATCGACTTCTGTTCCGGCGGCGTCGATTCCTGGTCCGGAGGCATCGGCTTCTGGACCGTCGACTTCTGGTCCAGGAGAGTCGACTTTTGGTCCGTCGACTTCTGGTCCGTCAACTTCTGGTCCGGGGGCGTCGACTTCTGGTCCGTCGACTTCTGGTCCGTCGACTTCTGGTCCGTCGACTTCTGGTCCGTCGACTTCTGGTCCATCGACTTCTGGTTCGGAGGTGTCGACTTTTGGTCCGGAGGCGTCGACTTCTGGTCCGGAGGCGTCGACTTCTGGTCTGTCGACTTCTGGACCCTCGACTTCTGGTCCGGGGGCGTCGACTTCTGATCCGGGAGCGTCGACTTCTGGACCGTCAGCCTCTGGACCGCCGGCTTCTGGACCGCCGGCTTCTGGAGTAGAGGAGAAGCTGCTGCAGACAGGACCGCTTGGACAGGCTGGACCGGATGCGGTGCGACCTCCGGGACCACCGGTGGAACTGGATGCGATTGAACTGGTGGTGCTGGAAACTAGAAGAGGAGGGAGGATAGAGTGTCCAGTTGGAGCTCCTGGAGACTGAGGCTCTGATGGAGTTGGGCAAGCTCAGCTCGGAGACCGGCGAGCTCTGCTGGGTGGACTGCAGGCTTGCTCCTCTGGCTCTGAGACGAGGGAGCTGCTGGCTGAACTGAAACCCTCTCCTGGTGATTCGGGGAAGACAGGTTGTCCAGGTGGGACTCCTTGAGGCTGACGAGCTGACGGATCTGGCCAAGCGCCGCCTGCAGATCTGCAAGCTCTGTCAGCTGGGCTGTGGGCGTGGTTCCTCCGCCTGTAGATGACGGAGGCGCGGATTGGACCGGTGACGGGACTGCTGGTCCGACTGGGGGCGGGTCCAAGCAGGTGCGCCGAGCCGGGGTAGCGGCGAGCTCGCGGCTCCGTCCTGGGACACAGGATTGCGGTGGAGCCCGGCATCCTTCCCCACGCCGTGGGCCAGATCTGGGGGAGCACACAGCCAGTCTGGTGCCCATGAAGCTGGAGCGATCCGGAATCGTCTCCCGGTCCAACCTCTCATCTGGCTCCGGAAGGGTGGAGAGGAACGCCGCGGCTGAAGCCCGGTGACGGCGTCTGCGGCGAGGCGATGCCAGGGGAGGAAAAGAAGCCGGCCGGTGGTCCGAGGAAAGAAATTGAAGCAGGCACTCCCAGGGGAGAATCTCCCCGCTGGATCCTTTACTGGGTTGGATCATTCAGTCAGACGTGCTGGAGCGCGAAGCAGAGGTAAGGATCCAAACACGGGTGAAGAAGTCAGGCAGACAGGAACGGTTAAAGGCTTTAATGATAACACACGCTGACACAGAAACAATGATCAAACACGAGATAAAGAACTGAAGGGGTTTAAATACAAGAGGGTGGGGAACTTGGGTGATTGGAAAACGAGAGGCAGGTGGGAGCAATTAACAGAGACAAGACTAAACCATAAGGGGAGACAGGACAGGGTGTGACATAATTATTCTTGTATGAAGGGGTTCTATCAGAATTTTACCTTCCTATCACCTCTGGAGGCTACACTAGAGTTTGGGGGGGATATCATTGGGAATCTGTTTACTGTTGGTCATGTCCTAAACCATACCTTCAATTAGGCAGCCAATCAATCAATCAATCAATCAATCAATCAATCAATCAATCAATCAATCAATCAATCAATCACTCAATCAATCAGAGTTTTATTCCTCCAAATATTGTTTCGCATTGGGGACATTTATAGACAGCATGAGTTTTAAAAGGTCTGTCTCCTTCTCAGTGTTTGATAACTAATAGAGATAAAGGAATTTAATTTAACTTACTGGGACAATAGTGGCAGAGGAGTTAATGGCCTGTCTTATAAGTGTTGCATGGTGGAGTCCTGCTCACTTTGTTGTAGTTGTGATAATGATAAATAGCCTGCACCAGTATTGTGCCTCCAAAACACTTTACACTATAGCGAGTCATTCATCCGCTCACACACTGATGACGATGATGATGATGAGCCGGACTGTGGCCAGCTGCCCTGGGGCTCACTGGCAGGGGTGAGGCTGCTCAGCACCAGCAGGAAAGAAGAGTGAGTGTCTTGCCCAAAGACACAACAGCAGGGATCCTTGCAGGGAACTGGGATTGATCCTGCAACCCTCTGATTACTGGACAACCTGTTCTGTCTCCTGAGCTACTGCTGCTTGTCATTGGGCAAGACACTTCCCTCTTCCGGCCTCCTGGTGGGGGTCAGAGGGACCGGTGGCACCTGTGTACAGCAGCCTTGTCTCTGTTAGTGGAGGGTTGTAGAACTCTGAAAGGTTCTATACAAATACAAATGTTTCACAATTTACCATTACTGATAACTTTTAGTAGCCTGGCAAGCCAGACTAAATAAATGTATTATTTAGTCTGGCCATGCTCCAATGACGGCTCTCGGTTGTGGGGCGGGTTCTACCGCTGTCTTTCAAATGATCTCCGCATGCTACTGGACAATGAATGTGACATACTCTTGTTTCACTCTGCTGCATCATCCCACCCACCAGGCATATAAAGTGCCCTGATTGGCCCACAAAGCGGATAAAGCTCTGCGATTTGTTCACTAAGCAGATAGAGCACTATGATTGGCCCACCATTATGGACCAATCACAGCTCTTTATGTGTTTGAAACTCCTCTAGAGAGCTGTGATTGGCTAGCCAGAGTCCTGGTAGGAGCTGCTGAGGTTCCAATGGAGTGTGCCTAGACCATTCTTTGCAAAGCAAGAATTTGGTCTAGTTCACTAGGCTAAACTTTTAGGGATATCGAGCAAAAGTCTGTCCAGAAACACTTACAGTTGCAGTTTTTCTCTGATCATCCTGAAACATGTGTCCATCTGTTTTGACACTGCCCTATTGTCGAGTCCTTCTGCTGTCAAATCTGTAATCTGATCTCAAAACAAACATCCCTGCTTGTTGGACTTACAGGAAACTGTATACAGATTTACAAAAGAATCCTGAAAAGATTAAAAATAATCAATCTGATTGTTATTATTATTACGGCCAAGTTTTATATTCATAAGAAATGTTTTTTGATTGCTCCATGAATGTTTCCTGAATGTTCCCCAAGTGATCGCTGGATGCTTCCTGTGATCCCTGAATTTTTACTGAATGTTCCAGAATTTTTCATTGAACGTTGTGATTAGTTTCTGAATTTTCTCAGAATGTTTCCCAATCATTTATAGATTGTTCCCTCATTGTTACACAATTTTTCCCCAAATAGTTCCTGATTGTAAAAATACCTTATGTGCAATAGTATAAACAGATATTTGTATGATTTGCAACATTACTACCATTACCTTGAAATATAGTGGGGTGTTTTTCACTCTCCCTCTTTTGCTTTACTTACAGCCGTATTTCCTTTCTTCTTTTTTACCTACTATGTGCTCCAGATCCTGAGGGATCAATAAAGTTTAACTGAGTTTAAGTCTGAAAGTTTCCAAATTGTTTACTGAGTATTCCCAAAATGTTCCCTGAATGTTCCCTAATTGTTTGCTGATGGTTCCATGAATGGTTCCCAAAATATCCCACAATGATTCCTCAAATGTTCCTTGACTGTTCCATGAATTTCCACTGAATGTTCTTCAATTGTTTCACAAATGGTTCCTGCATTTTCATTGAAGGCTCCCATCATTTTAATTAAATGTTCTATAAAGGTTGCCCAAATGTTTCTCAAACCTTCCCCAAATGTTCCCTGAATGTCAACCAAATGTTCCTGTAAATGTTACTAAATTATCCCCCGAGTGTTATCTTTCGCTGCGGCTTTTACATCAGATTTATTACAGGAACTCACAGCTTAACTGAAGCCTTTTATTTTTTTTCATCACGAGTAAATGCATCTGAGTGTCTTTAGATAAACTTCACATCATCCTGAAAAGATAACTGAGCAAACAGGAAGTAACCATCTCTTGACGATAATGACAAAAGTCTGGAACTTTAGCACCCTCTGGTGGAAAAAACACACAATACCCCCCCCCCCCCCCCCCACCACTACCACCACCACCACCACCACCACCTACCCCAAAACAAGAAAAGAAAAGAAAAAAAAACAACAAGAATGAGCTGTGTACTCTGGCAGGTTTCCATGGTGATAAACAGCACTGTGGCCTCTGTAAAAGAAAACAAAGGAGGCAGGTCAAACCACGGGCATACTTATCAGGACATTAAAGAATACAGATTTTATGAAGGAGTTTGAGGTCAGACTGGGTGATGACTCACCTGTCAGACCATCTCGTACTGGTTGGTGCTGATGAAGTGAGAGAGAGTGCAGGCCAGAGACATCCCAATCACCTGAAACAGAACATCTCTATCAGCTCAGCTTAGCTCTGTTAATTATAATCGAGTCAAACTTTAGAGGATGAGGAGAAACTGGTACCTGTGAGAAGGCAATGCCAAAGGTCACGCCAGCAATGATTCCCATGTTCTCTTCAATGAAGGAGACCACCACATCATAACAGCCCTGTGGATGAAAAGAGACAGGTGATATATCTCTTTGTCTTCCATTCATCCTCATAGTCCACCCATCTATCCATCCATTCATCCATCCATCCTTCCTTCCATCCATCCCTCCATTAATACAACTTTCATCCAGGAAACTATCCATCCATCATCAATCCCTCCCTCCATCCATCATCCATCCTTCCATCCATCCACCCATCCATCCAAATTTCATCCAGTAAACTATCCATTCATCATCTATCCATCCATCTATCCATCCATCCATACATACATACATCCAAATTTCATCCAGCAACCATCCATCAATCCATCCATCCATCATCCATCAAGCCCTCCATCCATCCCTCCCTCCATCCATCCATCCATCCATCCATCCATCCATCCATCTATCCAACTTTCACCCCATAAACTATCCATCTATCATCTATCCATCCCTCCATCCATCCAACTTTCATCCGGTACACTATCCATCCATTCATACATCCAAATTTCATGCATCATCCATCCATCAATCCATCCCTCCCTCTATTCATCCAACTTTCATCCAGTAAACTATCCATTCATCATCTATCCATCCATCTATCCATCCAAATTTCATCCATCATCCATCCATCAATCCATCCATCCATACATCCAAATTTCATCCATCATCCATCAATCCATCTATCCATCTATCCATCATCCATCCATCTTTCATCCAGGAAACTATCCATCCTCAATCCCTCCCTCCCTCCATCCATCATCCATCCTTCTATCCATCCACCCATCCATCCAAATTTTAGCCAGTAAACTATCCATCCATCCATCCATCCATCCATTCCTTCTTCTGAACCAGTGTACCTAAACTTCTCACCTGTTTATAGATTTTGCGAACGGCCAGAGTTGCATTCTTCAGTTCGGCTCCACTACATTCAGCAAAGGTGACACAACAGCTGGCAGGAATCCCTCCAGAATAAAAATAGGGACTGTTGAACCAGTTGGTGTAGTTATAAACCCCACAGCAATGTAGCTAGAGAGACACAGAAATGGTAGTAAAGTCTAAAGGCTGCTTGTGTGTTATTCCTATGAATAAGAGTATTGTCTGCATATGGTCGGATCTAGAAGGGAGGGAATGTGTCGCATTACAGATCCATAAGGAGCACCATAAACTCTATATTTAAAGCTATGATGTCTGTTGTTTGAATGAGGAGCTTAAGATGAAAAAATATCAAAACTCAAAATATGAGTTTTCTGAGAATAAATCCCAGAGGAACACCTAGAAAGATGTTTATATCTTGGATTATTTCACCTGTTTGGGCCTGACAAGTCTAACAAATCCCTTGTAGAGCTGAAATGATTATTTAGTGATACTCACTCTGCGCTGGAGGTCATCCACCGCCTGACTTCTGGCATCATATTTATTATACCTGCTCACAGCTTCGGTGTATGAAGAAAGAAAGGCGTCTTTCATCTAAAAACACACAAAAATTCTTCCGTCTAAAAAAAAAACCCAATTAAGCCGAGTTAAAGAGTTGAAACAGAAATATTTATGACCTCATGACGGAAGACAAATCCAGAGATCCCAGCAACAAGTTCAATCATGAAGACCAGAGATAGAAACACAGCGTACTGTAGAAAGGTCAAAGGTCAGAACGTGCGAGTCAATTATTCCCAGTGATCAAATGAATTGTTTCTACCAGAAATCCAAAATAAATTAGTTGAAAGTTCGAAGGTAGATTACAGAGACTAACTCTCAGTTAAACCGACCAGTTTCAGCATCCAGGGGTGTCCTCTGATGGTGGCGAAGCAGCCGAAGAGTCCAAACAGCATGATGGCAGCACCGGTACCAACGAGCACGTAGGGCGCGTTGGAGGGGCTGCTGGGGATCAGCAGCATGTAAGGACTTAACATGAGCTTCCACCAAAGTCCCACCAGTAACAGGACCACGCCTGTCACCTGAGAGGGGAGAGGCAAAAACATCAGCCAATCAGAAGCTTGTTTTAAAGAATCTGAAACAAACATACTTTAACTTGATTTTAAAAGATAAAGTATAAATATTAAATATATGAAATCATATTTTCTGGTGAAACACTTTCACATTAATTACAGAAGATAGTTTGTCTTTAATATTGATTTTCTGCAAAATATTTTTATTTTATTCAACATAATTTATATTTTAGCTCATTCAAATATTTGAATCACTGGTCTCTTTGTTGAACAATCACATATTTAAATCTATAAAAATAAAAAAGGTTTAACTGAAAGTGTGCATGAACGAGAAGATCAAATGCTTTATTTATTTAGCCCTGCTGCCATTGTGTGTGTGTGTGTGTGTGTGTGTGTGTGTGTGTGTGTGTGTGTGTGTGTGTGTGTGTGTGTGTGTGTGTGTGTGTGTGTGTGTGTGTGTGTGTGTGTATGTGCATTAATCTGGTGTTTTTGTGTTGGACCCGTCAGAACCGAGCAGCGATTCAGCAACAAAGATAAGAAAAAGTCAAAGATGTTCAGATCTGATCCAGGAACAGCCAGAGTCATCATGAAGGTGTTTAACCTGTAAATTTAGTAGATTTTCTATATTTATAACTCATCATGCATGTGTGAGTAATATCTGTGACCAAAAGATTCAGAATAAACAAGTAAAACTGCATAAATATTATTAACCCTTTGATGCTTGAATTATGAAATCTTCAAACATGATTTTTTTAACAATTTTTTTCATTCGTCTTTAGGTGTGAATGAAACAAATTTCAACAAATATTTTTTGTAAAATTGTATAATTTACAAATATTTTATTACATGTCCATCTCAGTGGACAGCGTGCATTCTGGGCATGAAATATGTTGGCTTGGCTTACTGAAGTCCAAATGGAGGAGAATAAATGCAATAAAGTCTTCAACAGCTGTGCTTAATAGCAAAAACAAATAAATAACAATTTTGAGTACCTGTCCACTGTAGTGACCATTATGCATCAAAGGGTTAATATAAAAGTGTCTTTAGCTTCTAAATATGAATATCTTTAATATTAGCTTTTATTGAATAAAAACTAAAGTTTTGTGGTTTTATTTCTTGTTTCATCACAAAGAGCATCTGCAGCTTAAAGGTTTGTTGATGATTGAAACCCGACGGTTGTCCCTGATCCTCACCAGGACAGCTGATCAGGGGTCGGTGGTTTTTGAGGAGGTTGAGGTTTTAAATCTGCTGCAGGATGAAAAAGGAGCAGATATTTTACTCCTCAGCCTGCAGGAGTGTATCTAATAGAGTCAAGTTGTGATCAGAAATCTATCTGACGAGGCTTCGCTCTGCTTCAGGATGAAAGAACATGTTTGTGTTTGTGAGACAGATGACAGATTGTGTCCAAAAAGATCTGATAAATCAGAATTGTTCACTTCAATAATCAATTAAACTAAAATATGTCAGAAATCTTTGTGTTAAGCTGAACTCTAACTTTGGAAAATTTGTTCCCTCTGCATGTTTGATGGTTAAACTTAAAACTAAATTAAAGGAATTTTACTGGTTTTACTGATTGGGACTGAGACGTAATCTCCAGTCAGGAAACACAAAGTTCTGCTGGGAAAAGTTTCTGCTGATCCTAATACGGAATCCTTTATCCACCTGTGCTGCAGGCAGCACCAAAGAGCGCATACCTGCTCACTGGTTTGACCTTTAACCTTCTCACTGAATCAGAACAGATCGAATAGAGTCTCAGGAAAAATCTGAGCAGGTAAAAACTGGATAAGGACCAAAGAAGACAGAAGAATATGATTGGATAAGCAAACTGCAAATGGAACGAGACCCAAACCAGGTCGATAGGGTTGGGATGAACAGGAAACTAAAGGTAAAGCAACCGTAAAAGATGAAGAGAACAAACAAGACTAACGCACAGACAAAAAGGGGTTTGATTTATGAATAGAAGCGCGTCAGAAGCCGCCTCCGCCCTCACCCAGCTGGCTGACAACAGGAAGTGTCAGCACAGCAACAGAAATGTGTTTTCCTACCAAGGATCCAAGGTGTTTGCCAGAGGAGCGTCTGACTTTGTGTTCTCTTGTGTCCCTCTAGGGGCTCCGTACTTGTACCAACTTACAGAATTTGTTTTTTGCACCTAAATTATAAACCTCACCCTTACCCTTACCCGACCCTTTGTGTTTCTGACTCACAGACTGACACACGAGACTCGTCAGAGACTTGATTGATCTGGAAGACCACCAGATTCCAGTCTGACTATAGTCTGACTCTCCAACCTGAACCAGAGGAAACATCTGGCTCTGACCCTGGTCTGGTTTGGACTGGACCACCGAGTTCTACTCTGGTTCATCAGTTTGTTTGTAGCGTTTTAACGTTTAGTCTGTGTCAGCTGGAGGTTCTTAATTATCATGGTTATGTGAGGGCACCCCCCTCCTCCTCCTCCTCATTCCTCAGGGTCCAGATAATGACCCGACCTTTCAGCTCAGACGCTCTAAAACATTCAACTTTAATCCTAAAAGAACTTCATGAATAAATAAAAAGTTTAATTCTAGTTGTAGAGGGCTCTGGTGATAGCCCCTGTCTGTCTTTAGGAGCTGATCTTCCTCCTCCTCCTCCTCCTCCTCTTATTAAACACACACAGTTAGAGATGATGAAGACTTCTCTCACCCAGAAGATGAAGGAGTAGATCAGCAGCAGCGTCTTCAGACAGAAGATCACCGGTTTGGTCTCCATCCTCCTGGGAGCCATGATCCATCTGACTCTCAACTGGACTCTTCCTCCTCTTCCTCTCTCTTTGTATCAGACTTCTGAGGGGGAGAACTGCACCCTCTGCTGGTCACATATCGAACTCCACCACCCTTTACAGCAAAAGGAACTTTTATGTATTTTAGGAGTTCAGTTTAACGTTGTTTCCCCAAGTTACACTACTCTCAGACACAGGAAGTAATCATCTGATAATGTAATAAATTCCTGGTATCCATCCTATGAAGGAAACATGAAATTATTTACTTCTTGCTCCACTTTACTGATTTAAACATCCTGCTGCAGATCCCTGAGAGGAAAGCTTGATTAGACCTGTTCACCTACAGCTGAGATATTACTACTGTGATGACATCATCTCCCAGTTCTTCCAGTAAAACCAGCTCATACCTCCTCCCAGACTGACTGTATTCCTGTAGTGTAAGGGTGGCGTGGGGGTGCATCACCTCCATGTGAACTCTGTGGTCAGAGTGTGAAGTATGATGGTCACATGTTTGTCCTGCATGTGACCAAACCCTCACTTCTGCTTCAGGAGCAACACGCTTCAGCTCATCATCAGATCTGAGATTGATTTAGTTGGACTGATAAAAAAATGTTTATTCCAAAATAATCATAAAGAGGAAATACCTGTGTAATTAGCCCCGCCCCCTCAGCTGATATCCTGAAGAAGCTTCATCTCCATGTTTTTGATGAGAGCTCTTGTTGACGTCAGCTCGTATCTTCAGCAGCGGCTTGGCTTCTAGCCAGCTCCATAAAACGCTCAGAAGTGATCGTTCAGCCACTACCTGAGAGATCCTACAGACTAAGATCTAAACTAACAGGACTGGTGTCCCAGAGTTTGAAGATCAGAGCTGAGACAACAATTATGATAGTATTAATTACATGATTTTAGTTAATGACTCAGGTCCTTATGGGCCTGATGGCTGTCTGTGTCTGTCCATCAGTGTTCTGGTCCCCACTCCCAAAACACACACACAGACACACACACACACACACACAGACACAGACACACACACACACACACACACACACACACACACACACACACACACACACACACACACACACAGTTGGAGTGATATATAGATTTAAAGTTTGAGCCAGAGTAGCATCATCCAGTTACACAGAAGAACTACAGCTTGTTCTCCTACAGCAATGCCTGAAATAAATCATTAATACTTTTATTTCCACTCATTTAGAAAATTTAATGAAGCAGTAAATCAAACCCAGAATGAAGAATGGTTTATTATTTGTGTCCATGTCGGGCCACTTTTGTGCTAAAATATCAAATATGCTCAAGCCATCATCAAGTCAACAGATGCAAGTCAATTTAAGTCGCGATTTATTGGCGTTCAAGTCTGAGTCAAGTTGTAAGTCTTAATAGATTTTATCAAGTCAAGTCAGAAGCCATTAAAACAATGACTCGAGTCGGACTCGAGTCCAAGTCATGTGTGTCATGTGACTTGAGTCCACACCTCTGCTCCGTTGTCCTGTCCTTCTGTTCTCCACTGTCTTTGGGGTCTCCTGATCAGTTAAGATGTTACGTAAATGACCTGCACTTGATGCACCTTCCTGAGTCTGGGGGCTCCAAAGCATTCATCATCATTCATCCATTCACACACTGATGGTGATGAACTACACTGTAGCACTGATGGAGGGAAGGCTGCCACACAATTGCTGCTGCTACCTCCCTCCCCCTGTGTGTGTGTGTGTGTGTGTGTGTGTGTGTGTGTGTGTGTGTGTGTGTGTGTGTGTGTGTGTGTGTGTGTCTCAGGAACATGAGATACTCTGTAAACCAATACATAATTCAGAACTGCTGATTCTGACATCAACTCACTGATCACATGCTAAAACCCATTATTGATCCTATCAGATAATGGATCAGTTTTTAACACAGGAGTCATTAACAGGAGTTCGGTCTGCAGTGATCAGCCCCCTGCTGGTCAGCTGTCAGAATGCAGACGTAAAACATCCTTAGAATACAGTCATCTAAAGCAGGGGTGTCAAATATACGGCCCTCGGGCCGGATCCGGCCCGCAAACAGGTTAAATCCGGCCCGCGAGATGGTTGTGTAAACTTCATTTTCATACTTTACAATGTAGAGTGAAAATAAACTTATCTTTGCGAGCAAATTTCCTCTGTAATGAGTATAAATAAAACAAAGCTGCGCTCAAGGCTCACACAAGAACTTGAATCACATCCTGAAGTTGGCCGCCACTCAGGATGTGACTTCTGATATTGATGTGCTGGTGAAAGCTAAAAGATGTAAAGTAAAATGAGTCAAATTTACTTTAAGTGCTGCATGAAACTGATCTAGCCATGTGATCTGTAAGCTCTGAATCACTAAGGAATATTTTATTTTTTTCTCAAATTTTCAAGTACACATCAGGTGTTGTACTTGTACTATTTTGGATACACTGTCCTCAGGCTCCAGCCTTGTTTTATCTCGATTGTATTAAAACAAAGAAAACAATCTGAAGTTGTTTTTAATTTACCGGTCCGGCCCACTTGGGACTAGATTTTCCTCAATGTGGCCCCTGAGCTAAAATGAGTTTGACACCCCTGATCTAAAGTCTCTTGTGTTAAACAACAGTTAAAATGTTAGAGACGTTATCTGCTCATCAGTGGTTCTGATCCATGTTTAATGACTCAGAACCAAGAAGGGAAAACCCAAAAACACTGAAAAGTTTTATTTCATTCAGACAATCATCAATCAGTTCCCAATTTTAAACAGATGATCTTTATGAGGAGATAAGTGGAATCAGCAGAATGAATGGATTATGACACAGAAAATCGTGTTTTCACAGAACCAATCAGGAATGAGCTTTGAGTCCTTCTGCTGATCCAGAATTAATGAGGCGGATCGTCACGAGTGTCCAGAGAAAGAACATCATTAAATCTGACTCAAGAAGGAGTTGTCTTGTCTTGGAAGAACATCATGCCTGACCAACTGCTGGGCTCTTCTCTACACCTGTACAGACCACGGCCTGAAGGTTCCTGGCTCTGCAGGAGGACACTGCAACAAAACCAGCACAAAGACTCAGAATAAAGGCTGAGCCACTTAGAGGTAGACAGTGGTTTCTTTCTGAGACAATAAAACCTGCAGAGATGCTCTTCATACCAGTTTCGTGAAGCGGTCGCTGCAGGCGATACGGATCCTCTCAGCTGAGGCTGGGCTGTCCAGCCTAAATGGTCCTGTGATGCCGGACTCGGCACGGGCCGCCATGATGGCATCTTTGATTGCGTAGAAAATAGATGAAGCCAGGAAAAGAGGAGGCTCCCCTACTGCCTGGTCAGCACAAAGAGTCAGATGAGTCTATGTGAAAAGAGATCTTCTAAGATGGAGTCATCTGAGGTGAAGAACTTACCTTGGATGCAAAGATGGCCTTATCATTGGGTGCGTCACGGAGCAAAGAGACGGTGAGCTGTTTGGGAATGTCCCCAAAGGCTGGGATCTTATAGGAACCAGGACCCCGAGTGAGAAGGACACCCTGAGGGGAATAATGGAGTTCCTCCAGGGTGAAGAGGCCCAAACCCTGCATGAAGCCTCCCTCAACCTGCACCCATGAGAGGAAAGTTTAATTAAAGGGGTTAAACTGGGAAACTATACCAGAAAACAGCAGCTGGACAGGTATCCTGTCTCACCTGTCCAATGTCTATAGCTGGATTCAAGCTGAGACCCACGTCCATCACTATGGTGGTCTTCAGATTCTGGAACAGGAAGAAACCTGGTCTAGATCCACCGCAGAGGAAATCTCAACAGTTCACCAAACTTCTCAACAAATATGATCACATCCATCCATCCATCCATCCATCCATCCATCACTTCATTAATTCATTCATCTATCATCCACAAATTCATTCATTCATTCACCTACCATCCATGCACCAATTCATCCATTAATTCATTAATCAATCCACTCATTCATTCATTCATCCACTAACACATTCATTCATTCATTCATCTATCATCCATCTATTCACCTATCGTCCACGAACCCAATTAATTGATTCATCCATTCATCCACCAACCCGTCCATCCATCCATCCATCCATCCATCCATCACTTCATTAATTCATTCATCTATCATCCACAAATTCATTCATTCATTCACCTACCATCCATGCACCAATTCATCCATTAATTCATTAATCAATCCACTCATTCATTCATTCATCCACTAACACATTCATTCATTCATTCATCTATCATCCATCTATTCACCTATCGTCCACGAACCCAATTAATTGATTCATCCATTCATCCACCAACCCGTCCATTCGTCCATCCATCCATCCACTCATTCGTTCATCCACCAACCCATTCTTTCATTTATTCATCCACCCATTCATCCATAATCCACCCATTCATCCACCCACCCATTAATTCATTCATCCATCCATCCATCAGTCATTTGTTTTAAATATTTGTAACTAATATAACCAAACATCTCTGCGATGGACTGGCACTCTGTCCAGGGAGTACCCCGCCTGATTGCCCATTGACACCCCCCCCCCCCCAACCACCCACCCACCCCCCGACGCTGAGTTCAGAAAATGGATGGATGGATGGATGGATGGATGGATAACCAAACATCTACCAAACCGTCTATATTTTTAAAAACAATAACCAGTAATCCTCAGTAGAGGGCGCACTACTCATAGAGTACCTGCTGTAGTCATTTTCTTCTGAAATCTCTTAAGAAGTTTTGGAGTCCTGATGAGAATAACTTGGTCAAATGTGACAACTTAATTCTGAAAATACAAGTAACTGCTTTAATTGTTTTAAATTAGTTGTAGAACTCTCATAATTAAAGTCAGTAGAACTGGGATTGATGAGTTGTTGCTACTAGTTTTCAAGCACTAATGAGTGGCAATGAACATGTGACTTGATACCAACTGTCATCAAGTCAGGGATATGATGTTATTAAATGGTTATGCCCTGTGTTTGTAAGACATCGCTAATGAAAGCCATGCTAATTGTGATGCTAACTGCTAGCATAGCTAATGCAACAGTTGTAAAAAAAAAAAAAACTAAAGTAGTTTAAATGCAAATATAGGTTATTTTGTTTATTTTACCTCATGATTTTCATAGCATCTTTCATTTGTTTTGATTTAGCTGTTAAATGTCTTTTTTTATCATGGTCTCATGCTGACTGTTACAACACTAACAAAAGTAATTAATTTGCCTGCTAGATTAGCAAAACACCATTTATCATGAAAATATAATACTTGGTTCTCTGAGGTCAGTCAAACCATGTTTACACCAGGGTTATTGGTTAAACGTTCATAAGGAGGAAACCAATGGCTGAGCTGTAGATTGTGTTGACTGAAGGCTCTGCACTGTCTGACTACAGGGTCATCTGAGATATCTGACTGACTAGAAGATCCTTTGATGGCAAGTTCAGCCCAGGCAGACGGCGAATGGTTGTGAGAGCGACGTGGTCAATCGTTGGAGTCATCCATTCATTGGACCCCAGATAAGAATTTGCACACGCTCTTAGCTATACCTGGGTATGAGAGAAGACACTTAAGGTGAATGTAGTTAGATAAAAAACTTTTGGGTAAAAAGTGATCACTACCATAACTTGTGTGTGACATACTGCTGCTTACTGGACCCAGGTCAGATTTTTAGTGTCTTATTTACCTGCTGTTAGACAGAGAAGTGCTACATATCCATCTATTATATAGTCAGCCATCCATTTCTTCTCCTGGAGGATCCCAAGGTGTTCCCAGACCACAGAGAAATAAAATCACATCAACATGTCCTGCCCTACTTCTCCTCTCAGTCTCATGAACCCATGAAAATTTTAGATTGACGAGTAAATCCAGAACCATTCAGCTCATCATCACCACAGCAGACCATATCAATGGCTGCATTACTCCAGACGACCTAATCCAGGCCCATCTATTGATCCTTCCCATAAACACCAATATCTTTTCTCTTGATGCAAGGGGAAGTCACCCCCTAACAAAAGGGAGAACACCAACATTAACTTTTCTACTGATTGTGGCTTTATGGCATGTGTATTTATCTAATTTATTCAGTATTATGCTATAAAAAGAATGGCTTGACTGTAAAGACATCTAGATCTTATTTTCAGGTGACATAATATGGGGCCCTGTGGAACACCCTAATCACTATTTGAGGACTATTTCTCCTACTTTTGTTTATTCAACCATATCTCTATCTGTATTCTTACTAACCTTGTGCGCTCCAGTCAGGCAGTCGATTTCCACCTCTGAACACGCTACTCCATAGCTGAAGTAGTTGAAAGCTCTGCCCGAGTTCGTATCAAAGCTGTAACCCAGATCTGGAGTCCTGATGAGGCAACAGAACACTGTAAAAATCTCTCTGATGAACACAAATGAAAGCAGCTGAATGAACTCACTTGAAAAAGCCATTTGCACTGAGGTTGACTCTCTCGAAGTAAGCAGCCTTCACCTAAACACACCCCAACAAAACTTCCATTTTAAAAGGGACTAGTCAGATGAAACATCTAGACTGACACGTGCTGGATGGACGCAATATTTAAACTAATGTAAAATATTCCAGTTTACATCATAAACATTTACGTTGTAGCTTGTACTTCAAGTATGAATACATTTTGAAACTTCCACAGTAAGTAGAACTCATGTTCCTATTACAGATAAGCATTGATCATGTGGTGCCCACCCAGTCCTCCCAAGATCCTCTGGGGTTCTTGGTTTTAAATGGCTCCAGGCGCTTGAGCAGAATCTCACAGGCATTACACACAGCGGCACCGTTAAGATCAGAGGAGGCAGAGGCAGCGGTCGGGCTTGTGTTAGCCACTGTGTTGGTGCTGGTCTCTGAGATGTGGATCTTTGAAGAGGGGATTCCCAGAACCCTGCTGGCAACCTGGAAGCACAGATCAGCATCAGGATCATCATGTTTGCAGATGATTCTGTTTTCTATCTGTTTCAGATTGTAGAATCATGTAGTCTTCTCTCTATGAGGTCTAGAATACAGTTATATCATTGGTTCTTATTGGATTTAACGAATGCAGCAGGTCTGTCAAAAGTTCCCATTTTATTTATCTGAAAGTACAAAACAAAATCAGTTTAACTGCATCATTGTTTCATCTTTAAGTACATCTTTTTGTGATTCTCCGCATGTTGTGTAATTGTTTAAGTCTGGGGAACAGCTGAAGTTTAGCGATCACAGATGGTTAAACCAACAGTACCTGAACCATCTTCGTGTGAAGTCCTTGGCCCATCTCAGTCCCTCCATGAGTCATCAACACAGATCCATCTTTATAAATGTGAACCAGAGCACCGGCCTGAGGGCAAAGAACCAGAAATACAGACCCATGAGTATAGAACCATAAATAAAGAACAATCATGTCAGATTTCTTAAACCGTTTGACTCTAGCTGTTCTTGTGAATCAGACCTGGTTAAGGAACGTTGCTGTGAAGCTGATACCAAATTTAGTCGGAACCACCGAAAGTCCTCGTTTGGTCCATCGGTTCTGTCTGGGAAGAACTCATGTTTAGCTCTGATATATAATGATTATTGCTGTAGTTGCTAGGATTAGGGTTAGACACAAATGGACAGACAGTACACCATCTACCTCCCTTTCACAAACATGCTCTAAGGTTATCTGAGGCACTAGATCTCTTTTGACAAGGACCAGGGATGTTGTATTTATTTTCTACGGTGTTACTGATTAATGATCTTTTGGTGGTACCAAGACTGAACTGTCCACAACCCATTAGTAGCAACTACAACCTGTTGTACCTGTTATGGAGGTCTACTGCAGCTCGGCGCTGCTCGTAACCAGAGCGTGACAAACACTCGTCCCAACAACGATCCAGAGTGACTCCATGTAGGACCTGGTTGTACGGTGTTGGCTCTCCCTCTACATACAAGTTCAGTCGACGCACCTGCAGAGGGACAGAGATCCTGAAGAAACACTGCTCCTCTGCCAGAGTTCAGAAATTCTCTCTTTTACCTCTTCCGCTGATCGTCCCAGACTGTGAGCCACATCGGTGATCCAACTCTCAGCAACCATCATGCCTTGGGGCCCTCCAAAGCCCCTGAAGGCCGTGTTGGATGGCAGATTGGTTCGACACATGAATCCTTGGCCTCTGATGTTAGGAATGCTGTATGAATTCTCCATATGAAACAGAGCTCGCTCCATGATCTACACAACAACAACACACTGTCAGCATAATATGTGACACTGAAGGTGATGCATGGCTGAGGATGGTTCTTCTCACTGCTAAGGAGAGGTCTGTGGAGTTCCCAGCGTTACTGTATAAAGACACATCCAGAGCCACCACCTTCCCGCTGTTCAGGAATCCAACCTGCAGTCAGAAGACAACCAGGAATCGAGCTAAGATCTATTCATCTATCTCCACTACTGCTGAGGCTCCAGCAGGAAGCACCCTCCCCACCTTGTATTTTCCATAGAATGGGTGTCGTCCTCCTGTGATCAGCATATCCTCATCTCTATCCAGCATGCACCTGACAGGTCTCTTCAGCCTGAAACACAGCCCTGTTCTTGGAATTATACTTTTAAAGAGATTGAGTTTCTTAAATAGGAACACCTACTTGTTAGCTGCCACGGCAACCACAGTGGACAACGCAGTGGTCCGGCTTTCTTTTCCTCCGAACCCCCCACCCATCCTCTTCACTCGGACCAGCACCCTGTTGGCAGGGACACCCAGAGCCTGTGCTACAATACACTGAAACGAAGACAGATGGCACCTTCGTTAAATCTGGTTCTTTATGTGATATGAAGTCTTCAGAGATGTCTGAGCTTATATCTGCGTTCTTGTTGGACCCTAATCCTCGTCAAAATATACAGCAGCCTCCAGGTGTCGTTACCTGTGAATCAGAAGGAGATTGAGTGGAAACAAAGAGCTCCATCTCTCCATCTTCTCCTCTAGGAACAGCCAAAGTGACGTACGTCTCCAGGTAGAAATGCTCCTGGCCTCCAATATGGATCTCACCTGAGACACAAGCAGACATCAATACCTGATCAACTGTTCACCTGTAGACACACGGAGGCAGTCCTACCCTCCAGGGTGTGCTGGGCCTGTTTAAACCCTGCCTCCAGGTCTCCACTTTGAAGGGTTCTGATTGGTTCATAAAACGACCGGGCAGCAATGGCCTCCTGTTTGTCAAATGCATAAAAACACACCACAGAAGGATGTGATTAAACAAAAGTGTAAATACAGTTGGAGTTCAGGTGTGTCTAGTCTCACCTGGATGGTGACAATGGGTTGCAGCTCTTCATACTGGATCTTCACAGCTTTGGCAGCGCGCTGAGCATGAACCTGAGTGTCAGCCACCACAGCACCAATGATGTGACCCACACAGCTCACCTGTACAGGAAATGGACTGGTCCTTAGTCTTAACCTGGGCTTCTCAATGCTGGTCCTCAAGGGCCATGCATGCTTTTATGTCTCCCTGGTTTGAATCAATGAGTGACTAACAGACATCTAAAGACCTTGAAGATGATCTGAGCAGATGATTCATTTATTGACTCAGGCGTGTATGAGTAGGGATCAAGCCATCTGATTAGTCAGGAAACAGAAACACACCTGTCCATCGGCGAACACTGTCTCGTCTTGCTTCACACCGGTTATGTTGCTGCCAGGAACATCATCAGCAAACAGGCAGCAGACCACTCCAGGACAACGTTTTGCTGCAGAGACGTCCACTGAGCTGCGACAAACACACCTGGTGAGACCTAACAGGTGTGTGTGGAGCACAGGTATACCTGACTTCAGGGGTTGTGAAGGACTCTTACAGTATTCGAGCGTGAGCCTTGGTGCTAGTGATGAGCACCAGGTAGAGCTCGTTTTCATAGAGTGGTATGTCATCACAGTACACTGCTTCACCTGTAGCCTGCTTCAGGGCTGACAGGTGCATCATGGGACGGCCCACTACATCATCCTGGCTCTGCCCTTCTGGCACTGCCTAAAGGTGGAGTAAAGGGTCACACCTGGACCATGGACATGAGGGATTGTGAATCAGCTGGAGCTTGGTGTACCTGGTAGATCTGGATGCCGGACGGGGTCTCTGGTTGGTAAACCTCTGTAGCGCTCACACAGTCTGAGGAGACCTCCTGCGTTCCAACACCCTGACAGGAACAAAACCATAACACCTCACAGAAGGTTCTAGTCTCAATACAGATGGGGTTCGATAAACAGACCTGCAGTCTGAGCTTCTGCAGAACCGTCAGGAAGAACTTATAGAATAGGCTGAGAGTCAGTGTTCTCCGGTATGTCACCATGCCGCCAGGTGCTGAGGGGTCGAGGGTCATCTCCTCAGCCAATGATAAGCAAGCCTCCTGCAGAAGCTCCTCCCCCCACTGCCTGCAAGAGACGACACAGTCTTACATCCTTCATCCTTCCTTGCTTCCTAACCGAGTACTCCTTACCTTCCCAGCAGTTTATTTGCCGTCTTCTTGGCGAGCACCGTGGTTGGCGCCATGCCCCCATAACTCAGCCTTATGTCCTCTACAACTTCAGTCCCAGGAGCAAAGGTGACGCTCATCGCCGTGGTGACAATGCTGATGTCATCCTCACGGCGAGGGGACTGTTTGAAGGCTGAGACGAACTGAAACTGAGGAAGTTGAGAACATGGAAAGGCTGAGAGATGATGGAACATTCTGGTTTCTGGGTGTGATTCCAGATCACTACTAGTGGTTGCTAGGAGATGGTTTGAGGTTTAAAGGTGACTGAGATGGTGATGTGCATAGATGTTTTTAGTTTTATTTAAAAACAGGGTTTAGGGTACGGAGGGGTTATTAGACCTTTGCTGTTGTTTTTACATGATAACATTCCTGATCCTGGAGGTTTACTGTTAACCCTCTCAGGCTCTAAATAAGTTTTGATAAAAGGACGAACAACTAAGTCCTTCAGGGGTACTCCGGAGGTAAAAAATGCTCATGAAATACGTATGTGGAGTAACCAGGTAGGTAGGTTTTAACGTTGCAAATCTGCAACGCCTGCCTGCAGAGGGTTAACCAGCGGGATGAATGAAGTTGCCGTGGAGACACAGTTCCTACCTTCTTGCTGTATGGAATGTGTACAGAAACAAGGATCTCCTGTGGTCGCACAACCGTCTTCCGGTAACCTGTAAAGAAACTGTCGTCCATCTGAACCTCACGGCTGGTATCTGACAGACAGAGAGGGCAAAGGTCAGGACCAAGAACCAAATAACAGCATAATCATTCAAAACAAACACCTGTGAAATAAATTACAGGTGTGATTAATAAGTTACTGACAGAGTTACTTGTTCTGGTTTTATAAGTTAACAGATTTTGCCAAAGTCAGAGGATATTAAGACTTTATGTAACAGGTTTTAAATGCAAAAACACACACTGGCGGTTTGGACATCAGATGAAAGGTCAGAACAGATCAGCCACTCCTCACACACACACACACACACACACACACACACACACACACACACACACACACACACACACACACACACACACACACACACACACACACACACACACACACACACACACACACAGACATGATGTAACAGAGCCCAGTTGTCTGTGAACCAGCACTGTACCCTCTAGATCCAGTATCCAGAGGGAGAAATAAAGATCGCCTTCAGTCAAAGTCAGAAACAGAGGCGGGGTACCTTTGTCCATCAGGGTAAGTTTACAGCCTGCCGCCATAAAAACAGGGTTGAGGTCTGATATGGGGCTCGCCGTCATGATGTTCCCACCTACAGCCTAAAACACAAAACCACTGTCACACCCAGTTCCCACCAACAGGGTTAGGAGTTTTCCCCGCCCACCCCACCCCGTTGGTACTGACAGGTCCCTGACCACCTCCTCCAACACCAACGTTGCTGATCAGAGACTCACAGCTACGTTGCGGATCTGCTGTCCAGCAAACCATCTCAGCTGCTCCAACACGGCACGGAAGACCTCAGTCTGATGAGGAGGAAGAGTCTTCACCGCCTGCCTCAGCACTGCCCCCATGTGGCTGAGTGTACACGCTGCACCAAACACGATACCTGAACACAAAAACACTTTCAGATACTTCTTTAGATACTGTAACCCATAAAATAACCCATCAACTTTCTGTTGCTGAAGTTAGAGATATTAGTTTGGGGTTAGGGGTCAGTGGTCAGGCTATGAGTCTTTCTCACCATCTTCGGTGTGAGTCACTGTGTTCAGCTCTGGGACAAAGGCTGGAGACAGGATGACTGGGTACACCATGTTCTTAAACTTCACTTCAACACCTGCAAATGCAAACGATAAATAAACCAACTTCAACTTTATTTATAAATCTTCAACTTAAACTTTATTTATAAATCGCGCCTTACAGGCAAAAATATGCCACCAAGGTGCAACACAGACCAAATAAAAACATAAAACATTAAGTCCAGAAATAAAAACATTGGATACAGATAAAAAACACAGTGAATACACGGATCAATTTAAGTAAAACAATAAAAACTAGTTAGAAAGATTAAAAGACAGATCATAAAAGTAGGTTTTTGGCCTTGCCTTAAAAACTGCCACAGAGGTGGAGGCCCTTATGCTGAGAGGAAGCTTGTTCCAAAGCTTAGGACTTGCCACAGCAAAGGCCCTATCACCACGCATCTTTAGGCGCGATCTTGGGACCGAGAGGAGCATGAGGTTCTCCGAGCGGAGTGACCGTACAGGGGTGTGCGGTTGAAGCAATGACAGCAAGTAAGGAGGGGCCAAACCATTTAACGTTTTAAAAACCAGCAAAAGTATCTTCAAACAAATCCTTACATCAATGGGCAGCCAATGAAGCACAGCCAGGACAGGGGTAATGTGATCATACTTGCGCCTGCCCTCTAGAAATCTGGCAGCAGCATTCTGCACCATTTGCAACCTGGCTATTGCGCCCTTGCTCACACCGAATAAAACAGAGTTACAGTAGTCCAATCGCACCATAATAAAAGCATGGACTACTGTTTTAAGATTATGTTGTGACAGGAAAGGTTTGATCTTTGACAGCCAATGAAGGTGGAAAAAGGAGGAGGAGATCACTCCATTAATGTGGGTGTCAAAACAAAGGGTGCTATCTAGTTTGACACCAAGATTAGTCACTGAAGCACTCAGCTGACCATTAAAGACCCACAGTCAATTAAAGAAGAGTCAGAATGTCTGCTTGGAGCCTCTGTTTTCTGATCATTTAAGGTCAAAAAATTTCCACTCATCCAGGTCTTAATTTCCGTCAAGCAATTCGTAAGATTAGACATAGAGAGACCTCCTGACGTGTTCAGAGGCAGGTACAGCTGACAATCGTCAGCACAAAGGTGAAAGTGAACTCCAAGCTTACGACAGATGTCACCTAAGGGCAGAATGTAAGTAGAAAACAACAAAGGTCCCAATATAGAGCCCTGTGGTACACCCAAGGGTAAATCAGAGTACCCTTAGGAATAACTTCCCATCCTTCACACATTTTTCTATTTGTCAGGTATGATCCAAACCACTCCAGGGCTGACCCTGAAATCCCGACATAATGATGGAGACGATGAAGCAGCACTTCATGATCTATCGTGTCAAAGGCAGCCGTGAGGTCCAGCAGAAGTAACAACACAGAATTAAAGCTGCAAGCAGCGTCGTTTGGCCCTCACAGCGCCACGCCGCCCTGGCCCGGCCAGCAGCCCAGGGCACCCAGGCACGTCCGCGGAATGTAAACGTCGACCCCCGCGACCTCAGACACCGCGAACGGTCTCCTCGTCTGCACCTCACCCTGACTCAGCATCTCCTCTGAGCCCACCATTAAATTACACATCTCACCACTAGGGGATACTCTATCTTTACCACACTGGTGGTGTGATGACACAGACCAAGTTTAATGCTAATCTGGCCACGTTTTTTGAAGTTATTGAAGGTTAAAGTTATGTAGGGGGCGCTGTGACCAACTATAGAAAAATCAAAGATGGTTTTCTGTTAATTTGGCATCAATCAAATGTTGCATGGGTCATTTAGAGACAACAGGCTGTAAGTGGGTGAAGTTAAAGTGATTTGAACGAGTGAGCACATACATGTGTTGAATGCCTCACACCATGTTTGATTTAGTTTGAAGCTTTTTTGTAGAAGTTACAAAGGTTTTATTGTATCTAGGGTGCGTTGTCCCAAATTTTGGAAAATATCCCATGGAGCAGTTTGTAGGTTGACAACAATCATTTGCGTGTAGTTTGGCGTGAATTGCATTATGCATGTGTTATTCAGGGCCTAATGTCTGTCAGGGGGAGGAGCTAAAGAGATATCAACCAATGACCACAGGATTGTGTTGGGTGCCTTTGTTTGATGACACATAGCAAGTTTGGTGCAGCTGCGACCTCGTCTGTAGGAGTTATTACAGTTTTAAAGGTATGTAGGGGTGCTGTGGTGATTACAACGTTCACCAACCATTTGTGCCTCATTGGCTAAAGGGCATGATTGTTGATTGCCATTTTCAGTCTGGTGCAGATCGGAGGCTGTTTGTGGAAGTTACAGTCAAACATAAGGGCTGACAGTTTTAATGGTCCCAGGGGGCGCTATTTCAGAAAATAGGCCACACCCACAAACCTATCACATCCTTTTCTATTGGTGGTCAGACTAGGATCACTCACCAGAGAATTCGTAGCAATACCACGATAACTGAGGAAATGAGAGGCAAAAGTATTTCCATGGTGTGATGGCGAATTTCGCCATGCTCCCAAAGCCCCGCCTTTTTTCGAAACCTGCCAGTACTGGAGACCAATGGGCCATTCCCATCTGTACCGGGTCGGCCAGGGCCGGGTAGCGTAGGTTGTTTACATATCTGGGTGGCCTGGTATTTTTCCGGGCCAACCAAGGCTCATTCTCAGCCCTCTTCTCGAGGGGGTCTGCTTCAGGCCGACCAGGGCCAACACACCCACTGCTGACAGCAAATTCACACCTTTCATTAGAGCAAGCCTCTGATTGGTGGGTAGAATCAGCCCACATGGGCTTAAGGCAAGGATGTGTGGAATCAACCGGGCCAGGCTGGGGCCGACTGGGGCTACCCGGCCTGGGCCGACCCGGTACAGATGGGAATGGCCCTCAAGTGACCTCAACTTGTCTACTGCTATTTGCCTGTGATTGCTTGTGATTGGGTGAAAGGAGTCCAATAGGGAGCTGTGAAAAAAAAGAGTGGCGTGGCGACAGGTCAAAGTTTGAGGCTTAGCCACGCCCACACCTTTCAACTTTTGATAAATCCGACAGTTGAATTTTTTTCCCTATAGCTTAAGAGTGTATGACAGAAGTTTGAAGGTGATCGGTGAAAAGGGCGATGGTGCATCATTCTCCAAACAACGTGTGCGAAAACCACTAAATCGAGCACTTGGACCCAAATGGCCGACCTCCTCTGCGACTTTGCGCTTGGCTCCAAGAGACTTTTTTGTAGGTCCTGATACACTACATTAGTGTGCCAAATTTTGTAATCCTCAGTCAAAGCATGGCTTGGGGCTGATGGTTTTAATGGTATTAGGGGGAGCTATTTAAGAAAATAGGCCAAGCCGACTGGATTTTAACATCAGATTTTTTTGGGGAGCCGAACTAGGATCACTCACCAGAAGTTTCGTGGCGATACCTTTAGAAATGACGAAATTGGAGGTAAACATATGGCCACGGTGGTACGCCTGACTTCGCCGTGCTGCCACAGCCCCGCCGTCTTTTGAAAACTGCCATTAAGTGACGCCAAACAACCCCCACTTGTCTTGAGTTACCAGCTACAAATTTGTGGTGATTAAGTGAAATGGGGCGATTTGGGACCTATCACAGTAAAACTTGACCTTTTTGGTCCTGAGGGGGTGGGGCTTGTGTGATGTCATCATCCAACCATTCAGTTTAGTTTGTGGCTAGATGTCAAATGACCACAGAAATTTTTGTAACTCTACTCTATTCGAGTATGAAGTTATATCCATTTTTTTTTTTTTTTTGGCGAGTAGTCGAACTTCGAGGCCTGGCCACGCCCCCTCAGCATATACGAAAAGTCAGTTTTATTTTTTCTATTTGATCACCCATCCCTTCTGAGCAACTTCCCACAACTTTCGAGACGATCGTGCGAAAAATGATTGAGTAAATCAATCAGAAGCGGACCCTAGAAATGGCCAAAACGGGGAGAAAATCACCACTTCAAACCAAAATGGCCGACTTCTTGTTTGATGTTGACCATGGTTGCAAGAGGCTTTTCTGTGCGGACTGTCGAGTACTACAAGTGTACAAAATTTCATAACTGTACAACAAAGTAAGGTTTATGGAGGGGGTAGTTTTCACATTTTAGGGGGCACTGTGGAGCTAGTTTTATTGCAATATTTTTGGGACCTTTAAATACAAAATCACCACGCCTGACATGTGTGCAAAAATTCCTGAGTTTTTGGGTATGTTAAGGTCTCAAAAAAGCCAATTTACTTGGCGGAAGAAAAATAAACTGAGCATATACAATAGGCCTTCGCAGCGCTTTTGCTGCTTGAGCCTAATTACCGTTATCAGTAGCTAGATACATGTCATTGAGTACTCTAACCAGTGCAGTCTCAGTGCTATGTAGAGCTAAATAAACCAACAAGAAAACAAAAACCGAAGGCTTGTCGGACGCAGACTGACCCACTTCCGTGTTTCCCACCACCACCCGGGCCTCTGGATGCCTCCACTTCAGGAGCAGAAACTCCTCTAGACTACTTGGCTGCAGCCATGTTGCTCGCTCCCCGTGGAAACACAGAGAGCATGACCTTTGACCTTTTGACAAATTCTGGATGAGATGGAAGTAGAGGGGGAGTGAATGAACAAATAAGATCAAGTCAGCATAAAAAGCTTGTTGATTAAATAGCTCAAGAAAAAAAAATACAAATATAATAAATAGTGTTTGACATTAGTTTGTTTACCATAAGTTCAGGAGGGAAGATGACTTCCTGTGTGGGGTCAAAGGGCGCAAAGTCTGCTGTGTTAAACAGTGATGTGACCTCCTGTGAAACAACAGTCATAGACCTCTTTACTAAAAAGATCCATTTTATTTCCAGTATTATTGTTAACAACACAGACTTACATCACTGTCCTTCGAGTCTCGGAGAGCTTCACTCCCGTTCATCATACAGCAGCCATCTTTCTGCCCTCTGCCACCACAGCATCCTCCTTCCTGAAGGAGTACCCACCCAGACAAAGATTGGTGAAGACACCATGAAGTGAACTCAAGCTGAAACTGTTGGAAGATGTTCTCACCATGGTGAAAGTCTTGTATCCCTCCAGGATGGGTCTGTATCCAGTACAACGACACAGGTTTCCTGACAAAGAAGATCATTATCATTAGAGCTCTCAGATAGATGTGAAGGTCTCTGATTGGACTGGAACTCTTTTCATCTGAAAACCATCAGAACCTTGGAAGGCCTCCTCCATGTCAGCCATCTTTGGTATGGGGTTGTTCCTCAGTAAGGCGTACATGGACATGACGATCCCAGGTGTGCAGAAACCACATTGTGAGCCATGAGACTTGGCGATCCGTTCCTTCATTGTAAAACAAACATGTCTGTAGGAGAAGGTCTTCAAAGGGGTCTAGATCTCCAACAGTTCAACATCAGCAGGATGTTTGTGCTAAAAACAAACTCATTTCCATGAAATGACATTTGACCTGCATGGTGAGGTGTCCTTTTACCTGGACAGGGTGGAGCTTTCTGGCCACACTGCCCAATCCCTCCACTGTTGTCACAGCAACCATGTGAAGGGAGCAGAGGGGTGCGAGGCAGGCGTTGATGGCGTAATGGCTACGATGCAGTTAAAGAATGTTCATCAGATATAAACACACACACACACACACACACACATCTGGTGGAAGGATACAGCAGCTGTTTGGTGTGTGTTTGATATTTGGATAGCATGACAGTGCAGGCACCACATCCACCTTCAGCACAACCCAGCTTAGTTCCTGTTAAACCCACTGAACACACACACACACACACACACACACACACACGCATGCACACACACACACACACACACACACACACACACACACACACACACACACACACACACACACACACACACACACACACACACACACACACACACACACACACACACACACACACACAGCTTACAGTGAAATCAGACAATAATTAACAGACCATCTTCAAAGTCCAGGCGTGCTCTCAGGAACATGCTGAACTCCTGAATGTTCATGCTTATGAGGACTGTACCTAGTGTCCCACCATGAACATGAGGACGCTGTTTAGAGTTTACTTATGGAAGTATCTGACTGCACAAGGATATATTGCATGAAACCATCTTGGATAACGAGTGATTTTTACTTCAAGTCAGTGGTGTCAAACCCTGGTCCCCTTTGCTATCTCTGTCTTTCCAACAGCACTACTCAGCCTAGAACAGCTCAGTGCAGGACAATGGTGGTGATGTTTAACATTCTGCTCAGTTAGTGACCCCCCCCCCCCCCCCCCCCCCCCAACCAGTCAGCAGCTGAAAGGTGCATACATTTTGGCGCTGTTGTCATTTTATTAATTCCGAAATATTTAGAAGTAATTATTGGAACTCAAAAGTGGTTTGGTAAGCTCGGTGACCCTTGGCCTCCATACACAGGTGAATCCAGTTATGAGAAAGAGTATTGTAAGTTTCCCTCCTCTTTGAATATTCTCTGAAGAGCAGCATCATGGGGGTCTAAAACAACTCACATGACCTGAAAACAAAGATTGTTCACCATCGTGGTTCAGGGGAAGGATACAGAAAGCTGTCTCCGAGATTTCAGCTGTTTCCACGGTTAGGAACATACTGAGGAAATGGAAGACATCAGACACAGTTCTAGTTAAGGCTTCAAGTGGAGGACCAAGATTAATCTCAGATAAACAGAAGAGAAGAATAGAGAACAGTCAGAGTCAACCCACAGGCCAGCACCAAAGATCTACAACATCATCATTCTGCAGATGGAGTCACTGTGCAGCTAGGTGCACTTTACACAAGGAGGTGCTGCATGTGAGAGTGATGCAGAGGAAGCTGTCACGAACTCCAACTCCTGACCAGCCCCCACGGACTCAACTAGCCCGGGTACTACACTACCCAGCATCCCTATCACCGGCGCGGCTCGACTACGTCATCACCCAGACTCTATTTACGGAAGTGCTGCCGCTGAGTGATCACCCAGTCATTGTTTGTTCCGAACACTGAACCGAGTTCTCAGGCTCTCCAGCCATTCAACAGCCATTCAAACCAAGGAAGACATCCTTCCACACTGCCTACCACCAGTAAGTCAGCTCTTTTGTTTATCCGGAACCGCCGCTCAGTCTCGGCTCTCTACGAGCGCTGCGTGGCCGTTCCTAGATTAAAACCGTGTGCTCTGTCCAACCCAACGCCAGCTACTCCGTGTCTGGATCACACAGCCACGCCACAAGCAACTTCCGCTCCACGTCAGCTCAGCCTTACAAACCTGACAGTAGCCCTTTCTCCTCCCACAGCACCAACAGAGCTGCTAAAGCACATTTAGACAAGCCAGCTTCATTCTGGAATAAGGTGCTGTGGAGTGTGGACTGATGAAACTAAAACTGAGTTATGTGAACGTGACAAGAGGCGTTATGCATGGAGGAAGAAGAGCAGAGCATTCCAAGAAAAACACCTGCTACCCACAGTAAAACACGGTAGTGGTTCCATCATGCTGTGGGGCTGTGTGGCCAGTGCACGGACTGGGAATCTTGTTAACGCTGACGGACGCATGGATTCCATTCAACATCAATAGATTCTGGAGACCAGTGTCCAGGAATCAGTGACAAAGCTGAAGCTGCACCGGGGCTGGGACCCCAAACTCATTTGAAGCTATAGGAAGTGTTTAGAGGCTATTTCTCAATCATCCTTGGCCAAGATGCTAAACCCCAGTTGCCCTCATTAAAAAAAATCCTTATTTTGTATTTTATATACAAAAATATATACACATAAATAAAACACAAAAAAGTATTTTGGTAGCTACCTCTGCTACATAAAGAGTAATATTGTGGGCAGTCTAAAGCACACCTGTACATTATTCATACTGTTTAATCAGCCCCTTGGTATGCCACACCTGTGGGGTGGGATGGATTATCTTGGTAAAGGAGAAGTGCTCACTAACACACATGTAGACACATTTCAGAACAATATCTGAGGGTCATGGGTGTTTTGTGCATGTTGAAACGTTTCAGATGTTCGAGTTCAGCTCATGAAAAATGAGAGCAAAACCAAAAGTGTGTTTATATTTTTGTTCAGTGTATATTTTAGTATTGTAGTCCTTTATAGTAAATGCAAAAAGTTCTATTAAAGAGCAAGTCACCCCCAAATCAACTTTTTTGTTGATAAACTATGTAAATGAGTGTCTAATCGCTCCGTAGATAAGTTCGGTAAATAATTTGGCGCATTAGTTAATCTTAGTTAAAATTTAAATATTCTGCCTAAAACGGTCAGTGTTGTGCCGTTGTCAGGTAAAAGCTCTGCACTGCATTTTAATTTAAATCTGCCATCGCTATTGGCTAAGAGGTACCCTATGACATTAGCTGGTACATTATGATGTCACAATGTCATTGTGAGCCTGTGTGTGTGTGTGTTTGTTAGCGGCTCCGCCCTCTCGGTCTGCCAGGCAACAGCATTTGTTGCATTTTTCAAACGTGAAGTGGGAGTGGAGTAATACTCTGGTGGGGGGTGACTTGCTCTTTAAGAAGGGATCCCATTTGTCCTGTGTATTTTTATGAAAAAAGTAACAAAATTGTTATTTTTTGTGGTCTTTAGTTACTTTTATAATCTTGTAACTCAGTCACTTAATCAGTTACTAATTACTTCATCAAAAAGTAACTATAAATAATTACTTTTTTTAAAGAATAAATGAAATAAAATTAACATTCTCAACATTGCTAAGAAGACACCTGTTGGTTTATATCATCTCTAAGAGGACACCTCCAGGTCTGTCCTGTGTAAGGAGGATTAGGATTAATAAATCCACACGCCGCTGATTCCAGGAGCTGCAGGATGTAAACAGCTGATTCATATCTAATCCAGCTCTCTGATATTGAACTTGACAGGAAGTGAAACATTAGATTGTTGGACTTTGTCTGGTGGGTCTGATGGATGGTCAGTGACCTCTCTGAGAGTCAACATCACTGAAGTCAGCTGATCAGGACATTTCTGCTCCAGATCTCCACCTGCAGCTCCTGCTGGGAGCTCAGAGGAAGCAGATGTTAGTTTAATCTAAAGACACAGACATGAAGGAAGGTTTGATCCTATACCTTTCCTCCTCAGGTACGTCAGCAGGCTCATCTCAGGATCTACGTTCTTCTCAATAATCTGAAATAAAGAGATTAGAAATAAAGTTTTGAAGCTGATTAATCTGAATTATGTTTTACTTTTATTAAATGAAAACAACCTCCAGTCCTTCTTGTTTTCAGCGTATTTAGTTAGAAATCTGTTTATTTATGATGATTTAGTTTGGATCAAATTTACTTTGTTGGAAACATGGGTAACACTTTACATTAAGGGTCCCTTTATTAATGTTACTTAGTGCATTATTAAGCATTAATAAACTATTACCTAAAGTATTAACAACTGTCTAATATTAATGTTATAAGCAATGCATTAAGCAAACATCTGCCCCCTGGACCTTTGTCCTAACCTTAAGGATACTTAATAGTTAATATCAGGAATGCTAATAGGGATTGTTTGCTTATTAATCCTTAATAATGCAGTAAGTAACATTATTAAAAAGACCCTTGTTGTAAATTGTTACCCAAACATTTAAATCTGATCTGAGGTCTGCTTCTGATTATTAAATCTAATATTTACTTGTTAAATGTTTATTAGTGATTGCAAAATTAAACATCTTCTGGCCCAATTCACCTGATCCAGAAGTCCTGATTTAAAGTGCCCTAACCCCGGTAAAAGGTCTGATTGAAACTCCTGAGACCGGTGCAGAAGTCCATTAGAACCAGGACCTACCTTCCTTCCATTAACAAAGAAGATGAGCTGATCAGAAGCGGTCCAGGTTTCAGTCCTCATGTTGGCGGTCTCCTGAGTTCCCTCCATCCTGCTGCTGTCTAATGATGCTTCTGACAGGATAGTGGTCCTGCTGGAGTGTGGACCAGCTCCTCCCCCTCCTCCCTCCTGTCAGAGACCCAGCACAGAGCCCGAGGCAGCGCGGCGGATCAGAACCAGTAGGCAGTCACGCTGTCGACCTACAGTAACAGCTGAGACCTTTGATCATAAAGTTATCATACGCCACTTTAAGCTAATTATTCACAGCTCGCCTTCATCCGGCAGGTCAAAGGTCAAACAACGCCCACCACAGTACAGTACGGATTAGATGACCTGTTTGCATCATCATCATCCTTCATCTGTTAGGCTCCGCCTCCTGACCACAGGTTACACCGACGTCATGTCAAATAAAACATTTGAGCACAAAATGTTCTCAGGAATGTATTTATTAAAGTTCAGTCTAGAAAAATAAAATTATAAATATAAGATCACTTTTAACAACTAAAAAGTACATCTAGAAAATGTTGCAATTATAAAAATATAAACAAAACTAAATCATTAATGGCTGATTAATGATTAACCACAGGAAGTAAACAAGAGGAAGTAAGTTTGATCAGGTTTACATGATGAGTCACAAAGATATTAAATAAAGCAAAATAGTTGTTTTGTATTTTCATTATATGATGAAAGAAAAATGCAAAATGACAAATTAATACAGAAACGTTGATACAACAGCTTCATGACAACAAACCTGGTAATATGATGGTTTATTTCATCATAAAAACAGTGGAAACACATTTTAGATCAATAATTAATAATCAAACAATGTTTTTAAATGTTTAATGATTTAATTTATATTATTGGATATTAAATAATTAAAACATGCAGGATAAAAGTAAACACAAAACATCAGATCTGCTTTAATTAACCTCCTTTAATAATATTTAAATAATCCTGGAGATTTTGACAGACAGAAGCTGAAAATCCAGATTAGTGATTTCAGTCAGCTGATTGTCAGGGAAGTCCTCGGTGAGCACGCTGACCCAGAATCTGAGACCACAGGGAGAACCGAGATGGAGGAGGAACAGGGATCTGATAAATGTCCCATCAGCTGATCTTCAGAAAATGAGTTCATGTTTAGATGAAACTCTGGTTCCTACTCGTCCCGTCTGGGGGACGGTTTGGACAGCAAAGGGGACACGAGGTCTTCGTCTCACGCATGCTTCACATTAGAGTCGCCTCGCTCAGGGACTCATGTGATTCATCGATTGTAAACTCAGAGGAAAATCAGTTTCCTCTCAGGAACTCAGAACACATGCAAACAGATGCAGGTTCCCTGTGAGAGCAGGGCTCCTGACGCTCACACTCAGATCTTCACATCTTATGTTCCTTTTTCATTTAAAGCCAATTAGAGTCTTTAGACTCTCTCTCCATCACGCTTGGATTTCCTCGGACTGAAACAAGCTCAGAATATCTGGCCTGGCTGGTGTAGATGAGAGCATGTTAAAGCTGTAATCCAGAGTTTTGCCCTTTTAGGGATTATGTAAATCACGGATGTACCTAAGATTTTTTAGAAATCCATAAAACCCTTACACTGTTTGTTTTTTTTGGCGAAGCCCCCCTTCAGGCCCATAGAGCCCCATTGAAATTTGAAATGAGCCCCTCTCAGCATTAGCCAATAGCGTTAGACATCTACATCTATGTACAGCTGTCAATCACAGAGCGTGTGTGAACATTTGAGGACGTACCTAGACTGATGCAGAGTTGGCAACATTTCTCACAAACAAGTGAGTTTTTAATAATGATATAAATAATGTAAAACTATGGGATTTGGCTTTGTTGACCAGCAAGAGGGGGTCATTCAAATACGAGAGGCGTTGTTTCCAGCTGTAATCGTGTAAGTAAGAACAGGGGCTTGAGGTGAAATACGTTTTTCAGCCTCTGGACCACGCTGTTGCTCAGAATTTCTGCTGAAACTCCACTCATGCATGATGAGGACATGCAAGGCTGCAGCTGAGATTTGAACCTGACTTTTTTGCAGTGAGCTACCACCGGCAGCACCGTGCAGCGTATCTTATACAGATATTAACTTTTTACAGTTTTAAACAGGAAGTTCAGACATTTTGAAAACTCATTTTGACAAGATTTTTTTTTCGTAGTTGTAATTTTACGTCTTTGGTTAAAAAAAAATCTTCAACACCAGGATAAGTGGTGTTATAGCGCCATCTGGTGGTCAGACTGAGTAAAGAAAGGCTTAAAAAAATACAAAAACCTTAATCCAACATTTAATTGTAGTTTTCATGAAAAACTACAAATTGAATTCATTTTTTCCTTTGATATTGAAACAGATTTTTAAAACAAACAATCGTGATCATCAGCTGAACAACAGGAAAGGTTTATTTCGACTTACTCTCCTCCTCTTGAGAGGCCTCAACCAGGTGGAAACTTCCGCCCTGCTTTTGCTATTCCCTCCTTGTCATCCTCTCCTTTCTTTTTTCTCCTCCTCCTCTCCCTAAGATGCCTCCACCAGGTGAAAGCCTCCGTTCTCCTCCCTCAGCTTCTCCCTCTTCCTGGCCTGAACCAGACTGTAGACCACAGCTCCCAGTGTGTTCCTGTTCAGGCTAAAGCCCCGCCCACCTCCACGCTCCACGAAGCTGGACCGCTCATCCCGACTGCTGACGTAATACGTGCGAACCTGGAGGGGACAAGACGGGAAACAGATGATTCACATGATGCCGCTCCTCTCACTCAGCTTAAAAAACAGTTTAGTTGTTTTTGTAACATTCCTGGATGTTTCTGTCATCATTTCATCAGAATCAGAGGAAACCTCACACCCACTTTCCCATGACGTTCACTGATGCCTTTGATATGAATGTCCCCTCTGAGCTGCCGTAGGAAGCCTCGCTCTACCAGAATGCAGCTGGTGGATTCTGGTACCTGAGCAAAGGTAAAGACCCTGTTAATATGACCACACACATATTAGCCCCTCCCCCAGACAGGTGAGCTCACTTGGATCCTCCCGCTGACCCCGGTGCTCTCCATCCGACTCGCCATGTTGACCGTTAGACCCCAGATGTCGTACTGAGGTTTGGTGGCTCCAATCACACCTGCAATCACCGGGCCGTGTGCAATACCTGGAGGTCAAAGGTCAGACAGCACAAGAGTTTCAATCTTTAGTGACAGAAACAAAAAAGTACTACAATAAAAGCATGTTTTTAGATAAAAAGTAATTTTTTATGCTGAATAACATAAAATAATTATTTCTTTTAAATGTTTTTATTCTAATTTTAATCTAATATGTATCAATTTAAAATGACAAAATGTATAAAATTATAGAAAACTATTTATACACAAGCTACACAAAAAATATATAAAACAATGCATGCGTGCGTGCGTGCGTGCGTGCGTTCGTGCATGTGTGTGTGTGTGTGTATGTGTGTTGCATACCAACTCTCAGCTGGAACATGTTTCCTGTCTGCATGTTGATGTGTTTTAGAGTTTCCTGCATGGCCAAAGCGAACAAAACCAACTCACTGAGGTGATTCCAGCCATCCTCAAACTCCTGGACACACACACACACACACACACACACACACACACACACACACACACACACACAGTTACAACAAGCTCAGTGTCACACAGAGAGGTGACAGAACAGTGTGATTCACCTGTCGGTCAGGTGAGAGGCCTGAAGCTGCCATGTATGTGCTGCCAATGGTTTTAATCTTCTCCACTTCCTGGAAATAACATTCGTCCAGCAGCTGTAAGAGCACGTGAAGTGGTTAAATCAGGTGTGTGTGTGTGTGTGTGTGTGTGTGTGTGAGTGTGTGAGAGAGAGAGAGAGAGAGAAAGAGAAAGAGAGAGTGAGAAAGAGAGAGAGAGAGAGAGAGAGAGAGAGAAAGAGAGGGAGAGAGAGAGAGAGAGAAAGAGAGAGAGAGAGAAAGAGAGAGAGAGAGAGAGAGAAAGAGAGAGAGAGAGAGAGAGAGAGAGAAAGAGAGAGAGAGAGAGAGAGTGAGAAAGAGAGAGAGAGAGAGAGAGAGAGAGAGAGAGAGTGAGAAAGAGAGAGAGAGAGAGAGAGAGAGGGAGAGAGGGAGAGAGAGAGAGAGAGAGAGAGAGAGAGAGAGAGAGACCTCATCAAAATCACTGATGATCTGGTTGAGGAGGTGGAGACACTCGACATGCTGATGGGCGAGTTCTTTCCTCTCGTAGAAGTCAGAGAATCCTGGCAGAGAGGCGAACAGGACGCCAACATGCTCGTATGACTGAGAGTACAGCTCCTAACACACACACACACACACACACACACACACACACACACACACACAGGTTTGTGCTCAGTTGCAAAGCATTAGGAGCTAAAACACACCTGTCAACTCAGGTGTTGGGTACCTCGTCGTAGGCGTCCCTCTCCAGGAAGTGTTGAGCCACGTGAGCTGGCAGGATATTAAGCAGCAGGCACTCGTTGCGCTCCCTCTGCTCCTTCATGTCTTCCACCTCCTTCCTCGCCTGCAGACGCCACAGGAAGTCGAGCCGGGCCGTCGCCTCTAACTGCCAACAAAGAAGACCCAGAGGAAAGCCCGGGTTAGGGTTTGGTTTGGTCGGAGTTTAAACCTGCATCAGATCCCAGGAGAGTAGATGTCACCTGTCTGCTGTTGTAGAGGACGGCCACTATGAACATCCCCATGACAACCAGACAAACTCCCCTCCTGCACAAGTGGTAAGAGCTGACCACAGATCAGATCCATTAGGAGGGAAAAAATACACCAGACAGGAAATGACTTCAAGAATTTTAATACGTCCTTCGGCACCTGATTGCAGCCCTCCACCTGTCCCTACCTGTGAGTCTCGATCACGTAGGTGTACAGGATGGCAGCCAGCAGCAGGAACACCAGCTGGAGGACACAGCTCAGTCTGAGGAACACCGTACAGGTAACCATGGCAACCACAACACTCAACACCATGACCTGTGGAGGAGAGAGGTCCACTGAAGACATCACAAGTAAGGAAACAATGTAAAAGTCAAGGTGTGCAGGACGACCGTGCGCTCACCTCTGGATGAGTGCAGATGTTGATGTCAGACCAGGTGGAGGTGGGCGGAGCCAACAGGGCCTCGTGCCCACTGGTTTGGGACGCATCACACCATAGCTGTATGGAGGAAACAAGGAAAGAAGTGAACATTAAAGTTTTTGTTCTCCCTGATGAACTTCTAAAAGTGAAACCACAGCACTAGTCTTTAGACTTTAGCTCCAGTTTCCCAGCAGCAGTGAAGGCAACACTAAAACTCAGCTTTACAAGAGACTAAAGATCAGACTCACGATGTCCACCGTGGCGATCACAGAGTTCACCGTGATGGCGGTGAGCATTAGCATAGTTCGAGCATCCTTGTTTTCATGAACCCAGCAGCAGACCGACTGCAGGGGGGCGGGGCAATGTTTGAACTCCTCCCCCAGAGTCAGCAACAGAAGCAGGAAGTAAATGCATCCACTGACAAGGAACTGCACCACCATCGGAATCAACCTGGATGTGCACGTGGACGTGTGAATATGAACTGGTGAGGGTTAGGGTTAGTCCAAAAACCTGAGTGCAAACTTCTAGAGATTTATCTTTATTACTAATAATCACCATTTTGTTTTTGATGATAACATTTCACAAACATGGACAAAAACATCTGGATCTTTGTAAATAACCAGATGAATAATCAGTCCAAATATCTAAGATTTATTTATAATGATAATATCACTGAGGAAGACGGAGCAGGTGTGGGAGGTGTACCTGGGGGCAGGAATCAGCACCTGGACCACCATCAGCACCAGAAGAAGAATGAAAGAACACACCATGTTGGACTTGAAGAGCTCATCTCTGATCTGAGAGTACTACGACACAAAAAACACAACGATCGCCTGCTTGTTTATTACACCTGAACACAAGCCACGCCCCCAAGAGGAAGTTACCTTTCCCTCCATTTGGGAGTCCTTGAACACCTGAGTGAAGGTAGTGATGTGCTCCTTTCTCATTCGCTCGCTGCTTCGGACCTCCATCGCCTGACGAATCCTCTTGTTGACTTCCCGTGCGCCGGAACGCTGAGCTGTGATGTGATTGGGCAGCTGAGTCAGAGAGCCGTTAGTGAACGTGGCCAGAATCTACACCACGAAAGAACTGGTTTAAGAACAAAGGCATTTATGTTTTTATCTCTGAACCATCGTGAGACGTATCCGTCCTACTCACAAAGTTCATTCCCAGGATATCTCCAAACGGCAGCTCGGCGCTCCAGGTTGTCATCTCATCGTAGCTGGGACGCCTGGCTTTAGGTGGCTGGGCCTCCTGCTGCAACGCGGGGCGGATCAGATACGTGTCTATCTTGTGTTTCCGTAGAAACTCGCTGCGGTCCTGGCCGTGTCCCTGTTCTATGACATAAATCCCATCTAGACAGTCCAGGGTGGCCTGTGAGACGTGGACCTGCCTGGGAGGGACAAAATGGCTCATTTCTACATAGAAACCTGGATTTCCATTGGTCAGAAAAACGCCTGGAAATGTGATGTCACAGGGGCTCGCTACAGGTGTTATCAGGGTCAAAACCAGAACCTTTAATGATTTCACTCCATCTTTATACTAAAAGATACACAGGCTCATGTAACTGGACCCCCCACACACAGCCTGCAGGTCAGTGGATGATGCCAATACTTGGCTCTGCACTTTCTCCTCCAGAATCCGGACTCCACAGGAACCTGTAGGGCTACTCTGCGTAGATCAGACCTTCTCATCCCTGTTGCAGAACAAACTCTCTGAATCTGCCTGTTCCACCTGCAGTTGGATCACTGACTTCCTATCAGACAGGAAGTAGTATGTGAGGCTGGACAGGCATGTCTTTGGACCTCCTGATTGTCAGTACTTGTTCTCCTCAAAGATGTGTTTTCCCCTTTCTTCTCCTCCCATACCAGCTCTAGCTCTGCTTACCATTCTGACGACTGCAGAAGACAACCCTCACCAGATTCTCTGGTGGTGATGAGACAGCCTACAGGGCAGATACTAACAGTCTGCCCAAATGGTGTAGAGACAAAAACCTGGACCTCAATACTGTCAAGACCTTTGAGATCTCCAATGTCCATGTGACGACCCTCGTCCCCTCGGTCCTCCCCGTCACGTTTGTCTGCACCCTGTTTTCACCACTGCCGAGCTTTTCAGCACCTGGGACAGTTTCTGGACTCACTCTCCCTCAGTGACAAATCAGGACCTTGGAGAGAGGCACGCCGGAAATAGGAGCAGCTGATCCACATCGGTCATCAAGCAGCCTGGAGGACTTCAAAAGGAGAGCACAGCATTGATTCCAGGAGATCCAGAGCTAGTCTGAGATTCTCCTGAGCTGGGTTAACCCTTTTCACTACGGCTAAACTGTGGTTTATGTTCGTCTCAGACTTTTTGTAGAAAGTGGACTTTGTTCTTCTTCTCGAGGCTTTGACAGCATTACAGCTTTAGGTTTGGTGTTTTCCCCATTGGACTTTTTAGCCGGGGATCTTCTGTTTAGGTGTTTTTAGTTATTTCGGCCAAATGCCATTTTGTAAGCCGTTTCTTGCTTACGTTTTCGGTTTACACCTGTGTAGCACCGTTCCCTGTTTTCAGTCTTATTTTGCCTTTAGGAAAGGACACCTTTTGTAAATAAACCCTCTAGATTTTTACTCTCACCACCTCATTATTTTCCCACTCACTCACACCTCCACCTATTTTTCTGTGTTCACCCCCTCATCCTCCTGGATGTCCAGGAACCATCATTCCCGAGGACCATAATCTGCTCCCTCATCAAAAGAGCTCAGCAGATGATCTTCCTACCTCAGCTGAAGAAGTCCAACCTACCAGGGTCAGAGATGGTACTATGATCTGTGACAACCAACTGCTCATTAGAAAACTATCTGGTCCTGGTTCTTCTGGTGTTCTTAGACGGAGATGTTTTACCAACCTGGACCAGTTAAACACACGACTCAGGACCAGATTGTTCCTAATAAACGGATCAGTCTTCAGATGTTCAGTCGGATGCGAATCAGTGTGTTTTTGTTTCATGTGTGTGTGTTTCTGACCCCGGTACTCCTGCAGCCTCTAGGCTGTTGGCAACGTCCACGTCCCAGCTCCAGATGTCAAACTGCCACTTCTGAAGACCCAACACACCACAGAGGACAGAACCTGAGTGGACTCCAATCCGCATGTCCAGATCCTGCTGGAGCTCCCGTCGAACGTACCTGTGACCCAACACGTGTGTTTACTGGGACACTCAGGCAAGGGAGTTAAGGACGGTGATGCTCTTACCTAATGGTGCTGATCATACTCAGACCCATCTCCACACAACAGCGAGCGTGTCCTCTCTGAGGCTCCGGGACACCAGAGACACAGTAATAACAGTCTCCCAGGATCTTAATCCTCAAACATTGGTGCTCCTGGACACAAAGAGAACACAGAACCTCACCGTCAGACAACAGTCAAACTGCTGAACATGATATGGTCATCAAGGTGGGCTGACCTCAGCTAGCTTGTCGAAGCGACCAAAAAGCTCGTTTAGAGTTTTTACCAGTTCCTGAGCCGAAAGGATCAAAGAGAGAGCCGTGAAGCCGATGATGTCTGCAAACAGGATGCTGCAGAGATAAACAATGTCCAAATCACTGCTGATGTCCCCCAAATTAAAGATCTAAACCTGCTCATGCTCCATCACAACCACCTAGTTATTCACCTGACGTTCTTGTAGTGATGGATGTAGATCTTATGGAACTGTTGAGGTAGCAGATATTCATCCACAGCAGTCATGTCAGCAACCATCTCCAAAACCAGGAAGCGTGGCAGGATGGACATCACCAGACGCTCCTGGCAACACAAAGATGGAGGCAAAAATGAACATGGAACAAGTAAAAATGTTTTCAGGTGATCTCAAGGACATGCAGCAAGGATCATGACTTCTGCTTGGAGGCGGAGCCAGGACTCTACCTGTCTGTGGTTCTCTCTCTCCAGTCGAACTCGTCCTTCGATGCAGCGTCGGGTCTCCAGGAAACTCTGCCTCTGAGTCCGGTCAGACAGGTAGTTAATGAACAGACCTGCAATGTTCATGCCCAGGTACAGCAAGGCCTTTGACATCACCTGTGCAGGTACAACCAGACCATGTGGTTAAGTTATTACAGGTAGAACTGTAATCATGGTAATCACCTGTGCAGGAGGACAAAGGAAAGTGATCAATTTAAAACGTGAGAAAGGTATAAATTAGAAATTGAGAAAAGAACAAAATTAAAGAAAGAATGAAAAAAAAACATGTAGAAAAAAACATGGAGAATAATTTAAAGAGGAGATCGACAAAGAAGATATTTTTACCTTTCTGATGATTTGGTTGCTGTAGTTCATACAAATTTCCACCAGGAGGTGCAGGGTGGAGGTTGTTACCCCAGCAATGATAGCCCAAGGGAGGGGGAGGGGCAGCAGAGTGTAGGTGGAGAACAAAGTGAAAAGGACGTACCAGGAGTGGTCTGTCTCTGCCCAGGTGAAAACGCCAACCAACACCTGGGCTGTCTGAGACGTCCAGCTGACCACCGACAGGAACCTGAAATAGGACATGTGAGAGGGTCCTGTAACTCTGGACATTTTAGAGGACCCAGGAACTATGGACAGGTGAAAAGATCCTGTAACTCTGGACAGGTAAGAGGACCCTGTAACTGGATTGGTGTGAAGACCCTAACTCTGGACAAGTGAGAGGACCCTGTAACTCTGGATAGTTGAGAGGACCCTGAAACTCTGGATAGGTGTGAAGACCCTGAAACTCTGGATAGGTGTGAAGACCCTGTAACTCTGGACAAGTGAGAGGACCCTGTAACTCCGGATAGGTGAGAAGACCCCATATCTATGGATAGATGAGAGGACCCTGAAACTCTGGATAGGTGTGAAGACCCTGTAACTCTGGACAGGTGAAAAGACCCTGTAACTCTGGATAGGTGAGAAGACCCCATATCTATGGATAGATGAGAGGACCCTGTAACTCTGGATAGGTGTGAAGACCCTGTAACTCTGGACAGGTGAAAAGACCCTGTAACTCTGGATAGGTGAGAAGACCCCATATCTATGGATAGATGAGAGGACCCTGTAACTCTGGATAGATGAGACAACCCTGTAACTCTGGATAGGTGAAAATACCATTTTACTCTGGATAGGTGAGAGGTCCCTGTAACTTTGGGTAGGTGAGAAGACCCTGTAGCTTATTGGTGAAAAGCCAAACTTCATCTCCCTTCTCACCTTAGCCCGTTTGGTGATGTCATCACCTCCTTCTTAGCCAGTGACAGCACACAGAAGCCCGCCCACAGGATGACAGTCAGGCAGGTCAGCCAGTCACAGGCCACATTCCCCCAGCCTGTTGGCCTTGTTAGCAGAGTCACAAAGAGTCGGGTGAGGATGTCGATCAGGTTGGTGACGACCAGCGAGGTTCTTCTCTGGGCCAAGGAGAACTGCTGGTAGAGCTGCTCCAGCTCAGCAGACCTGATGAGATCAGATTAGTGACTCCATCTGTTTTGTGTTTAGTAGCATTGAGACACCTCATCTACTGTACTCCAAAGGCTTTAACAAACAAAATGGCTTGTATTAGATTTTATTTATTTATACTTGAACATCAGCTGCAGCATTGGAATGAAGACACCTCGAACTGATGGTCCAAATGACACAAAGAAGTCAGCATCAATTAGTGAGCGTGGAGTGGTTTTTGTTCCCACACTCTGCGAATTGGGATGGACCCGAGCTGCAGAGGAGCGACGTTTCTGCCAGAAATTTCCACGAGATGCCTTGTTGCGAATCTGCCTGTAGGTCAAAACAGAGGGAACAGCTTAAAATGCGTTCTAGAAAAATGTTTTCCTGTGATGACGTCACCTGTTGATGTCAGCAATATAGGCATCAGTGACTGTGATGCGGTGCCTGCCCCTCTCCAGTCCTCCAGCCAACCTCAGAGAGTACAGGTTGTGCTGATCAATGATGTTCCTGACAGCAGTCTGCCACAAAAGGTGCTTCCTCTGTAAGCCATGGGTGGGACCAATGTTAGCGCTGATGGAGATGTCACTGGTCTGTCGTGCCAACTCACAATCACCATTTCTTATTTTGCCATTGTTGTCGGCCATGATTACACGGGTGGTAGTTTAAGTTCCTGGAGATGGAGCAGAAAATTAAAAACAAAAACTTTGAGATGAGATTATGTGAGTTTATGTACAGACAGCTGGACAGGATCAAATAATTTACCAAAATCCAAACTAGACTCTAGACCACACTGGAACCAGATTGCAGAGTTGGCCCGGTCAGACCTTTTGATGAAAGGGATCCAAGATGGATTCACCAGTTCTTCATTGACCAGTGGTCGGAACTAGCATCAACCTTCACGTTTACAAGAATGGAGTTTTGATGAGGATAAATATGCTCCAGGGATGGTTTACCATAAACTAACTCATATAAAATCCTATATAAATACTTTCTTGTGCAAATAAAATGTTAACTGTGCAATTACCCCAATCGTCCTGTTGAACAACTATTGTTGTTTTTGTTCTTGGACTGTAGATCTGTGAGGACTTTTGTAACTTTGTTAGACTTCAACTTAATGCTTGGAGGTTAAATGCACACATGCCCCGTAGCTGTAGTGTTTGTATAATCAGTTTATTGTAGGGATGCTCGATATTGGCAATTTTTACCGATATCTGATATACTGATATTGTCTGACTCTTAGTTTTTGATATAAACCAATACCGATATAGGATGTGTCCCCTCTCAAATTCCCACTACACAAGTTGAACCAAATTAACTAAAATATCTAAAACTAAACCTCAGATCTCTCCAAATATTTTAACATTTTGAGAGAGAGAAGTAGCTGAAGAGTTTGATGTACTTTGTGTGTATGGGATGTAAAAGTTGTGTCAATAAAAGACTGAAAACGGATACCAAAATTTTTCTATATTAAATTTTTATGCCGATATCAACTGATATTAATGATAGATTGATAATACAGGACAGCCCTAATTCATTGTTTAATTTTCTTTTTCTTTTTAGGGATGCTGAAAACATTGATGCGCTGCAATATCACGATATTCCATGTTGTTACTGAATCAGTATTTAAAAGCAGTGTGTTGATTTTCTTATTAGGAATTTATAGGTAACCATTGTTTTTCTCTTGTGTGGTGCAATTCAAACTTTGATTTCTAGGCGGCAGTAATTTTTACCGCCGTCATTCTGACAGAACAAGATCTCGTCATGACACTGGATGAGTTTTGGAAGCATCTGGACAGAGTTTTCCAATTAAATTTAATATCATCTGGCTTTTAGTATCGCAATATTATTTAGTGATATATATTGTATAGTCTCCCGTGTGTTGTATATAAACAGTACAGGCCAAAGGTTTGGACACACCTTCTCATTCAATGTGTTTTCTTTATTTTCATGACAACGACCATTTACAAAGGGGCTAAAAAGTGCTAAACACCTCTTGGGAACTCCTTCAAGACTGTTGGAAAACCACCTCTTGAAGCTCATCAAGAGAATGCCAAGAGTGTGCAAAGCAGTAATCAGAGTAAAGGGTGGCTATTCTGAAGAAAATATAATAAAACATGTTTTCAGTTATTTCACCTTTTTTGGTTAAGTACATAACTCCACATGTGTTCATTCATAGTTTTGATGCCTTCAGTGAGAATCTTCATATGTAAATGGTCATGAAAATAAAGACAACACATTGAATGAGAAGGTGTGTGTCCAAACTTTTGGCCTGTACTGTGTCATATGATCAGATTTTTGCCAATACACACCTCTAGTTATTTTCATAGACCCTCTTCAATTCAGCTTCATGTTGCACAAACTCATGATTGTGGAGGTATACATGGACGACACAGGGTAAGTTTGAACCACCAGCTTTACTACTCCAACTCAACTGACCTCAGGCCCACTACTGCTGTAAATTTAAACACATCAAAGACAAAGGCCAGACACAGACCCAGCCAGCATACATTGGTGGAACCCATATGGAATATACATGGGCAAACAATATGGGTCCCAACAGGTTTTGTCCATGATTTTCATGTTGGCCCCAAAGGGGTTTGCAAACATAGCTTTTAATGGGTCCTACATGGGTTTTCAGAGGAACCCTGATGGTTTGACTCATACTTGAGTCCATTAAAATCATTGTGGACAAGCCCCCGTGGGGCCACCATGGAATCTGTAGACAATACATGTTGAGGGCCATATTGTTTGCCCATTTAGATTCCATATAAGGCCCACTTCATGGTGCTGGGAGGGCACCAGGCACAGGTTCTGAGGGACAATAGCATTTGCATTCATTACTATAATGTGCAGTCCGACTTTGGTGTGAGTGTTACTTCCTAGTGGGATGAAACACAATAATCTTAAAACCAAAATTAGGACTGAGTAGATAGGCTGTGTGTGAATGGGATCTTCTGGAGCAGGAGAAGCCAAAGAGGCCACCTGGTTGGCTCCTGGGTCTGAACAGGTGTTCAGCATTCTCCTGGACTTTCTGAGAGGATAATTGGTTTTTGAAGAGCAGACCGATGGGATGAAAAGGAGTTAGGTATTGGTGGGAAACAGAAATAATGAATAACTTACTGGTTTCATCCATACTTCAACAAATAACCTGTCAGAACATAGGCTTTTCTCATCATCAGTTCATCTTCTTGGTGCTGCATAGTCAATAAAAGCCATCATCAACTCCATCTCTCACAAATTCTGTCCATGCTTCTCGTTAGATTTCTTCTTCAAACTCTTCCAGTCTTTCTAAATCCAAAATTTCTTCAGCACATTGCAGAGTTGGTTTTTCTGAGTTCTTCCAAAACTGACAAATAACAAAAATGTAAAGATGATGCTCCCTTCAGACCATAAACACAGGTTTCCTTAAATCCAGATAACGGAGAATAAATCCAAATGACTAACGTAGCAGTGCAGCATAACCAGCAGCAGCAACTTTGTGTGGTGATCTGATGTGAACCAACAGATGTCTGAGAGCGTCGTTAATCCCATCTGGAATCCCCGAGGCAGACAAAAGGCCATGTGTCTGACTGTTAAGGTGCCTGATGGGATTGGAAGGCTTCCAACCAGGTCAGGTTGAGTTTGGGTGATGAGGTTAGGCGTTGGAGCTGGAAGCCTGAGACGTATAGTCAGTAATGATCTCAGGGAGGTCAAAAGGCTCCAGAAGGAAGGAAGCAGCTCCTCCTGGTGGCTTCAACGGCAATATTACAGGTTTTACTACAACATGATCTGACCACATTCTGGCAGTTTTAGGAAAGGACCTGGAGAAATTGGTAAAGTATCATACAGGGTGCTGAACCCTAAAGGGATCAGGTATTGATCTACAGTTGACCATGGTGGTCATTTTGAAGTTGGCCAGCTTGGATCCAACTTTTGTTTTTTTCAATTGGAAGAGTCATGTGACACATCAAACTTATTGGTAATTTCACAAGAAATACAATGGTGTGCTTTGTTTGAACAAATTCTTTCATGGTCACCACCCATCATGAAAAGTTTGCCCACTCACATATACTAATGTGGCATAAATAATATCACCAACCATTCCCATTTTATGAACGTGTATCCATATAAATGGCCCACCCTGTACAGTAACCTTAACTAAGCCTCTAGAAACCAAAAGTCCTCTAGCCAGAGAAGTATTCCAACCAGCATAATGTTCTCAGGCTACATGGAGGCTAAATGAGAGATATGTACGAATTTTACACTGAAATGATCCCAAAAGTCCAAGGTATCAATCATGTTGGAAGGAAGGTTACATTGAAACAGATTTAATTCTCAGCCGGCTGGAGGATTGTCAGTTTTTCTCCTTTCAAAATAGTCAGAGATACATCATCATGTTTACGATCAGCGAGCCTGTGAAGTAGCTGTGTCTCCGGCAAGCTAACGCTGTAGAGTCAACATTTGTAATTCGACACCAACAGGTAAAATCTCCAGGGTTGTTGAATGAACCAAAGCCAGTAACAGGAGTGACCAAGAAGTTTCTTTTTGTTTTACTCTATTATCAGGTGAAGCAGGCTAGAGGCTATGGTTGAGCTAACAAAGCTAACGGTGAATTGGAAGCAGATAGTTGGCTCTAAAAAAATCTCAGCTAATTTTTCAAATACCAACAACTTGATATTAAAGTGAAAAGTATTTGTGTACTGACCAACCTACTGTGCATGACTTGTCTTTGCTTATCATCTAGAACACGTGTCAGACAAGGCCCACGGGCTAGGTGTGGCCCGCGAAGCATTTTTATGTGGCACGCGAGATAAATATCAAAAATATATAAAAACTGACCTGCTTGCCGATCTTACCGCAAAGACTACAACTTCCACGATGCTTTGTGGTGTTAGCGCGGAGCCGAAGCGCCCCTTCCTTTGTTTTTTCCAGCGTCTGCTGCCAGTGTCTGCAGCAGCTCCGCTGTCTCGGACAAACTACACTCCTCTCACTCAGTGCCGAGTTTACTCAGCTATTTGCCGACGTTGAAGCCCAGAAATGGAGATTTTAACCGCTCAGTAATGTGTTCACGACTGAAAGAGAAAGTTTTCCAACTAACATCCAGACAGAGCTGATATAACTCCAGCGAGCAGCGACACACTCAAGTCAGCATGACTCTGTGGCTGCTGTCGTTTTTATTTTTCCTTCTTGACACAACAACGTGGTCAAGCTGCTCAGACATGTTCAGCAGCCCAAACCTATGTGAGCACCTGTTGTCATCTAATGTTGTCATTTTTATGATGAAGATGGACAAAACAACAGGAGTCTCCTCCTCAGCTCAGAGCTGAACCCCATGATGCAGGTATCTGGCTGGAACAGGTGAGGATCACAGTAAATCAGTGGAGCAAACTGAGCTTTAAATTTTTTGGTTTTATGCTCTTTTCCTGCTCCAAAACATGAAACAGGTGAGATGTTGCATTTTCATTTAAGATAAAATTATATTTTTATTTTGTTGCTGGCCCGTGAGAAAAGATTTAACCTGCAGTAGAACAGGAAGTGGAAAGGCTGCAGATAGATGAATAGAATAGAAAATCCCTTTATTGTTCCTCAGTGGGGAAAGCTAGGTGTCACAGCAGCGATGACACTTATTACAGGAGAAAAAAAGGAGAATAAATAAGAAAAATTAACAAGAAAACATAAATCCTGAATAGATTTTAAAAATGCTGAATATACCACAAGTAATGAATACCACCGATACGTTTTATTTAAAAATAACTTGCTTGTTTGTAATTTGGTCATTCCACATTCAGTGTTAATGCAGAAATAAGTTTGTTTCCAAATTAAAAGGTTCAAAATTGCATACATGTCGATAAAGAAAATGTGCAAATTTGCCGTCACTTTTTCAAAAAATATTAAGTTTCGCCCTCGACTCCGTCCCAGATTTTCATTTCAACCCAGTGTGAATTTGACTTTGACACCCCTGGTCTAGAACCTTCTGGCACAGGCAACAGCCATGAAACTCATGGAACAGAAGTGAGAAGGTGACTTTTTGTTTAGAAAAATAGTGTGCAGTACCCATATTTGACCACAGGTTGTCACTCTTGCTTCATTCTTGCGGATTAAAAATGCTTTAAAAATGCTAATCATACAAATTAATCATTTTTAATCAGTTCTACTTAAATATTTTACACATTTTTCTGGACACAAAAACACAAACCAAGTGAACTCCTGATACATAAATTAACTCTTCTAAAGTTAAAAAACTCAATAAACTAAGTTTTCTCTTTATTTGATGGAAAACTGATTTTATTTTATGTTTTTATGGCAAATAAAACAGAAATGATAAATTAAGAGTTCAGTTTTTTTTTATTTAGACACAAACTATGTAAAAATATAAAACTATAAGAACACACAATGATGCAGAAATGTCCAACAGGTTCTGTTCTCGTGACATAAGCTTGTAAACAGACACAAAACACCCTGTCCTTACCGATGAAGATGTTCCATCATCATCACCATGTAAACTTTCACTGTGAGTTTAATAACACTTAAAATTGTGATGACTCAAAAAATGCTGTGGATTTTTCTTATTTAAAATAAAAAATAATGCATAAAGTGCAAATACTTGAATTTAAAACCAGAGGAGGAATTCTGATGAGCCGAAAGAAATTAGTAACTTCGCTCTGTGAGATTAAATGTTTGTTTCAGCTGAGAAATAAATTATTAGACAAACTTGGCTTCATGTCAGACAGTCAACAAATAATCTCAATTATCTCAAGGGATTTCACATCCGGTCTCAACAGGTTTCACGCGGCAGGAACTAAAGCTGACAGTGACATGAACTCAGAATAAAAACTATGCAGTGAAAATGCAAAAGTCACAATAGCAAAATGTGCAAATATGATAAAGTTTGAGGCATAATCTGAAGAAAACATGATTTTTTTTTTTTTTTTTTGCCTGAAAACTTTGAGTTGTTTAGTTGTAACACTTTGGCAGTCCCATGGGACAAGTTTGAGTTTTGAAGAATGAATTTGTTGTTATCCACCTCATTCCTGGTCCGGCTCATGGAGAAACGATGACGTGAGCAACATCTGGTGAGATAACAGAAGTAGCGCGTAGTGGTTTATACATTAAACAACGTTTAAAGAGGATTTTAAAAAGTATTTACCCCCCAAAAAATGTACTTGTGCAACTCGGGAAGATGTTGCACTGTTGGTGGTAAATGACCCACACTTGTATAGCGCCTTACAGAGTCAGAGGACTCCAAAGCGCCTTACACTACCATGTATAGGAAATTCCATTAAATTAAATTTGTGGTTACAAGAACGATGTTTAGAACATGCACCTTGGAGTAAGGGTGGCTACGAGTGGCGGTTCCACAGAGATGAGGAACCCAGAGGGATGTGGCTTCAAAATCTTAACTTGGAAACAACCACAAACTTTATTTGTGTTCCTTTCATTTCGTTGTGAAAAACCCAGAGCGGAACAGCCTCATCCTACTTTGTTGTTGCACATGACAAACCTCTGAAGAAGGGACACCGAGGAGTTAATACAGCAGTCTCACAACAAGTTTGATTTCATGTGTACTAGAGGCCGGCCAGTAAATTCCATTTTTTTCCTATCAACCATCGGCTGAAATTAATTTTAAAAGCTGATAAAAATAAATAAATAAATCATGCACCTGTGTGGCCAAGTTTTATATTTTAAGTTCAGTAAATACTAAGAGATTTATTGACTATATTGCACACAATTGTCTTTCACAATATATATATATATATATATATATATATATATATATATATATATATATATATAAAGTATATAAATAGTATATATATATTTATATATATATACATACATATATACATATATATATATATACATATACACATATACATATACACATATATACATATACATTATATATATATATGTATATATATATATAAAGTATTTAAATAGTATATATGTATATATATACGTATGTATATATACATGCATATATATATACATACATGCATATATGTATATATACATACATGCATATATGTATATATATATATACTATATATATATATGTATGTATATACATATATACATAGTATATATATACGTATATACATATATATATATACTATATATATATATATATATATATGTATATACATATATACACACATTTTATAAGATGACTTCAGTGGTTTCAGGACGATGAATAAACTAATCATTAACTTTTCTGTTTTGTTTGATACTGACCAGTTCAGTTATGTTCAGTTAAACTACGTTTTCAATTGAGTAGATATCTGCGGCTTATAATGAGGTGCGCTCTATAGTCCGGAAATTACGGTATATATATACCCTCTTACCTGGCCAACCTGCTGCATCTCTACACACCCACTCGTGCCCTTCGTTCAGCTGATCAGCTGCTGCTGATTGTTCCGAAGGCTCGCTATAAATCTCAGGGTGAGCGTGCCTTCTCACACGCTGCCCCCAAACTCTGGAACTCTCTGCCCCTCCATGTGCCTCAGGTACCTTCCCTTTGTAGGTTTAAGTCTGCCCTCAAAACACACTACTTTAGCCTGGCTTTTCCCACGTGACTGTTTTCATACGTCAGTGTGACTCTTCTCTATTAGCGGCAGCTTGTGACATTCCTCAGAACTTTATAGCTCACTAACGTTGCTCAGTTGGTTTTTACATGTTTCTCTTTTATTTCTTATCTTAGTGCTTTTACTTGTTTTATGGTTAGTTAATTTTTAATGTAATTTTATGCTTTGCTTTTATGTGTGTTATATGTTTTTAGCTTTATATTTTACTCCTATACCGTCTTTGTTGTTGTGTGTGAGTCTTTTGCTCTCCTGTACAGCGCTTTGGTTAGCTGCCATGCTACAATCAGTTTTAGATATCAGCCATCGGCAACTAAATTCTTTAAAAATCTGTATCGGCCTAAAAGACCATATCGGTCGGCCTCTAATGTGTACAATTTTCTGAACAGTTATAATGTCGTGTGTGTTTAGACTGCCATCATTAACCTGCCGATTTAAGACTGACTCTGCTGTACGTCTGCTTTTAATTAAATACGATTGTCTTTCAACAAAACATGGCCAGCCTTGTTACTACGTAGGTACTGATGAGCTTCGGAGCTTTTAAGATTGTTTATTGCCTCGCTGTCGAATGTTGAGTTAGGAAACTAGCTAAAAATGCTACTGTACATTAGCTTTTGGCCAAATTTTAAGATCAAACCCCCCCCTTCTCTGGTGCAGGGGTGTAACGGTGTCACGTTTGAGCTGTGACAGCTGGTGTTACGTCTCTAAAAGCTCATAAATGGAGGATTAGCGCAAAGGGACCACTTTGTCTCAATGTAACGCGAATAAGAAGTTGCTCGAATTTTTCAAGCACAAGCCCACAGGGACAGGAATAAGGTGGATAAAACGGGCTGCATAAAACATAACAACTAGAGGATTATTGAGAGTGAAAGGAAATATTAATAATAATAACAGTAAATACGTTTACCAGAACAAAATATTCTGAAATATACAAAAACTACATATTTGAATTGTTGTCAATTTTTCACTCACAATATTTCAAGAGAAACGATTGAGTGCAGCACAATTATATAATAATTATTATTATTATTATTAGCACATGCTTTATTCTTCAGACTAAATAGTTGATATTTTGATGGATTTCAGGCAGGAAGTTGGTTTGGGTGACACTCAGCTGCTGATTGGTTCCTGCTGTGATGTCAGACAGGAAGTAATATTCACGCCCCTCAGCCTGGGTACTTTCCTCTGATTGGTCAGCAGATTTTAATATTCAACATGCATTTTGATGACATTACATTTTGTTTTGGGAGTTCTATTTACGCCAGCCGATTTAGAGTCTTTCAACACTTAAACGAGTGGCTCTTTCACAATAAAAGTCTGAAAACACGGACGGGTTTGTGAGATCAGCGTGAGACCTGGAGAGCGACGAGAGCAACAGGAATCAAGAAACTTGTTAGATTTATTCTCACTACTTATTTAATATTATTTATTACATATTCTCCTCAAATCCACACAATCGAGACCGGATTTTACCGCAGTCGGTGAGCGTTTTGTAAATGAGGCTTTCATTTTTCATTTTAATCTGTCCTCCTGACGTCTGACATGTTACGATTTTAATCTGAGAATTATTTTTTGCCAAATGAAAGAATTTGAACAGTAACAACTTTCGCTCTTCATCGTGTTGCCCTCCTCGTCCTCCATCAGAGAACACAACTGATGTTGGCAAACAGCCACATGACACACAAGATGTAAACGCTGAATAAATAAATAAATAAATAAATAAACTAACGGGTCGGTTTGGCACCGAGGTTCTGCAGTCCAAATCATCTTCTCTGTTATTTAATGTTCTTCAGCAATGACGTGCGAGCGTTCACCACCGCCTTGAAGGCGTCCTCGCTGCCTGGGGCCACACATTTATCTGGGTGAAGCAGGACCGCCAGCTTCCTGTATGCCTTGTTCACCTCCTCCCTGGAAACAAATGGGTAGGAACCAATGTTGGAGGAGAGCTATTTCACCTTCAGAACCTAGTGGACCAGACGGATGTTCTACATCGGAATAACGCTGATCCTGAGTCAGATCTCTTTCCCTTCTGGGATCAAGAAAGATCCCCCCGGATGACGACCTTGATGAGGGTCATTTACTCACCGAGTGGCGCCGGGCTTCACCCCCAACATGTCCCATGAGTCTTTGCTGTTACGAATGCGTCGAATGGTGTCCGCCTGCTCCTTTGTGAAGCCCACGCTGACCTCTGACACCGGCCGCTTCCCACCGTTCTCACACATGTCGGTGATGGAGGAGAAGAACGCCTGAATAGGAGACGAATGTTAGAGACTCCATGAGGTGTGTGTGTGTGTGTGTGTGTGTGTGTGTGTGTGTGTGTGTGTGTGTGAGCAAGCACCTGGAACATCTCATTGATGCCTTCACCACTTTGTGCTGATGTCTCAAAGTAATGGAAGCCTCTGGACTCCGCCCACAGACGGCCCTCTCCCTCGTCGACGACCCTCCTCTTTGTCAGGTCCACCTGCTCAGACCAAAGACAGAACTTTGGCTTTTATTCAGACTTTTTTACTTTGCAATTACATTTTACTTTTCTTGATTTGGTTCACTGTGTGAAGTGCCTTGAGACGACTCCTGTCATGATTTGGCGCTATATAAATAAACTGAACTGAATTAATTATAACGCAGATTACACTTTGGTGTTTTCGAGCCTTGTGAGTATACCCGACCTTGTTAGCGCAGACGACAAAGACGATGCTGTCCATGTTGGCCTGAGAGCCCATTTCCTGTTTCATCTCAGCCAGCCAGCTGTCCAGAGCGTCGAAGCTCTCCCTTAGACCTACATCGTACACCAGCAGAACCCCTTGACTGTCCTTGTAGAACTCATTACGCACCTGAAATAAAAATCAGGCTGCTGAAGCGGCGCCACTAGCTGAAAGGAAGCCCACATGACACCAACTAGACCCAAAGCATCCTGGGAACAAACACCTCACCTCGTAGAAGAACGGATGTCCGGCCATGTCGAAGATGTTGACTTTGATTTCCCGGTCTCGGACCTGCACTCTGACATAAAACATAATCGTTGTTATGGTAACCCTGACATTTGAGCGCCGTGATCAGAGAGTGGACTCACTTGGTGACGCCGTAGTCAATGCCAATTGTTGCCAGATACTTGGGAACAAATCTCTTCTCACAGTAGCGTTTGATGATGCAGCTCTGGAGAAATAAGCTGAAATTATTTCTTGTATTTCAACCATCAGAGGCTGTTTGGATACAACAGAATGTTAGCCAGAAGAGGCTGCTGGACATGATGTTTGTTCCCAGGGTATCTGCAGGTTTAAGGGAGCCAAATTTAAGACTTTTTAAGACCTTTTTAAGGCCACTTTGACCAAATGTAAGCTAGTTTTAAAATTAAATTTAAGCTATAATTTCCAGCTATTGCCTGGAACCGGTGCTAACCACGTCGTGAATGTGGGATTAGCCATCCAGTTACCATTAAACTTGCACTTCCCCAATGGCACAAGCTCCCACTAGCTTAACCAGCTAATGTGCTCATCTAAAAACAGCCCCCTTTCACAACCAGCTGAATGTGTACGGTTCCGCTTACGCCAACATCGTACACAAAAAATGCTGAACACCAACTAGAAATTCACGAACATTTTTATAGAAATAAAATAATCTTGTTTATTGGATCTTTGGTAATTTAAGACCTTTGGAAACTGGATTTAAGGATTATTTGTCATTTTTAAGGATTTTCAAGGCCTTAAATTTGGAAAAGCAAATTTAAGACTTTTTAAGACTTTTTAAGGACCCGCGGATACCCTGTGTTCCAGAGGATTTGGTCTAAATGCTGGAAGCTGTAGATGTTTTATTAAGTCTTTAATACCTGCTTAGATACCACACATAAGCTAAAGAAAACCAAAATACAAAATTCTCTAGTTTGTTTTTGTACCAAAAAAGTTTGGTGTCTGAGATGGATCAATGTCCTCCAGTTTATAATAGTCTCTCACTTTTTATAACAAATTACATGAATAAACTTAAATATTTGTGACGAATGTAACGAACCTAACCATGCCGAATTGTAGAATCACTGTTATCGTTTCATTTTGCATTTGAACTTTGATGTGCTTTGAGTTAAATAATAAAAGTAATAAAATTATTGATTTTTAAACGGTGTTTGGCATCAGCAGAAAACAAATCCAGGATTCAAAAGCAACCTGACGTTCTAATGAGAAACACAAGTCTAATATAAACACATACACGAATTAATATGATGGTTTCGAATTATTACAAGGTGAAAATACAAAGTACAACAACACATTTTTCAGCAGCCCAAAGTGCCACAACTCAAATGCACCAAACTTCATTTGAAATTAGGGCTAAAATAAACAGAACAACTCGTACCTTCCCCACTTCAGCATTTCCGAGGCTGATGACTTTAACCCGCAGAGACTTCTTGTTGTCACGTCTTTTCGGTGCATTTGTTTCCATTTAGACTGATTAACGCAGGGTTTTTTGCAGCAGAGCGGGCAGCTGCGACAGCAGGTGCTGTTGTTAGCGGGGCTAACAAGACTAACGTTCCGTTAGCTATCTGGCTAATAACGAGCACCACCCTGAAACCGAACGATCATCTGGTTAATTAACCACAGCACATTATTTAACATTGATACTGATCTTGTTGTTGGGGCTAAGCTGTTGTCGAAGCGCATATCAGACCCGAAGAGCTAGCTAGCATCATAGCATTCTCTTTCTTCTTCTCTTCTGTAACTCCTGTAGAATGACGCAGCGTTCCAGTAGTGCTGCCCTCCTCCGGACAACAAAACCCACTACATTTACGTTGAATGAAATCCATCAGATTTCTAGAAATTCTGGTTTTTATTATTTTCTCCGCGGTTTAGTCTTTAACTCAGTCAGTATAAATTTCAAAATGTCTTCTATTTATTTACCAATACTAACCAACTATGCTGGAGGATATTTGCAGCCCAATCCAAACATACTATGCCTATAAGAAGAATATTATATTATATAAGAATACGATGTATTTTACTCATTATAATGCTCAGCTGTATGCTAATTGTCCTAATATTTATAACATTTTTATGAGTTTACACCACAAAAGAGAATCCAGTTTCCCCTGGGTAGCTGCTGGGAATGTGACTCTTTCTACTCCTCCCTCACTGATTCTCTTTTCAGATTTTTATTTTAACAAACAAACTCAGATACACCAAAAACTAACAGCAGTGAAATAACATAGCCGTTAGGTTCACTCAGCAGATGTAAGGTTTCTAGTTGAGTTAGTATTAAATTTGTGATTTTGACTCTTCTGTCTGAATGCTGCACTTTCACCTTCGTATCTGCCCGTAAATATTTGATTGGAGTCACACGGAGAACAGATCAATAACCAGCTGCAGAACTTGTTATTCAATCCTTCTTCTGTTCTGACACGATGTGGTTTACCTGCTCAGGATGAGAACGTGACCTCTGACCTGAGCTGCTGCTCCAGTTTTGACTGAAGATGAGATTCTGACTATCCCAGGTCAAAGACACAGACTGAAACTTTTTGCTCACTTAAGGAATTTATCCCCAAAGATCACAGGTACAAAATCCTAGAATCAGATTCTAGACCGGTTCTGGACCAGGTTTCCCGGTTTCCTGTGAACAGAACCGGAACCCCGCTGACACATGGGACTGACCTACTGAGTCACACTTTGACCCTTTGGTAAATACTCCCCCACCCCTTCAGGGATCAGACGGCGACTCCGAGCGACAGAGTGAACACTACTGAATCACGGTTCTGGATCATGGTGGAACCATCCAAACGGGCTGCTGTTCTGCTGCTGTTGGTGCTGCACGGCTACGCTGCTCACGATGGTACCGACCTGTTATTCTGTCACCGCAGGAGAACTGGATCTGGTTCTGGGTTTTATGAGTTCTGTTTGTCAGGTCTGGAGCAGATGATCCAGTTTAACCCATCTGAATCAGAGCTGTTAACATCAGTGGTGAAGAGGAACGAGAGGGCAGAACCTAAAATGATTTAATCCCTAATCTGACCTGAATTATGACACTAACAGAAACTGAACGTCCTGCCAGCAGCTTTGATCTTTTCTTTATTCTTCCCAGTTTTTCTCAACAGCCAGCAAGCGTTGCAGGTGCTGGTCCGAAGCAGACGAGCCAATCATTTGTTTGAGGAGATGAAACCAGGTACCTGTTTGACCTCTGACCTCTACATCATTAACCATCTGTTTACGATTCAATTATATTTTAAACAATCTGTAACAGTTTTACCCCGTGAATCGAAGCCATATCTGTCAGAGCCATCCCTCTTAAACAGGATTAGTACATTCCTCAGGCACCTGCTGGATTAAACACCATGTGTGGCTTCTGCCTTCTAGTGGACAATTTAAGTTCTCCAGATGTAAAGCGATGAATTTAATCTTTCTTGTTTTTAAAAGTAAAACCAATAAATCATTCAACAAAAAAATGTAGATTATTTCACATGTCACTGAAACAAAACTTGATTTAATACCAGATTACTGCTCAGTTTGTTTCCACGGTAACCACATATTCATGTGTTCACCTCAGGAAACCTGGAGAGGGAGTGTGTTGAAGAAATCTGCGACAACGAAGAAGCCAGAGAGGTGTTCGAGCAGGGCGATAAAACGGTGAGCCTTCCAACAGACTTGACATCAAATTAACTTTAATCTGAGATTAAATCAGATTAATCTCAGATTAAAATCTGAGATTAACTCAGAATCAAACTGTTCTTTTTCAGGTGGATTTCTGGACAACATACCTGGGTAAGCTCTGCTGGTACACTGCTTTTATTCATGGACACCTGCAGATATTTTTATTCAGTTTTATGGAAACAGATTTGTAGTCCTGGTTTCATCTTCTGATCAAAGAGATAAAACCAAACCTTCTCAAATTGTCCTCAAGTTGAAAATAATAAATCAACAAAAATTTTTATTTCTGTGTCAGATAAATGATGCAGCTTTCCATGTAAATACTTTAGAGTTTTGGTTAGCTTTGGTTACTAGACTCAGATCAGAGAAGGTGAGTTTATTCAGCTGCTCAGCAAACAAGAACAAAGTCCAGAAGACTTCGGCACACAAACATGTCACGGCTCTTTCCACAGACTGTAAAGGAACCCAGACCAAACGAACACAAAACAGCATCCCCCTGATCAGAAAGTGCATCACAGGTAAACGTTAACCAGTCAAAGCGTTACCTGGTCATGTGATGCTAATGCTAACAGCCTGGTGTCTGCAGGCTACTGCATCTCCGGAAACGGCTTCAACTACAAAGGACAAGTCAACATCACACAATCGGGAAAGCTGTGTCAACACTGGAAACACAACTTCCCCCATCCTATCAGCAGGTAACCAGGGTCAGAGTAAACCAACCAAATTAAACCAGACTAACCAGTATAACCAATCGGAATGTAAGAAAATATCAATATGGCCAGGGGTGCACATCATATTTTTGGGTTGGTACTCAGGGGAGAACCTATGGCTGCTGCTTGGTCCTCACATTTTTAATGCACTTAATTCTTAACTCAACTCACAATAGGAACAAAACAGAGTAACGCGTTGACGATGCAACATATTTTTATTTTGTCTGAAAACAATAAGTACAACAGGTATATATTGCCAGCTTAACTTAAACCTTCTAATTTTCAAATAACATGACTGAATTGTCTGAATGTAAAACACAATGTGTAAACAGCTGCTTTTGTGATAACAAAAATCGAATAAAATAAATTTTAAAGCACTTAACAAAATTACTATTTCAGAGCACTAAAGTTTTTTAAATGGCATAAATGCCGTTTTTATTTCTACAGACTCTCATCATCCTCATCATGGTCCGGACTGCGTTCAGCTTCATTTCTGACTTCTCGAACAACTTTCTGATGTTCTCTGCTGTTAGCATGTTTATCAAACGCTGGATGATTGAAGTTTTGAGTGCCTATGTAAAAGGCGCTGTTTTTGTCTGCCAGGGTGGGATTTTCACAGCATAATCTGCATCACATCTCTGCGCGTTCATCGTTTTTTTTAAGCCAGCTGACCTCCTGCAGCCACTTCTCCGCGAATATTCTTGTCTTTTGCGGTTCCGACGCAGTCTGACGTTTTTTTTTTTTTTGGAGGCGGAGGAACATCAAAATAATTACTTAATGGAGCTTGCTACTTGGACATCTTTAAAATGCTCCAGAAATGGCTTCCTTCCTCCAGAAAGTCTTATGGGCCATTCCCATCTGTACCGGGTCGGCCCGGGCCGGGTAGCGTAGGTTGTTTACATATCTGGGTGGCCTGGTATTTTTCCGGGCCAACCAAGGCTCATTCTCAGCCCTCTTCTCGAGGGGGTCTGCTTCAGGCCGACCAGGGCCAACACACCCACTGCTGACAGCAAATTCACACCTTCCATTAGAGCAAGCCTCTGATTGGTGGGTAGAATCAGCCCACATGGGCTTAAGGCAAGGATGTGTGGAATCAACCGGGCCAGGCTGGGGCCGACTGGGGCTACCCGGCCCGGGCCGACCCGGTACAAATGGGAATGGCCCTTTAGGTGCGCAAATGCGTGCTGCAGCTTTTTTTCAGGTGCACATTGTTTATTTTGACAGCGCATGCGCACCTGCGGACCACTTAGGGTCTCGACCGGGCTCGACACACGGGAGGCGACAAACGACCGCGATCAGCGAAACTAGTCGCTGTCGCTTTTATTACCTGACACACGGGAGGCGACCCGCGGCAGCGGCCTGCGGCGAAGCCATCTACGCGTTCTGTTCCATGGCGAAATGGAAACTTTTGTTGTTTTGTTTGGCTGTGTCAGGTTGGAGGGGATTAATGTTATTTAAGCGGTTCAGAGTTAAAAAAGCGGTAGATATGATGTTTCACAAGGTGCTGCTAGAGTTATGTGAAATCTTACTTCTGATTTTACTATATAAAACATAATAATTATCAACTTTGTTAGCAGAGTCATCAATCGTGCTGACGGAGGAAATAATACAGCCACATCACTGCTTAGCATCTCAGTCAGGGAACACCTGGTTTATTCTGTCACGTCGTCTTTTATGCGTCACTGACAGCGATCTCATTGGTTGAATTAAACCACATGACATTAGTTAACAAAAGATAATCCATAAGTATTTACCATATAAACATACAAAGATGAAGATACAGAGATAAAACAAGTGAGAACACAAACATAATAATTTAAATCAATATTAAACCATGATCTTTTGTAGTTATCAGTTCTTAACAAACTTCTCATTCATGTTTGCTCGGAGGTGTATGGAGCATCCTGTCCGCTCATTGGTCAGTGAATGAAACCTCCGTTGATTGGTCCTCGTCCGAGCGACAGCGATGAAAAGTTGAAAATATTTCAACTTTCTGGGATCGCGTCGTCGGGTCGCCTGTGCACGACACGTGCACGAACGCAAAATTTCACACACACATTTTTCGCGTTTCGCCTAGCAGGAGGGAGACCCGCGATTATGGCTTTGTCGCGCGTGTCTCATTGAAAATGAATGGAGGAGAGGCGATGTCGCCTCCGGTGTGTCGAGCCCATCATGTGCACACCTGGATATGGCAATATATCGTGATATTTATTCCAGCAATGTTATATCAATACTCAAAAGTTGTGTACCAAAAATAGGTCAATATAGCATGATATTTTTCCTGTGATACTACATTGATATTCAAGAGAGTTATATCTAACTTTTGGAAGAGTTTACATCATTACGTTTAAAACTTGTATTTTCTTTTCTTTTGGTGCAATTCAAATGCCGACCGCTAGTTGGCAGCAGGGTGCACTGGGTTTTGTTTCCACCACTGAAATGTAAATCCCTCCATTAGGGCTCAGCTACCTCATGTTAAACATGTTACGTATCAGTTTGGATTGTTTATTGAATATTCCTACAAAAAAATTTAGTTACAAAAACATTAACGTCTGACTGAATGTTTCGCAATATATTGTGATCCATTGTATCGTCTCCCCTGTATCACATCCTAACCAACCAACTAAACCTGATGGCCTCTCTGTGTACAGGTATTTTAACACCTCAGCAGCAGACAGCAACCTACAGGAGAACTTCTGCAGGAACCCTGACAAACATCCAGGGGGACCGTGGTGCTTCACCACAGACCCAACGGTCCAGAGGGAGACCTGCAGGGTACCAAAATGTGGTGAGTCTATTAGAACTGGTTTCGAACCAGAACCACACATCGTCACATGTGTTTGTGGTGCTATGGAGGGTGGAAACTGTGACCGGACCTTCAGCTCCCTACGCCATTAACACGGCTTCTACCTGTTCCTCTACCAGGTGAGGACTTCGTCCCAACAACCTTGGCTCCAGAACGTACCAGAGCCGCAACAACGTGTTTAACCAGTTATGGTGTTGACTACACCGGGGACAAGAGTGAGACCATGAATGGCCACACCTGCCTGTCCTGGTCGTCTCCGGAGGTCGTGGCCCTCAGCAAAGACAAGGAGTTCATCCCTGAGGTGACTCTGCCAGGAAGCAAGTGTCGAAACCCGGACAATGACCCTGAGGGCCCCTGGTGCTTCGTGGATGTTTCTGGAAACATCACCGTTGATTACTGTGACCTGGAGCTTTGTGGTACCATACAAGCCCACCGTCTATGAACGCGTCAGTACCTGTCTCACTCACCTACTGTCTACCTGTCTAACCTGAACGTCTGCCTGTGTGTCTCAGAGGATCCTCTGACTGGTGACGAGGAGACCAACAGTCAGGGCACGGAGCGGTCTGTTCAGGTTCAGAACAAGAAGCTGTTCTTCAGCCCTCGCTCCTTTGGACAAGGAGAGAGCGGTGAGTTCTCTGAGGGGTCAGTGAAGCTGCCAGAGGTCAAAGGTCATTTCAACTGGATCCTATTCTGGTTGACCTGTTTGATCCTAACTAATGACTAACTAATTCAGTGAAAGGAGAAACTCTCCTGTTTTATAATGGAGTAGACTAGCAGAGTAACTGGTTTGAGCGGTTAACTAAACATTTGGACCAGTGACTGGTTGGTTAACTAGTTCACCTACCAAGATCTGTACCTTAAATAATTCATATTTTGAGTCAGTTGAGTTTTTTTTAGTAGTTAAAGTTTAATGGTTTTAGTTAACAGAGCTAGTTAACCAGCTGAGTAAGTTCTCTGCTGAGAGTAGTTGTAGGTTTTTGATCTGCAAGGTTCAAGGTTGTCTTTATTAATCCCCAAGGGGGAAATTGAATTGCCTTGGACAAGTAAAAAAAACAACATGCACATACACACAACAAAGCATTCACCGGACACTGCTATAAGCCACAACCATGATAAAATATCAAATATGCAATCCTACAAAATGCTGGTTGTAAAAACGCACTGCAGCAGGAATACAAGAGTTCCTAAAACGTTCCGTGGAACAACGGGGCATTAACAATCGCCCACTAACAGAGCTCCCGAGATCCTTAAAAATCTGGTGAAGGGGTGATCCTCCAGAGACATAACTGTCTGAAGTTTACTCTTCATCCTTTTGTCGATGATCATGTCAAATGAGTCCAAGCGTTGCCCAACCTCTGAGCCAGACTTCTTGATCATTTTGTTGATCCTGTTTTTGTCCTCAGCGGTGAGGCTCCTGCCCCAACACAACACAGCATAAAACAACACACTGGCCATAATCCCCTGATAAAACACATTCAAGAGCCTCCTACTTATATCAAAGGATCTTAGCTTCCTAAGAAAAACAATCTGGACCGGGCCTTTTTAACAACAGCATGACTGTTCCTTTTCCAGTTTAAAGAGCAAGTCACCCCCTACCAGATTCGTACTCAACTCCCACTTCCTGTTTGAAAAATGCAACAAATACTGTTGCCTAGCAGACCGAGAGGGTGGAGCCGCTAACAAATACACACACTCACGACATTGTGACATCATAATGTACCATCTAACATCATAGTGTACCTCTTAGCCAATAGCGACGGCAGATTTAAATTCAAATGCAGTGCAGAGTTTTTACCTGACGACGGTGCAACACTGACAGTTTTAGGCAGAATATTTAAATTTTAACTAAGATGCACTAAAGTGCCGAATTATTGACTACACGTGTCTGCAGCACGATCAGACACTCATTTATATAGTTTATCAGCAAAAAAATGTTGGAGTGACTTGCTCTTAAACTTATCGTCGAGGTACACCCCCTAGATATTTATGTCTCCACAGTTTCAACAGGTTGGCCTTTGATGACCACTGGAGAGAATGTCTGTTTTTTCTTTCTAAAATCAATAACTAGCTCTTGTGTTTTGCCAACATTGGGTTGTAGAAAATTTGCATCACACCATCTAACAAAGGAGTTAACTTCCTCCCTGTAAGCCAGGTCGTCTCCCCGGGAGATCAGGCCCAGCAGGGCAGTATCATCAGAGAAATTCTGTAAGTGACAAGATGGTAAACTGTGTCTATAGACAGCTGTATACAGTGTAAATAAAAAAGGTGATAAAACGGTCCCCTGTGGTGCACCAGAGTTCGTAAAAATCAAGTCCGAGCACTTACCCCCAACCCTCACAAACTGAGGCCTGTTTAAGAGATAGTCTAAAATCCAGGCAGTGGTGGAATTGTGCAATAACTTCTTTCCTAAAATATGGGGCTGAATGGTATTAAAAGCACTGGAAAAATCAAAGAACATAAGTCGCACTGAACTGCTGGCTTTTTCAAGGTGTTTATAAATAATGTCCAGCAGATACAGAAGGGCATCATCCACACTCACACCCTTCCTATATGCAAATTGCAAGGGGTCTTGGAAGGAAACAGCTTGTTCTCTTAGGCATTTAAGGACAACTCTATCAAAACATTTCATTAGGTGTGATGTCAGCGCAATAGGCCTAAGATTGGACAACGTACAGCTGACGCCTGTTTTCTTAGGGATCGACACAAGACAAGAAGTTTTCCACATTAAAGGTATTTTAGCAGCAGACAAGGACAACATGAAAATGTAGTGAAAGTCCGCTGCAAGCTGCTCTGCACAAACTTTAAGGGTGCGTGGATGGACACCATCAGGGCCTGCTGCCTTGTTAGGCTTTAGCTGACTAAACTGCTGCTGGACATCTTCAACACTAAAGCTAATCTCTGAGCATGCCTTCTCAACCTGATCCGTGGCAAGTGCCGATTTAAGTTTGTTGTGTAAAATGTGTAAAATCACGATCATCAAATCTGGCAAAAAACTGGTTCACCTCATCCACATCCATCCCGGTGCTGTGTAAACCTGTCTTACCCCCACAGCCAGTCATGGTTTTCATCCTGTCCCAAAGACACTTAGAATCAGAACCATCAATAGAGGTTTCCATCTTACCTTCATATTGCTGCTTACTCCGTCGGATCGGTGTCTTAAGCTCCTTTTGTGCCACCTTAATTTGCGAGCATGGTTTAGCTGTGGATAATCTGGTACAATAATTCTTTGTAACCTTGGCTGTCAAATAAAGAGCTAGGTTGGTTAACTGGTCATCAGATGGTTTACTGATGTGTCAGCTGTAGGTTTAATGACCGTTTACTGAGGAAAGTGTCTATTAGTTTAATAAGTAGTTAAGAGATGGACGCATCGGCTGTTGACCAGCTGATTACTAAACAGTGAGCTGGTTATTAGTTTAAAAGATGTTTGTCAAAAATAACTAAATTATTTAATATTTTTCTCACTAATAGAAGTACAACAATCTGACCTTTGAACTAACTTGACAACTACTAACCAGAACCTGCTGGTTGTGTTGTAGTGTGTGGGGTGCGCCCCCTTTTTGAACAGGTAAGCAGAGTGGATAACGGAGAGAAGGAGATGCTGGAGTCCTACAGAGAACAGCGGATCGTTGGGGGGGACAGTGCCGAGGTGGCCTCAGCACCATGGTAACCACATTTATTACCTCCTGTTACAATAGTAACCACATGGATCACCATCTGTCACCATGGTAACCTCTTTTTTATTAGCTGTTTCTATGGTAACTACACTTATTACCAGCTGTTGCTATGGTAACTATATTTTCACCAGCTGTTACCATAGTTACCACATGTATCACCATCCGTTACCATGGAAACTAAATTTTTACCAGCCATTACCATAGTAATCACTTTTATTATCAGCTGGGAGAATGGTGACCACATTTACAAGTCATTACTGTGGTGACCTTGTCTTAACCAGCTGTTACCATGGCAACATTTATAGTCAGCTGTTGTTGGTCCCTGATGGGTTTGTGGTGGTTTACAGGCAGGTGATGCTGTATAAACGAAGCCCCCAGGAGCTTCTGTGTGGGGCGAGTCTGCTCAGTGATCAGTGGATCCTGACTGCCGCTCACTGCATCCTTTACCCCCCCTGGAACAAGAACTTCACCATAAATGACATTCTGGTCCGTTTGGGGAAACATAACCGAGCCAAGTGAGATGTTCTGCTGGGATAAATTCTGGTCCAGTCGCACATGGAACTCTTTCAGACATGAAAATGTTCTCCTGCTTTTGCAGGTTTGAGCGTGGGATCGAGAAGATTGTTGCCATCGACGAAATTATCATTCATCCTAAATACAACTGGAAGGAGAACCTGAACCGGGATGTGGCGCTGCTGCACATGAAGCGACCCGTCACCTTCTCAAACGAGATCCACCCCGTCTGCCTGCCCAGCAAGCAGGTGGCCCGGACGTAAGGCCAGCCGTTCTGTCTTCTCAGTGCTGAGACAGGGTTTTAGGTCTGATCTGGTCCATGTGAAGGACCAGATCCGCTTATGGGACAACCAGGTTGGGTTCTACTAGTGAAGTCTAGCTGTCCTCCTGACCAGAGTCCAGAGACAACAGTTAAATCCATTATTGTGTTCGTGCTCCTTGTTTTAGCTTTAGGTCAGAGGTGGGTCCAGCTGGGTGGTGGTCTCCTCCCCTTTGGGGGTTTAGTTTAATAACTCAGGTAAAAACAGACTATCCTCTAACCAGTGCCTGGTCTGGTCCAACCCTTCACACTGGGTGGATTTTTTTGACTCCAGCCGAGGGATTGCTTCTGGTTCTGTCTACGGTTTGGTGAGTCCCCTCTCTGGTTCTCTTCCCAACAGCCTGATGACAAATGGCTTTAAGGGTCGAGTGACGGGCTGGGGGAACCTGCAGGAGACCTGGAACCCTGCAGCCAGGAACCTACCCACAGTCCTCCAACAAATCCACCTTCCAATCGTGGACCAGGAAATCTGCCGGCAGTCCACGTCGGTCAGGATCACAGACAACATGTTTTGTGCAGGTAATGACCAGTTCTGGGTTGGTTTAGAACTTACAGGCAGACCAGCGGTTCTGGTTCTTCTGGAGGGTTTTAGGATCAGTAACAAAACTAGGCCCCAAACCATCATCCCTCCACCGCCGTGCCAACAGCTGGGATCAGTTTTCTTCATGGTGTTTATAATTGGAAAACATTTATGATGATCTGAATATTTTGCTACATGTCAGATGAACTCTAGACTCACCTGAGGGTGTTTGTCGTTTTTGTAGGTTATAAACCAGAAGAGAGTCAGCGCGGTGACGCGTGTGAAGGCGACAGCGGAGGACCGTTTGTGATGAAAGTAGGAAACTTTATTTAAAAGCATCTGAACAGTTCTTACCCGTGTTTATGACTGAGATGTTCCTGCAACTAAACACATCTATTAAAGTCTCCTTATTGGTCAGATGTGGAGGTTTAATTAGTGAATAACAGAATAACCCACAACTTTCTTTCATTTGTTGTTTTACATCAGAATCTATCAGATGTAGCCCCTGCATTCTGTTAAGCAGCCAGCAGGGGGAGCAGCGTTACGGTGTTAGGCTGTTAAAGGATTTTATTACCTCTAAAATAAACATTTGTTTCACAATAACGTTTATACAGTAGGGCAAAAAAGTATGTAGTCAGCCACCAACTGCGCAAGTTCTCCCACTCAAAAAGATGACAGAGGTCTGTAATTTCCATCATAAGTCCAGCTCAGCTATGAGAGACAAAATGAAAAAAAAAACCCAGAAAACTACATTGTCTGATTTAAAAGGACATCAGAAACAAGCTGTAGACCTGCACACGGCTGGGAAGACTGAACCTGCAACATGTAAGCATCTTGGTGTGAAGAAATCAGCTGTGGGAGTCATTATTAGAAAGTGGAAGCCATACAAGACCATTGATGATCTCCCTCCATCAGGGGCTCCATGCAAGATCTCACCCCGTGGGGTCAAAATGATCAGAACGGTGTCCACAAATTCCAGAACTACATGAGGGGACCTGGTGAATGACCTGCTGTGAGCAGGAACCAAAGTTCCAAAGGCTACCATCATCACTAACCCACTCACCATCAGGGACTCAAACCCTGCAGTGCCAGACATGTCCCCCTGCTTAAGTCAGTACATGTGCATGCCGTACTGAGCATTTGAATGATCCAGTAGAGGACTGGGAGAATGACTTGGTGGGCGACGGTGGCACAGGAGTTAAGTGCTCACCCCGTAATCGGAAGGTTGCAGGTTCGAGCCCTGCTCAGTCTGTCGCTGTCGTTGTCCTTGGTTAAGACACTTAACCCACGTTGCCTGATGGTGGTAGTCAGAGGGACCGGTGGCGCCCGTGCTCGGCAGCCTCGCCTCTGTCAGTGCGCCCCAGGACAGCTGTGGCAACATCATAGCTCATCCCCACCAGTGTGTGAATGGGTGAATGACTGATTGTGTTGTAAAGCGCCTTGGGGGGTTCCAGGACTCTAGAAGGCACTATATCAAATACAGGCCATTGCATATGGTCAGATGAAACCAAAATAGAACTTTTTGGTTTAAACTCTACTCGTCGTGTTTGGAGTTTCATCCAAAGAATACCATCCCTACTGTAAAGCATGGGGGTGGCAACATCATGCTTTGGGGCTGTTTTTCTACAAAGGGGCCAGGACGACTGATCTGTGTAAAGGAAAGAACGATTGGGGACATGTATCATCAGATATGGATTGAAAACCTTCCATCAGCAAGAGCACTGAAGATGAAACGTGGCTTAGTATTTCAGCCTGACAACGATCCCAAACACATCGCCAGGGTAACGAAGGAGTGGCTTCATAAGTAGCATTTCACGGTCCTGGAGTGGCCTAGCCAGTCTCCAGATCTCAACCCCATAGAAAGTCTTTGGAGAGAGTTGAAAGTCTGTGTTGCCTAACGACAGCCCTAAAACATCACTGATCTAGAGGAGATCTGCATGGAGGGACGGGCCAAAATACCCGCAACAGTGTGTGAAAACCCTGTGAAGAAAACGTTTGACCTTTGTCATTGCCAACCAGCGGTATATAACAAGGTATTGAGATGGACTTTCGTTATTGACAAAATCCCCCTTTTCCACCATAATTTGCAAATAAACAATGAAAAAATATGACAATGTGATTTTCTCTCGTTTTGTCTCTCATAGGTGAGATACCTGTGATGAAAATTACAGCCTCTAATCTTTTGTGGGAGAACTTAGACAAATGGAGGCTTATTAAATACTTTTCCGCCCCTCTGGACATCATGTCACAGAGCAGATGGCTGTTTCTATAGAAACCACCAGCTGGGTTTTGTAGGTTGAAGCATCACAGAAACAGATTTCCAACAGCAGCCAGATCCAGTCAGGAGACTTCCTGTAGATGTAACAGTAATAAATCCGTGCATGATGTTCTCTGATGTTCCACCTGACCCTGACCTGTGTGTGTGTGTGTGTTCTGTGCAGTACCCGGCAGAGAACCGCTGGTACCAGATCGGTATCGTGTCCTGGGGCGAAGGCTGCGACCGCGACGGGAAATACGGCTTCTACACTCACCTGTTCAGGATGAACAGGTGGATCAAGAAGGTGATTGACAGGACCGGAGAAGACGACGAATAAACGCAAAGTCATAAAGATATCTGTTCGTCAGAAAATAATGCTAATAAAGTTTCATCTGTGTGGAAAAAAAGAGACCAGAGTTCCTTCAGAGTGGTGATGGTTTAACAGAATCACAGGTAGAAAAGCTCCAGACACATGGGTGGAGTTCATCCCATCATTCCCAGTTACAGGAAAACTAATGAAGGCACGTCAGCAAAGACCTCAGGGCCCATGAAGCTCCGCCTCAGGCCTCCTTTGGGGTCTCCACCTCCACCATGTCTCCGTCAGCGCTCCTGTGGCTCAGCAGGTGTCGGTTCAGGTGAGTCTGGCGGGTGTAGCTCTTGGAGCAGAGGACACAGGCGTAAGGACGGACATTACTGTGGGACAACATGTGTTTCTTCAGGTCAAACCTCCTCCGCAAACATTTCCCACACTGTGGACACGCATACGGCTTCTCTCCTGCAGGACGGACAGACAGATTTAGAACCGGACGAGGGTTCTGCTTCACCCGAGTGGGTCATGGGACCTGTTCCGCCTCTGCGACTCACCTGTGTGGATGCGGCGGTGCTCCGTCAGGTGGCAGGAGATGGTGAAGGCCTTCCCACAGTCCTGACAGACGTATGGTCTTTCCCCCGTGTGAGTCCTCATGTGCTTCTGTAGGTCCCCTCCTGAGGGCCATCCCTTCCCACACACGCTGCAGACGTATGGTCTCTCCCCGGTGTGCTGCCGTACGTGCACATTAAGGCCGGCGAGTGCGGTGAAGTCCTTGGGGCAGTGGGGGCAGCGGAAGGGCCGCTCCCCGGTGTGAGTCCTCATGTGGCCCTCCAGGCCCTCGCGGGTCTTGAAGCATTTGCCGCACTGCGAGCACAGGAAGTGGCTGTCGCTGCTGTGGCTTGCCCGGTGGGTCTGCAACCCCGCCAGGGACCCGTATGACTTGTCACACTGGTCACACTGGAAAGAGCGGCTGGTGTGTGTGCGCTGGTGGATGCGGAGCTGGGTCACACCTGGACACACAAACAGGAACACACACTTCCTTGTAGCCATCTGTCTGGTCTCTTAGCTTACGTTTGCGTTGTAAGGGTCAGTCTCGGAGCCCAGGTGGACCTAGACGCGTTACCTGTGAACGTCTTCTCACAAAAGCGGCAGCTGTAGCATAGCTCCGCCCCTTCGGCCGAGTGCGTCTGCAGGTGACGCAGAAGCAGCGTCTGCGAGCTAAACTTCTGCTCGCAGATGGAGCAGGAAAGGTCGACCCCGCGGTGCTGCACACGGTGGGAATCTCTCTCTTTGGCCGTCGCAAACATCTTGTTGCACCTGCTGCAGGCGAAGCCCGTCTTGTCCAGGTGTGTCTGCTTGTGATTGGTCAGGCTGGACAAGTGGTAGAACACTCGGTCGCACTGAGCACACTGATAAACGGGCCGCGCTCGGTGGGAACGCAGGTGAGTTCGCAGCTCGCTTTTGGTTTTAAAGGAGGTGTTGCACTGGAAGCAGGTGTTGTTCCTGAAGGGGCGGGGCTCTTCTGAATCCTCGGGTATAATCCGCAGTTGGACGGCGCCAGGCGTTAAGGCTGACCCACAGGCCCGGTTTGAGCGCAGGTGGCGGATCACCTGTAGATGAGACTGATTACAGCTGAAGGTGTCTCTGGGTGTTTGAACCAGCAGGTGAACTCACCTGAGATCTGTAGATGAAACATTTACCACACTGAGGACACCTGTGAGCCACACGCTGGGAATTATGGGAAATGCTGAACAGAGCACTGGCAGGGACCTCAGAGCGATCTGATTGGCCAACTGGAGGAGGTGAGAGAGCATCGGTGGGTCGTTTTAGCCCGTGTGTGTGTGTGTGTGTGTGTGTGTGTGTGTGTGTGTGTGTGTGTGTGTGTGTGTGTGTGTGTGTGTGTGTGTGTGTGTGTGTGTGTGTGTGTGTGTGTGTGTTACCGGAATTTTTTGTCTGGGCAGCCCAGTTGTGTGCTGAGTCCTTTAGCCTGTCAGAAGCAGAGAGGTGATTAAGACAGCTGTGTTTGGACTCAGGTGGTTCTTGACTGAAGCCAGACTCACCTGTCCAGGAGCTTAGGTGAGCTCTGATTGGATGCCTCTTGTTCTGCTGGTGACAAGCTCTGACCGGCCTCCTCCTCCTCCTCCTCCTCTACCTCCTGCTGCTCGTCCTGCTCATCCTTAGTCATCACCACCACCTCCACCTTCACCAAGTCCATGTCCAAATCGTGAGGACTGCCTCCGTCAGAGGGAGCATCTGATTGGATGGCTGTATCGTGTGCCAGGGAGTTTGGATGAGAGGGGTCAGTGAGGAGAGGGTGGGACCAGGCGGAGAGGAGGGTTTTCTCTGAGTCTCCGCCCACTGAGGAGAACAGAACACTAGTTCAGACCTAAACCCGGTCCAAGTGACTTCTCAGTTTCTGACAGTTTTACCTGCCGCTGTTGCGCCTGCCTGATGACAGCTCTGATTGGTCAGAAGTTCCCTCAGGTCGTTCTTATCTGCCTCCTGCAGAAAATCCTCCAGAGCAGCAGGGGTGCTGTCGAGCCACGAGGCAGCCTGCAGAACACAAAGACAAGAGGTCAGAGGGAGAAGAAGAAAGAGGGGAGGAGCGGGGAAGGAGGAGCACCTGTCTGAAGTCAGGGACCGGGAAAAGCTGTTCGATCCTAGACAGGAGATTAGACACGAGGGACTGCAGGGCGGAGTCAAACCTGTGATCAAACACCTCCTGGAGGAGAAACACAAAGAGAGTGAAGGGAGGATGGAACTCAGGTTAGAGCTTCAGGTGTAAACCTCCAACCTGCAGGAGGCGCTGAGCATCAGCAGGAGTCTCCATCAGTTTGTTGGTAAGTGTTACCAGTGCAGAGCAGCACTCCACCACATCTTCATCCTGCTGCTGCAAGAACAGAGAGGGAGATGTTCAGGAGTAAAGGCATCAGGACACACGGAGGAAACACGGATACAAGAAATCTTTACCGGTGCTTCAGAGATACAGCGGATCCGGTCCAGATGAGTCAGAACATCAGCCGGATCAGAGAGGGTCACCTGTAAACAAAATCACATTCAGGAAGTCGTTTCTCTCATGATGCATCAGGCTGTGTAGAAATGACCTTTGTCTAAATATTAAATCCTGTGAAGGAGGGTTAAAAAGCAGCAGAAGTTTGTTCTCTCAGCATCTATGTTGTAACAGGACACCTGCATGCAGGTGAGACCTCCTCACACCAGCATCACTACGCCTCTCCTCTAACAGAAACCCACCTTGGCCCTGAGAGCCAGCAGCAGCAGACCCCTCTGTCTCTCCGTCAGCAGCTGTGGGACAGTCTCTGTTACCAGGGACACAAAGTCCTCCAACATCCCATAATGCTTCAAGCTTCGCTGCTGGACCACCTGCCACATCGCTGCCGTGAGGAGGCGCAGGGGAGGGATGAGGAGGCGCAGGGAGGATACAGGGAGCGGGAAGGCTGCAGAGGAGGACATGACATGTTACTGTAGCAGAAGGTCATCAGTTTTAGGGCCAGTCTGACACTCCCATGGGATATACTGGACAGGGACCAGTGAAGGCTGCGTTCCATTTAGTTTAATCAGTCCCGTTTCTTCAGGAGTTAACACAGATTTAACTGTTTAGTTTACCACCTCATCATTAACTCAAATCAGCTACATCCAAGCCGAATAACAGCTCTATGTGTTTGCTACCAGGCTAAACCCCTGTTAGTAAAAGCTGCTAACCAGAATTAAACCTACTAGTTAGTAAAGTGGGCAGGGCTGCGCTGGCCCTGCTGTTACTGCTGCAAACCACCCGCATGAATATCACCAATATGCGTTAATAATTAAACCTGGTGAGGTAATAACAAAACCAAACTATCACTAACCTAAATCCAGCAGGTGACGTGCTTATTACGGGTGTGTTACCACAGAAGACCAGAATAACTTCTACTTTGATTTACAGAAGCGGGGTGCTCTCTGGCTTATGTTTCCTCTAATCACCGTCACTAAATAAACAAACACCAGATCCGGATCAAACCGGTTGAAGTGAATCTGCGAGCTCACCTATAATGTCACAGCCCCCGCTCATCCTTCCCTCTGTTGGTAAATCCTCCGTGTAGATTTGGGCTAACAGCTAACAGCTAACTGTTTACGATCCAGCCTGACGCTAACTCCGCCCTCTGTACGTATGACGTATGAACAAAGCGCGCATGCGCCTCGGAAGGAACAGCTTCACCTGATTTCACCTCCATTTTTATCACCTAAAAACAAGGAGAGGTTGTAATAAAACAAAACAACTACTGGATTTTATAAATATATTAAAGGAACAATTCGAAGGTATCTGAGAGCAATTTTTTTACTTTCCAAAATAAAACTCCAATGTAGAATATTTTAAATATGAAGTTCAAAGAAATGTTTAATCAAAATTACAATTTCTAACTTTTCCTCTTCATGAGTTGAAATAATGAAATAGGGTCAATAAGATCACACCTGTCAAAAACACGCCATATCCTTTAAACATGTCCTAAATTCTAATTATTTACAATTCTTTCAAATATGCAGATACAATTCAAAATTGTAGCCTCCAGGAATGGTCAGTTTTTCATCTACAGTCTGACCTCTTCAGTATCTGGCCATTTGGAGACATAAGTCTTAACTGGTGCTTTCAATCTGCAAGAAAGATACTGTTGCTTGGCCAAGGTCCCTCGCAAGCACCCTCTAAGACTGGTTTTTATTCACAGAACAAGACAGATGAACAATATGAGTAACTAATCATATAATTATATAATGAAATGGACAATATGGTTAAATGAAATGTTTTGATTAATCTATGCTTAAATTACTGGAGTTGAAATGAATATTATTATTATTACATTGAAAGATTAACAAGGATGAAATTAAACATGACCCATATATTTAATCAGCACACTGACTGGACAAGACACACTCACCATATCTCAATGATGCAAGTTATAATTAACGTCACTGCACATAGATATTTTCTTATCCACAAAATCAGCACCTTCATATCTGAGGGAGGTGTGTTTCTGAATTTGTTGGCAAAACCCCTTTACAGGGCAAGTTCTGATTTATCAGTAAACCAAGATATAGCCGTTATTTAAACAGCATCACTTCCTGAGGGATTCAGTTGAGCCTAACTCTGGCTGGCCATCGGAGGGAAACTCTGCTCCCATCGCACCTTTGACAAGCTGTCAAAACCTGTTGCATGCTACGGCTAATACAGCAAACGGTTCCTTCAGAACAAAGCTGAACCAGCTTCAACTCCTTCAGAGTCCTCCTCAGACGTCGTGACCTGAAGACATCTCGAGACCGATCTAGTCGGCGCTGCGGTTTCTTCTACGGACTTCGGTACCTTTGGGGTCTCCAGGCCTCAACACATTCCGGATCTACCACGGGGGTCTCCGAGCTAGTACGTAGACTCGACAGACTGATGTGGTTTTATAAACCATCAATTATAGTTTATAGCAGACCAAATTCACTCCCACTCAGAACTCAGTTTCTCCAGATAAGAAGGCTTTGATAACTTCATATTCACACATCATCACACCTCACATTCCATCCACTTAGATTCATTCATCACATGAAGTGTTTTCTAGTTGTCATGTTTTATATTGTTTAGAAAATAAATTTCTTACTTTTTATAAACTTGACTCTGTTTGAAACAAAGTGTCTTACAATCCCTGAATAAATAAAGAATTCTAAATCTTCTGGTTAAACATTCAAAGATCAGTCAAACTGAATTTCCATATTTATAAAGGAATTCATATCTCATTGGTCAAAGTGTAGTGTAGTATAGCTTTAAAAGCACCCAAAATACATACATATGCTATTACAATATTTTCTAAAGACATATAAAGTTTAGGGCTGGGACTTGATTAAAAAATTTAATCTAATTAATTAGAGGCTTTGTAAATAATTAATCTATATTAATCGCATTTTAATCGTTCAGGAAAATGTGCTCTCAAAGCAAAACTTTTAATTAAAATTATGAGACAGAGAATCAAACATTAGACATGGTTATTACTGTAAACTAAAGCTTTTAATAAAAAAATGCATTTTAATTATTCAAATGTCACTGTGTGATATGAAACAAAACCCAAATCTACTAACATTTATAATTACAAATAGAAAACACCTGCAAAGGGTCCCTGAGCCTTTAAATAGTCTCTCTGTCTAGTTGAATGACTGAAATAAATTTGACTTTGCACCAGATTCTAATTTTTCCAGTTTCACTTGTTTGTATAATTGGGAGTTCTTATTAGCATTTCTACTCATAATGTAGTAAAAACACACATTTAAATAATAATCCTTCAAAATGACAGTAGAACAGGCACAAATATGATCTAGGACTTAAATGTACTAACCTTTAACACCGGAGCAGGCATGACATATTCTGAGAATGATCAGGAACACTAACTGGTTCCAGCTGGATGACTGGAGGATGATAATTATGCGTAGATGATGGGATGATAAAAGATCCTGGCGAGGAAACAGGTGAGCGGACCGTCCTTACATGGGAAGTCCTGCTGTCATGTTAATAAGGGGATCCTGCAGATTCACGCCTTCAGCAGCGAATCTGGTGTGATCTCCAGCCTGATCACAACTTTCTCGTTCCTCGCTGCCCCTGATGCACTTAACCATCCGCCCCTTACAGCTTCAACACACCTCGCTGCTTAATGATAGTAATAAGTATGTACAGTCTATGATAGTAATGCATGTGATGTCTAGACAGAGACTCGTCTCAGAAACATAATTCCCCGACATAACTGTTTAGAAAATCATCAGAAAAGGTTTAGTGTGTTTCTGTTTTAACTAACTAGTACTTGAAAACGAGTATAAATATGAATTATTAAAGAACTACTCTTGAAAATAAGATTTTTTTATGTATGTGTACCAAATATTTTGATATTTTCCCACTAAGTAAACACAGGGAGATGGATGTGTTTATCAGATCTATAAATGAGCAGCTGAGGTGTTTTCAGCTCATGTGACACAGATCCTATAAGCAGGTGTAATCTTTCTCCTCCTCCTCATTCTGGCGAGAGTAACCGGATTAACCCGGCTTCAGGTCAGAGCTGCACTCACAGCAAAGACTAAAACAGAAGGAAAACAACAACTTCACGAAGAGCAGGTCAATTATCTCTGTGCTGAGGCTTCATGGATCTGCAGCAAGCAGACAAAATCTGCAGTCTGGATGAAGGTTTCTTTCTCTTCCTCTTCTGCCACCTGCTGATCACCTGCTACGTCTGGAGCTAAAGCTATACCCTGCAGGTGTTTAGATGGACATTCAGCATCACGGTGAACCTGGTTTCAAAGTGTCTAAAAGTTGGATTTAGCAGCAGGAACATTCTTTCACCATGGATCCAGACAGAGAAGAGGATGTGTTCTCAGATGCTGAAGACCTGTTCTGCCTACGAGATGACCTGGAGGAAGAGGAGGAAGAGCAAGAGGTTGGAGAAGAAGATGCCAGGATCTTCAACATATGGACGCAGCAGTACAGAGGAGGTGAACGACAGAAGAAGCAGGAGCAACAAGCAGAACAGGAGGAGGGAGAAGAGGAGGAAGAGGAAGAAGAATCAGAGGATGGAAGACCTGAAAGCAAGTGCAGCTTAGAGCTACCAGCCCAGATGAGATCTGGCCGCCGGTCGTCACTGCCATGCCCGGTAAGAGATGCTGGATTCTGGAGGTGCTGGTTTTGATATTTGTTGGGAATATTTTCTATAAAAGTGCTGTCATTGCGAGGAGGTGAAAGAAACCAAAGAATGCCACAATGGAGAACGGAACAGTTCTTATGCCTCACTGTGGAGGGTCCAGGACACTCGGAGGAGATCAGAGGGGAGATATCGCATCCTCTCTGGTCTGGGATGTTTAGGGATCCTTCAGGAGGAACTGGAGAGCGTGTGAAGAGAAGGAGGTCCAGATTTTCCTCCTGGAACACAACAGGACCTCCAGTGTGGAAGCAGATGGATGGATGGATTGATGCTGACAGCGTCAGGTATCAGGGTAATAGCTGGTCAGGTAAAGGAGCTGAAGACCATCTCGACAGAAAATGGTTGGACGAACATCAAACATGTCAGACATGACAAGTCTTCACTTGGGTCTCCTAGTTAATCTTCATCCAGTCAGTTAGTTCAGTCCTCAGAGGTGGTCACGGATCCTCATCTCCTTCACCCTGAGGGAGGAGGGCTCTTCATTAGTTCCCAGCGCCTCCTCAAACCCTCAGAGCTGCTTCACTGCCAGATTTAGCTCAGGGTCACTGGGGTCAGAGGACTCAGGTGCAGTCAGGTGTTAAAGGCAAACGTGACCTTAGAGAGCCGCTAATCTGGTCTTTAAATACAAACAGACGAGTAACACATGTAAACATTTAAGGAGAGTAAAGGATGCATAGATTTGATCAGTTTATTTTGGTTTGTTTACATTCTGCTTCCATATTTGGTCTTTTTTTTTATTCCAGTTTTTTTTTTCACCTGTGAAATTTCCAGTTAATCAGTGACCTAAGATGATCAATTGGTTTCCTTTGAATTACTGATAAGTTGATTATTTTCTTGATTAACCAATTGAATAGTTGATTCATTTGTTGGATGGTCAGCATATCTGGTGACTGGTTGGGTTGTCGTTTGGTGGAATGGTTGTTTTAATGGTTTATTGACTGGTTGATTGTCTCTGTGTGCAGGCTACCCTCACAGCCATGCAACTGTCCCACCTACATTCATCCACATGTGCTCCAGTGACAGCGAGGGTTCTGCTGCGACGCTCCTCCTCTCGTCGCCTCCTTCCCTCCCCTCAGGAAGACATCATCCCACCACTTGAGCAAAGACCGTTACCCATACCTCCCATTCCTGAGGCTGTTCCACCTGAGAGGCGGGGCCAATTCAGGAGGCGTAACGTTATGTCGCTGGTGGGTAAAAAGACCAATTTCTGTGAAAGACACATTTTCTAATGATCTTTATAATTTTAGACTATGTTTATGTTGCAGAGTGATGCATATAGTACATGTCTGATCTGTCACAACAACCTGAAACAAGGATCCGGTGGTAACAGAGAGCTGCAATGCACACACACCTTCCACAAGGAGGTAACAGAAACACCCAGAACACACACTTCCACCAAAACCAAAGCTGTCTTGTGTGTGTGTGTGTGTGTGTGTGTGTGTGTGTGTGTGTGTGTGTGTTCAGCATTTCTGCTGTTGTCTCATAAGCTGTCCTGTCATCTCTCTCTGTAGTGCATAGAGGAGTGGTTGTGGACGAAACAGTCCTGTCCAACGTGTCATGTTCAAGTGTCCATGCCACAGCCTGTCTACTGGAACTCCACCAGGGTCAAAGTCCCCTGAGACCTCCTATAAACTCAACTATGTCTCCATCAGAGTCATCTGAAGGCTTCATCCCAAGATCAGAGGATGGAGAAAACATCCTGGGTCACACTGACAGAGGATGGAGAAAAGTCAGTTCTTGGAAACCAAAGCTGAGCTGTTGTTGACTGCTAGTCCCAAACCCACCTGCTTTTTCATTCATCTCCAGCTGACCCTTTTAAACGGGTAACAACTGTTTAAAGAAGACACAAACTACAAAGAAGGGACTTTTCATGATACCAGTCTGTGAAAGTTGTTGGAAATATTAATGGACCCTAAAGGACAACTGTGTCACCTACACATTTTTACATCTTCAAACTGTGATGATTTTTGGTAATGTTTTACATTTCAAGTGCAAGCAGAAGTGTTCCAGTTATTGTCTAATCTGTATTCAAGCGTGTAGCTGCTTTATTTAATTAAAATAGTAAAATTCAAAAAGTTTATTTTTATTATTAATGTTTGCCCTCCATTTGATTTTAGTGTTTCACAGACTTTATGCTCAAATAAACAACATTTTTTCTGTAAATCTTTCCGTCTCGGGGGAACAGCGCCCCCACAATTCACGGTGTGGCCGGAGGATGTATTGCAGGCGGAAGTTGTTCACCTGTTGATAGAAAGACCGTTCTGTTTTTTAATCGAACTTTAACGCCCTGAAACACCTGCTGCACCTGAAACCTGCGACACCCGGGAAGCCCCTGGAACCTCTCCCCTCGTGTGGCTCTTCGTCCAGCTGAAAGACGGAGTTTATGGATAAATTGAAGCGGGTTTTGAGCGGACAGGATGAGGGAAGCGCAGATGGGAGCGGCATTCTGGAGGTGTTGTTATTTGTTAGCTGTTAGCTGGACGCAACCTGCTAGAGAACGTGAACAATGATCAGAACGTTTCTGAGTCCGGAACTCCATTAGATGTAAACTTACAGACAGGAAACAGTTAGTTTACAGTGAACTTCAATAAAGTATTCATATTAATAATGTTTAAATTGAATAAACATTTAAAATCGAAGTTGAGATACAAGGGGGAAAATGCTACAGAACCTCACTGGGAATGATTATGTTTTTAGAGTTTTCCTAAATTTGACAGTAATGAATGAAGTTTTTTTCTGGATTTTTGAAAATTCAATAGAAACAGCATTGATTCCATTTATGGTTGTTTTTTAAAACACAGGAAAGGTTTCTCTTTACCTTGCTGACAGTTTCGTTTGCCGACTGCAAAACATCCTCAGAGCTGACGCTGATTAACTGCATTGATGTTTATTTCGGCGTACTTAACACTGAAAACGTCAGCAATAAGCTTTCTTAAAGCCATTAAAGTCATCGTGTCAAGCCGATATTCGTAACTGCTTTCATACCCAATCCTAGATAAGTTCTTCATCTTCTAGAATGTATAATGCTCTAGTAATAACTATAGACACGTTTATAATAAGTATAAACATGTTATAACAGCTTTTTAAAAGTTCCATCAGTGAAAAATGCATTACAGGTGCATTTCTTTATCCTCTGGTCCTAATGATGATGATGATGATGATGATGAGGGATTCCTGTCTGCAGAGAGCCAATCAGGCATCGACGCTGGCTTGGGGGACCAGGATGAAGGGCTTCCTCATCTGTTTTGTTCTGGGAGCTTTCTTCTCCATCCTGGTGAATTACTCACACCACACTGTCATGTTTCCATGGTAACACCTCAACTCAGATATTTCTGTCATTCATAAAAATATATATAACAAAAATATCTGTATTCATTTTTTGTCTGCTGTGTTTGTCAGGCTGTCTGGTTCCATGGTAACAGATGTCCATCAGATCTGTTTCCAGGGTAACCACCTTGCTCTTGTTGCCACAGTAACAGTCTGTGTATCTGTATCCAGGCCACCTGCTTGTTGTGGATCCCAGGTTTTGGACTTCCCGTGTTCGCGGTCCTCTACACTTCAGGGAACATCTGCGCTCTGGCCAGGTACCAACTGGAACCTGTTAGAACCTACCAGAACTCAAATGAACAGACTCAGATCTCACTAAGTAGACCTGAACAAACCCATGTAGACCAAACTCTCTTCTCTGGCACTGAAAGTGAAGGACTTCATTACCCATCATGCCTTAGGGTCTGACTTCACGGAGTGTTTTTGTTTTAAATGAGGACAAGATGCTCTCTTGTGGTCACATATAATAATAATTATTATTATTTTGTTCTGGTTTCAGCACCATGTTCCTAATGGGTCCATTGCGCCAGCTGAAGACCATGTGCGCTAAAGAGCGAGCGCTCGCCACCGTCATCATGCTGGTGAGAGCAGACTTGGTTCTCAGGACCAGGTCCAGGTTTTTGTTGGACTTTCAGAAAGTCAGATGGTAAATCATGAGGTGGATTAGTTAAATCTGAGTTGTGGTGTGAATGTTTCTGCAGGCCTGCCTGGTTCTGACGTTGTGTGCTGCATTCTGGGTAACGAACCGTTCTGCTAGAACATTGTGAGTCTGGTTTGTTGTTGTTGACGTGTGTTTGTGTCGCTGCAGTGGAAGAACAACGGGCTGGCTCTGCTCTTCTGTATCCTCCAGTTTCTGGCCTTTACCTGGTAGCACACGCACATCAATACACACATTACTGTATTAGTGTCATCACTCTGACTATTGTTATTGTGTCTTACAGGTATGGCCTTTCATACATCCCATTTGCTAGGTATACACACACACACACACACACACACACACACACACACACACACACACACACACACACACACACACACACACACACACACACACACACACACAGTGAATGTTTGCAAAACAACTCCGTTCGTGTCAGAGGACACTGTAGGGTCGGGGAGGGGGGCGAAGCATGACGCTTAGCCTGGCGGGTCGCCAGGCTTATAAAGCGCTGGGGGAAACCCTGAGCTCTTTGCATCACAGACATCATATATGCAGACACAACTTGGACTGCTGCCGCCATCTTGGGTGGGTCCCCAGTGATTTTATTTCTACTGATGGTATTTCCACAACACCTTTTATTATGATTTTTATCAAAATCAGACGTATTTATGGTATGATAATTCAAATATAAATATTATTAACATCAAATAAATATTAAATCCCATCAGGTAGGCTAGAAAAGTCAACAGTAATCCCACATGATCTGTTTTCAGTAGTACGCTGGTTGTTGCAACCGTAGGCTGAACAACAACAGGGATAGTTGATCACTCTGCTTTGACTCCTGTTGGGTTTGGAGAGTGAGGACCCCATCCAATATGGCAACGACACTGTTATGCTCTCCAGCACCCAATGGCGCGTCTATTGGGCAATCCCCATCTGTACCGGGTCGGCCCGGGCCGGGTAGTGTAGGTTGTTTACATATCTGGGTGGCCTGGTATTTTTCCGGGCCAACCATGGCTCATTCTCAGCCCTCTTCTCGAGGGGGTCTGCTTCAGGCCGACCAGGGCCAACACACCCACTGCTGACAGCAGATTCACACCTTCCATTAGAGCAAGCCTCTGATTGGTGGGTAGAATCAGCCCACATGGGCTTAAGACAAGGATGTGTGGAATCAACCGGGCCAGGCTGGGGCCGACTGGGGCTACCCGGCCCGGGCCGACCCGGTACAGATGGGAATGGCCCATATGTAGTCGTGTCAGTGGTTGGTATGGCGTTATAAGTCTGAAGCTTAAGTCATTCACTGGCAGCCATTTCCTGATCAGAAAAGCCCTTCGCTGCCAGCGTTTTTCAACGTTTTTACTGTTTTTTTAAGAGTCACAGAACGTTGCGCGCTAGCATGATGTCAACGCCAAAACAAACAAAACAAAGAGGAGACTCGCCTCTTACATCAGGAAGCATCCACGCGTTTCGAGCGTTATCCATTTTTTCATAATCCGTTGTTGAATTGTGATCGGCAGAAGCTTTTCCGGTTCGCGCCTCATTTTTTTTACAGCAGCGGCCCAAAACGATCTCCTAACACATGGATGTTCTGCTTCCTGATCACGTGACGTACGCGGATGAAGATCAGCTTTAGAGCTGGGATGTTTGTTCTCGCGGTGCGGGGGCTCGTTCAGACGCCCACACAGTTAAAAAAAATGCAAATGACGACTTTAGTTATTGGCAGTTAATGAGTTAACAAAAGGGTTATTAATTAACTCTGAATTAGTTTAATGTCCTCAAAGATGAATGAGTGAATGTCCTGCTGTGATTCAAATGAATGTGTAAATGATTTCCTGTCTTTCAGAGAGGCTGTCATCAGATTCTTCTCCCTCTGCATGTAAAGTCCTCTGACCAATCAGGATGCAGCTCTCATTGGTCTGTATCCAATCAGGGCTTAGCTGGTTCATTTCAAATCGATGCTTCAGGTCTTTTAAAATCATTTCATTTATTTGATCAAATTCACATGTAGCAATACTTTACTTTTAATCTTCAAAGCTTTAGTCATGAGTTTTATTCATTTAAAGTCATTATGTTGCTGTAAAAATGAGTTTTGATTGATTTAAGTTAGAGCAGCGTGGTGTTGACACCAATCAGAAATTGTATGGATCCACTGTGATTTTTTTATTCATAAATCTAAAGTGACCTTTCATCTTTCAGCTATGATTATTCTCATTTTAACAGCTTTATTATTATTATTATTATTATTATTATTTATAGTTACCTGACTTACTTGTGGACATTTTTCCACTCTAAAAACATAAACATGCAGAGTATTTAGTTTTCTATTTTTTTTATTACTTTCTTTTAAAAACTAGTCTTTAACTAACTTATTAAATAACCTGCTAGTTTAACTGGTCAGTATTTAGTTCTATCAGAGTGCAGGTGGGTACTTTAACTAACCACGTTAACAGAGAAATTATTAAGCAAACTGTTTTTTGGTGATTTGTTAATACTGAGTGAAGTTATGGTTTGATTTAGTTTCAGGTCTGTTTTTATTTCAAACTGGAAAAAAAAACTTGAGTTTTTCCTGTGAAACCAAAAAAAAAAAAAGATCAAATCTTGTTTAAACTAGACACTGATGTTTGCTTATAACGATGTAATAAGATCCTCTGTGTTAGAATAAAGCTAATTTATCACTAACTGTGTTCTGGTAGATTTTAGATTTCTCGTGTTATTAATAAATAAGAATTTTCTGAGGTATTTGTTTTAGTTTCATCATTAAAACCATTTTGTTTCTAGTTTTGGCTTTTGGATCTGAAGTCGTGAGATCCAGAACCCGATCAGCTGGTTCCACTTCCTGTTTCTGATCAGAATGAACCACGGTCTCTGGTGAACAGAACCCTGACCCGGTTTGAGTCTCCTGGTGGTTCTGTTTACCTGCCCTCTTCATACCTGTTAAGTCTCTAAAGCCTGTAATCCCTCCCACCAGCTGATTAAAACACACACACTCCGGCCCGGGATCAGATGTCTTGTGTGTGTGTCTCCAGATGTTCCCCTCTGACCTATTCTCCACACGCTGATGCAAACAGCTTAATGCTGTTTGGATCAGCGCCACCGGGTGACATTTAAACATCTTTGTTGGGTTGGGGGGGGGGGTCAGATCAGGCTCCCTTCCTTTCTAATGCTGCCCTCCCAACCTCCCCCAAACACACACACACACACCATGATATTGCCACCTCCGTGCCTCAGTGTCCAGATGATGTTCCTCAGACTTCTGAAGGCTTAAAGGGGTCAGTGATATGGGTTGGTGTGTTGAAGCCGATGGAAGGTGTGTGTGTGTGTGTGTGTGTGTGTGTGTGTGTGTGTGTGTGTGTGTGTGTGTGTGTGTGTGTGTGTGTGTGTGTGTGTGTGTGTGTTAGAGAGGGGTTGTCTGATGATGTTTGACAGGAAGTCCATCTGAACCAGAATGCTCACATTTATTGTCTTTATTTCATTCTCATGTATTATTTAGTCAGGATTATTATTTTCTAATTAGATGATTTAATACTTTTTATTAATAACGTCAGTTTAGATGTTTCAGATTTTTTTCACTTCTTTATTAATTGATTTATTTTTCTCTATATCAACTCCAAACTGTTGGATTTTCCTCCACAGAGAAACGTGTGTGTGCACGCGCGCGTGAGTGTGTGTGTGTGTGTGTGACGTCTGAATTACAGGTGCTAATTAACCGTCCATGCCAGAGCGAGGTAATCGGTGTGTGTGTGTGTGTGTGTGTGTGTGTGTGTGTGTGTGTGTGTGTGTGTGTGTGTGTGATGAGGAGAGAGAGAGAGCAGGAGAGCGACTCTTAGGCGGTGGGTTCATTTGGACTCTGAGCTTCTTCCATCAGTTGAAGCGGATTTATTCACTTAGATGAGATAAAATTATCTTGATCATTCACCTGATCAGCTCCTCCAATCACAGGTGAGTTTAACTTTCATCACCTGAAGTTATTACATCCTTCTTTTATTGCTGCTTGTTCGTGTTACACATTTAACTAGGTGTTTTATTTAAAAGTCTTATTTGTTTTGAATGGGTTTTTTTTTGTACTTTGAGTTCTAAATAATTAAAATTTATTCAGAAAATGAAATTCTGTCACCTTAATTTAATTGGTAAATGTTTTTAAATATTAACATTTAAATATTAAACATTTATTTTTAGTGGAAATAATTTTAAACAAAACAAACAAATGTCCTAATTAAACAACAGTTTTCAACTCAGTGCAGGTTTTATTATAAAAGGTAGTTTTTATGTTGATGTTTGTATTCAAATCATGTGCTTAAATATTTCTGCTGTAGGAATGTTTCTAAATTTAGTTTTAATAATAGTAATAAAAAAAGATTTTAAATTGTAGGAGAGCCCTACGTGTCGGTGCGTCTCTCCATAACTTTGATTGCTTTTATATAATTTTATTAATTTTAACCACATTAAAACATTTAGAAAAAATCTACATAAAAATTAACATTTCACTTTTTTAATTTATATTTTTAGCTTTTTCAAAATTTGAAAACACATTTTTAATTTTATAATTTTAGGACAAAAAGCCAATAAGCTGCTATTTAATCTTTGAAATAACTTATTTATATTTGTTCTGTAAAATCTTCTCTTTACTGTTATTTTGATTAGTGATTCATTCATTTTTATGATAAATGTCTGTATTCAAGTTGTTGTTTTACAATTTTTTTTCCCATTGAACGCCCCACCATAATAATCAGAAAATACACACACACACACACGCACACATTTTTGATGATACCAACAACAATTATAATATTACTGTGGTCAGTTAAAAACTAAAATGAGTAAATTATTATTAATATTATTATTATTATTTTAATAATAATGATAATTTACATCTTTATCATTGGGGCTAGGATGCATACGATACTGGTATGTTGATTTATTTTTCTTCTGTTTACGTGAACGTGGCTCATATATCAGACGCCAAAGGGGCCGGCTCGGTCGGAGAGTTGTGCTCGTACCCTTCCTGGTGTTTAGAGTTACCGTGGTAATTTACAACAAACCATGTGAGAAACGCGCCACAGAAAAACAAAAAAGAGTCGGCCCAATCCTCCCTGACCCCTGTGCTGCTTCTACATGCTCCTTACAGCTGAGGCGCTCTGCTCCAGGAGGCCCGGCTACGTTATGATGAAGAGCCGCCTTTAGCTCCTGTTTGTATCTCTAGGTGAAAGTGAGACCAGCTGCAGTGCAGACGTTTACCAGACTCCTTCTATAGGGAGTCCTCTCTGGTGATCCGCTCCAACAAGCTAATTAAAAGCAACGCTGTCACCTCAACAAAACATAAAAATGCTGAATTGTTTCAGAGCAGGTTGAGTGGGTTGTCCATTAATCAGAAGGTTGCAGGTTCAATTCTGGCTCCCACCAGAAAACCTTACCTGCTGGTGGTGGTCAGAGTGACCGGTGGCGCCAGTGCTCGGCAGCCTCGCGCCCATCAGTGTGTCCCAGGGCAGCTGTGGCTACATCGTAGCTCATCCCCACCAAATGTGTGTGTGAATGGATGAATGATGCACTGTAGGGTAAAGCACTTTGGAGTCCTCTGACTCTGAAAGGAGCTATACAAATGCAGCTTATTTATCATTTACCTTTTTCTTCCAAAACAAAGTGAAAAAACCAGAAAACAAAGATTTTACAATTAAACCAGTTTTGGTTTTAATCAGATTGTCAATTATAAAAAGTCTCCAGTAAATCAGATCTGATCCACATCATTAAACAGGGTCAAAGGTCAGGGTTTGACCCACTGTTATCTTTAACTAGAACAAGCCGCCTCTTCCATATTTGTAGTTCAACATGTTATGCTGGTTCCTCGTGTCTGTATCAGCAGGTGGTTCTCAGAAAACAAAGTGTTTCTGTTATAAATCTTCTGAAATCTGAGATCCAGGTCCTCCTGGTTCTAAAGCATCAGAACGTTCTGTTAGAGAAACCTAAAGAAGTCCGACATTTCTCTGACTGTTCTACTGGGAGGGGTCAAACCTTTCACCATTATTACTAGTCTTTATTTTAGGTGCTTCTGGTTTCCAGGATAAATACCAGATCCATCAGAGATCAGAAGGAAACCATACCATCCAGTTCTGGTTGTCCTGAAGCAGAAGGAATCAGATAATGCTTCCAGAACCCAGACTGGACAGAACCCATTTTATGAAAGTTCAAATGAAGGCTTCTGCTGCTGTAGACCAACACCACTCGTGTCTTTGTCCAAGTGTCCAAATGAAGGTGGAGGGGTTACAGGAGGACGGGGAGTGCGGTTCGATTCCCTCAGCAGACCGTAGTTCTGGTGGGACGGTTTGCACCCTCGGGTCGGCAGAACGCTGCATGTCTCGGCTGCTGAGTGCTGTGGAGAGCGAGCTCCAGGCCGGGCGAGAGAAGGGCGATCCGACGGAGAGAGAGCTGAAAGTCACACTGGAGGACGCCGACCTGTGGAGGAAGTTTCAGCACATCACCAACGAGATGATTGTCACCAAGAACGGACGGTAGGACACCTGAGATGTTTAACGTGTCATCAGTGACCAGCTTTTATCTAAAAAACATAAACTGTAAACAGCAAAGAAGCTTTATGGTGGTATTAGTAATAATGTGGTTGTTCATTCATGTCCCCTCACAGGAACATGACTAATAAACCATCAAAATAACCTTAAAGGAGCAATATGTAAGAATTCTACAATGAAATCATCACAAAACAGCCTAATGCCTCAATCACGTTGGAAGGAAGGTTACTTTGAAACAGATTTTCTTCTCAGCCGGATGGGGGGGTTGTCAGAATTTTTCCTTTCAAAAAAACAAAAGAGGGACATAATCACTGTTTACAATCAGCGAGTCTGAAAGGCTGCAGAGTCTGTGCCAACCTAACACTGCAGCGCCGACATTCGTAATTTCACACGTCAGTAAACAAAAGCCCCAGAAATTGTTTCTTGTAACCCTTAAGAAGCCACTGCATCATTTTGTTTTACTCTAATATCGGTTGAAGCAGCCTAGAGGATAAACTTGAGCTAACAATGCTAAAGGTAAATTAGAAACAAATGGTCAGCTCTGAAAATATCTCAAGCTACTATTTCAATTAAGAAAAACTCGACAATACAGTGAAATGTGTGTAAAGTGAATTGACGTTTTACTTCCTTTAATGAGTTGTTCAGAGCAATAGCAGTAAGCTAACAACAACAAGATGATAAAACCAACACTTCCTCTATGCTGGAGGCGTATTACCGTAGTGAGTGTAGTAAGTTCTTCCTACCGTATTACACCCAAGAGGGCTAGCACCAGATATGACAATGTCTTTAACTATTATCAACTTATTGTGTGACTCGTCTTTACTTTACTTGTCATCTGGAATCTCTTGGTGTTGATCCGTATCTGGTAACATCATCATGAAACTCACAGATTGGGAAAGAGAAAATTACTTTTTGCTTTGAAGACTTGGCTGCAGTACCAATACATGGCCACAAGATGTCACTCTTGCTTTATTTTTACATATTGGAACTTAATGTTAAAAGGCAGTTTTCCTCTCCACAGTCGTTACATGCTTGGGGATTGCTGTAGCGACATTGACACAAGTCAGTGACTTGATGCAATGAGCTGGGTTCCTTTACTGTAAACTCGAATAAGTTCACAGAACTCAAAATTAATGAGGAAACTGATTATTTAATAATTTTTAAATTAACTTATCTAAAAGTTTACGATAACTGAAAAAATATTACCTGAATAAAATCAAAGCGTTTAACTACCTCCAACCCATGGACGTAATTTTCACTTTAGAAGTGGGGGGACACGGGGGGGGGGGGATCTTTACAGTATGCTCTAAACACAAACGGTTGTTTTCTGCTTGGTCCTAGAGCGCAACCAGTGTCAATTCAATATAGCATAATATTGTTTTTGGATGGTAAAAAGTGCAGGGGTCAAAACTTGACTTTGGAAAAAGTGGGGGGGGGGGGGCATGCCCCCCCTGTCCCCCCCCCCCCCCCCCCCCCCCAAATTACGTCCATGCTCCAACCTATAACGTAGTACTTAAGCAACTTACAAAGTTTAATTTCACTAAACTTGCATATTTTATTTTATTTGAACTTCATTACATGTTTTTGCTAACCTAAATATTATACCTTATATGAACTCTAAACTGACCTATACCCTTACCTAAACGTGGCATGCTGGTGAAGGCGGAAACTAACACCAGATCATGACTCACATAACCATAGATGCTAACAGCCAATGAGAGTGGAACTCTTAAAGTCAAGTCATGAGCATCTGGTGTGAGCCACCACAGTATTAATAACAATGTAATGGCACAGCATAATCATTACTTTGACAAACCTCCTCACTTATGATGCCAACACTATACAAAAGTAACACCACAGTTGCAACACTGAATGAAGTAATAGCTGAGAACAACAACCCCCACAATAAACATGCATAAACAGTCCAAAATAGAGCAAAATAACTGAAAACATGACTACCTTGCCCACCAGTTGTTTATTGTTCCCAAAATCCACCAGAATTAATAGTTCGGAGTTGTTTTCCCTACAAATCCACAAATGTTTAAAAATATATACAAGTCTGTTTATCAGACACACTGTAAAGGTGAATAGAATAATATAGAATCATAAAATAATAAATCAATATTTTTTGTTAATACTCATTAAAGTTAAGTTGTTCTTAATTGATTATTATAAGTGATGATTACTTTAAAAAAATAAATAGTTCAGATTTATTAAAATGTTTGAGTTCAATGTACTTAAAACAAGGAAAATTTTGAATTAAGTCAACACATCTGAGATCTAAAAACTTTATTTTAATGATGAGTTTCATTACTCAATATATTTGATTATTTTCAACTTTTGGGTTGAAATGTTTTACTGATTGGCTTAATGAACTGAACTCAGTTGGAATGTTTACTTTGTGAAGTGCCTTCTCATGTTGTGATGTGGCGCTATATAACTAGCTGAAGGTGTCGTAAAGGTTCAGGATGTTCTAAGGTGTTGTAGTCAAGACCGTAACACCCGGCACAACAAGACCAAAACTATTTATTTCAAAGGAAAATCATAACAAAACAAAAAATGGGACTTGTTAAAATGGGACTTGTTAAAATTTTAGTTTGCTTTTAAATATACGAGACAACAAAAACAGTCTTTGATTTATTGTAAAAAAAAATCACACAATGAATAAAACAAATATGACATCATAGCAAAAGAACTTTTCATGTTTCACTTCTTGAAAAAGCTAACAAGTCACAATAAACCTTTCATTTTAGAGAGAAGGAATGGAAAAAGCAGCTAGGGGAAATTGTTACGCTACCAATGATTATTTGCTGTCTTTTCCGTCAGATGTGGTCTCCACTGGTCTCAGTTCATAACACCCGAGTCCGCCTTGACAGAGACAAGATCGAGTAAGAAAAGATTCCAAACCAAGACCAAGAATATGGTAAAATATGGTGTTGAGAGTTCTAGAACCCTAATGTTCTAACAGAACTGGATCAGAGTTCTGGTAACTCAGGTTATTCATTAGTGTGTGTGACAGCCTGATGACTTGGTGTGATTAGTCCGGTCTGGTTTTTGTTTCTGCGCTGAGCCGAGGCGTGTTGACCTATGGCGGCCCGTGGGGGGAGGTGCACACTCCGTTTACACCTGCAGGATGCCACTTCAGCTGCTCTCAGGTGGAGAGAGACAGAGAGGGAGAGGGAGAGATGCTCTCATGCCACACGAACAAACTTTATAAATTCTGACTGATCAAAAAAGACAAAAGAAAACTTCTGAAACATTTTAATGGATTTTTGTTTTCTTTAGGAAAATTAATCACCTTTGGTTCCGTTTTTATAGAAAATTCACCTGCAGAACAGATATTTGAGACTTCTGTGTGTGTGTGTGTGTGTGTGTGTGTGTGTGTGTGTGTGTGTGTGTGTGTGTGTGTGTGTGTGTGTGTGTGTGTGTGTGTGTGCGTGTGCGTGTGCGTGTGTGTGTCTAGGAGGATGTTCCCTGTCCTGAAGGTCAGCGTCTCCGGTCTGGACCCCAGTTCCATGTACTCCTTCCTGCTGGACTTCGTGCCGGCCGACACCTGTCGGTGGAAGTTTGTTAACGGGGAGTGGGTGGCGGCCGGCCGGGCAGAGGGGCGGAGTGAGGGGCGGGGCCATGGGGGCATCTACATCCACCCTGACTCGCCAAACTTTGGGGCTCACTGGATGAAGGCTCCTGTGAGCTTCAATAAAGTCAAACTGACCAACAAGGTGAACGGAGGAGGACAGGTACCTGCTGCTCCTCCACTCCCCCATTTTTCTCTCTCTCTCTGTCTCTCCATCTTTTGTTTCCACTCTTCTTTCTGTTTCACATCTTTTATATTTCATGTTGGTCTTTTCCTCATTCACTATTTTGAGGTAACATTGTTTATTAAACTGTAAACTTTTTAATTTTGCAACAGGTCCAAGGTTTTTATTTTTATTATGACATTTTTCGTCTTTTTCATCTATTTGTTTTCCCTTTCTTTCACGTAAGTTTTTGTTGATTTCAGTTTTTTTTCTTTTTTTTTCAGATATTACTCCTTAATTTTAGTTGACTTGATTTTAAAAAAATTTCCTCTTCTTGTCTTTTTCTCATCTTTGTTCTTCGTGTCTTCCTGCTGTCCATTAGCTTCTCTCAGTCTTCTCTGTGTTTTTCTGAAGTGGGTGAGAGACCACCGCCTCTAATTAGCCACTTCAGTCCCTCTCCTCTTTCACTTCACCTGTTCACCTCCCTGTAACCACGGGAACAGGATAAACAGCTCTTAATTGGTCGGCAGCAGTTTAATGCACTTCCTGTTAAGAGCTGTTCAGCGCTCCTAGAGGCCTACACACACACACACACACACACACGCACGCGCGCGCACACACACACACACACACACACAAGAAAATTGGCAGTAATGTTGTTTATATTTACCCCATTATCCTGTCCAAACATGACACACTCACACACACACACACACACACACACACCGAGTGGTAATGCAGAGTTGGACCGGAGAGCCGGGCCATAATGAAATAATTGCTCAGCTTATTTGTGCATTATGGTAATTATGTTTTTTACTGGTAAATTAATTTCTCCATCATGCTTCAGATGGACGAGGTAAACTATATTCAAAGCGAGCCCACACACACTCAAACTAACACACACACACACACACACACACAGCCACAGGGTCACATCTGAACCAGCCTCTCAATCTGAAGAGAAAACTGTTTGTTTTTGTGTGTTGGCTCCGACCTCTCTGATTGGTTAATTGGACCTTGTTAGTGGGGGGTGCAGGTGGATAAAAGAGAGTTCGGGCCAAAAGACAAAGATGGCTTGGTTCCATCAACTCACCAACTAGGTTATGGTTTAATGGGCGCAGAAGTACAGAGTTCTGTTAGTTGAACTGTTCCGGGTGGACTCAGGGGTGGATTGGTTCTGGTAGGTTCTGTGGTTTAGAAGGCGCTGACAGGTCTAGAACACCAGAAAGATGGACTAGACTGGTGCTGGTCAGAACCAACTACAGATGAGTAACCATCACAATCAGAGCATCATAAAACTGCTAACTGTCTCTTACGGGCCCAGAACTCCAGGTCCTGCTATCTGTCAGGTGTTATGGATCAGAACTTCTCCAGACCTTCTAAAGATAAAAGTTTAGAACTTGTCAGCCTGTAGCGGTTGTTCTGTGGGACTGAAACCCGGTTCTGGTTCCTGTTTGTTCCAGATCATGTTGAACTCTCTTCATAAGTACGAGCCCCAGCTCCACATCGTCTGCGTCGGGTCTCGTCATCGTCTCGTCTCCAATGTGTCCTTCAAGGAGACCCAGTTCATCGCTGTCACGGCCTATCAGAACGAGGAGGTACCAAGACCCGGTCCTGTTGCTTCTTACGCTAAGGTTTTATTTGGATCACATTTCCATTCTAAACTATTTTGGATTCTAAAAGGATAGTTTTTACTATTTTATTAGAGATCAAACAAAAGATGAAGAACAGAGGTGCAGCTGGTAACTAAAACCTAACTAACCACTAACTAGGTGTCAGCAGGTTAGACACGAGTAGTAAAACCAGACCGGGTATTCACTCTGACTTATTATGACTTTGTTATGTGTTTACTGTGTATTTATTGTTTGTTTACTGTGTATATATTGTCTGTTTACTGTGTATTGTGTTTACTGTAGATTTATTGTTTGTTGCATATTTATTGTGTTTACTGAGTATCTATTGTGTGTTTACTATGTATTGTTTGTTTACTGTGTATATATTGTGTGTTTACTGTGTATTTATTGTTTATTTATTGTGTTTACTGTGTATACATTGTGTGTTTACTGTGTATTTATTGTTTATTTATTGTGTTTACTGTGTATACATTGTGTGTTTACTGTGTATTTATTGTTTATTTATTGTGTTTACTGTGTATTCATTGTGTGTTTACTGTGTATTTATTGTTTATTTATTGTGTTTACTGTGTATATATTGTGTGTTTACTGTGTATTTATTGTTTATTTATTGTGTTTACTGTGTATATATTGTGTGTTTACTGTGTATTTATTGTTTATTTATTGTGTTTACTGTGTATATATTGTGTGTTTACTGTGTATTTATTGTTTATTTATTGTGTTTACTGTGTATATATTGTGTGTTTACTGTGTATTTATTGTTTATTTATTGTGTTTACTGTGTATTCATTGTCTGTTTACTGTGTATTTATTGTGTTTACTGTGTATATATTGTGTGTTTACTGTGTATTTATTGCTTATTTATTGTGTTTACTGTGTATTCATTGTGTGTTTATCGTTTATTTATTGTGTTTACTGTGTATTCATTGTGTGTTTACTGTGTATTTATTGTGTTTATTGTGTATTTATTGTTTGTTTATTGCATCTTTATTGTGTTTACTGTGTATATATTGTGTGTTTACTGTGTATTTATTGTTTGTTTGTTTATTGAATATTTATTATGTTTACTGTGTATAAATTGCGTGTTTACTGTGTATTTATTGTTTATTTATTGTGTTTACTGTGTATTCATTGTGTGTTTACTGTGTATTTATTGTTTATTTATTGTGTTTACTGTGTATTCATTGTGTGTTTATCGTTTATTTATTGTGTTTACTGTGTATTGTTGTGTGTTTACTGTGTATTTATTGTGTTTATTGTGTATTTATTGTTTGTTTATTGCATATTTATTGTGTTTACTGTGTATATATTGTGTGTTTACTGTGTATTTATTGTTTGTTTGTTTATTGAATATTTATTATGTTTACTGTGTATAAATTGCGTGTTTACTGTGTATTTATTGTTTGTTTATTGTGTTTACTGTGAATTTATTGTGTATTTATAATGTATTTATTGTGTGTTTATAATGTATTTATTGTGTGTTTACTGTGAATTTATTGTGTGTTTATAATGTATTTATTGTGTGTTTACTGTGAATTTATTGTGTGTTTATAATGTATTTATTGTGTGTTTACTGTGAATTTATTGTGTGTTTATAATGTATTTATTGTGTGTTTACTGTGAATTTATTGTGTGTTTATAATGTATTTATTGTGTGTTTACTGTGAATTTATTGTGTGTTTATAATGTATTTATTGTGTGTTTACTGTGAATCTATTGTGTGTTTATAATGTATTTATTGTGTGTTTACTGTGAATTTATTGTGTGTTTATAATGTATTTATTGTGTGTTTACTGTGAATTTATTGTGTGTTTATAATGTATTTATTGTGTGTTTACTGTGAATTTATTGTGTGTTTATAATGTATTTATTGTGTGTTTACTGTGAATTTATTGTGTGTTTATAATGTATTTATTGTGTGTTTATAATGTATTTATTGTGTGTTTATAATGTATTTATTGTGTGTTTCTTAGATCACGGCTCTGAAGATCAAGTACAACCCGTTTGCTAAAGCCTTCCTGGATGCTAAGGAGAGGTAAATCAGACCATGCTGGAAGACAGAAGTTCAGGGGAAAAATTAGTCAGAACCTTAAGGTGGACTGGGTCAGAACCTTAAGGTGGACTGACTCATACTCTGAGTCACAAATAAAGATGTTTTCTGTTCAGACCTCTTCACAAAACTGACTCATTCTAATTCATGCCACTCTGAGCAGTCAGTTTCTTTGTCCAACTGGAACCAGGACCCAGGGTCCTTTAGTGGTCCTTTAAGCTCGTATTTCAGAAGCAGAACATCAGAACCTGGTTCTAGTTCTGAAGCCAGAAATGAGGATTCTCTGTAGAGTCTTTAACATCAGAACCTCTCTGTGTTGCTTTACTTTTGACCACATGGAGCTGGGTTCTGATTCTGAGTTAGATGTGAGTCCAACGCAAATCTCTGACATCTGATTGGTTCTCCTCAGGAACCCGACAGCTCGGAGTGTTCCAGACTCAGCAGAGAACCGGGTGGCCCTCCAGTCCTGTGAGTCTGACTGGACCCTTTGTATGAGTTTTATTGATCATTTTAACATTTTATTGCAGTTGTCTCTTAAAATACCAACAGGTTCACTTTTAGTAAAATACGTCTGACCTCTGTATTTTATAGATTTAATAGAAATCCCCCCCCCTCCTCATGGAGGGGGCCACCAGCTTGAACACTGCTGCTAACCATTTAAACATTCTCCCTCTCCTGATAATAACGTTTTACTTTCTTTGACATTGAATGTGCTACTACTAGTTTACCTGTTTAATCATAGATTCACTAGGATAAATACAATAAAGTTTATCTCTCACCAAATAGAATGTTTACTAAGAAATCACAATTTAACCATAGAAACACCACTTGGTTTCCTCTCCACTGTCGCTATATGCTTGCTTAGTATGAGGATTGCTGTTAAGACACTGACACTAGTCAGTGACTTGATGCAACCTGTTGCGTTCCTTATATAGGAAACTTTTACTGTTTGGCTTAATTATCTGACCTGTATTGGAATGTTTACTGTGTGAAGTGTCTTAAGACACGTCTTGTCATGATTGGGTGCTATATAAATAAACTTGAATTGAATTGAATTGGTAAACAGTGATGAAATGCACAGATATTTATTTTTATCTGTTAGAAACAGAATAAATGTAATAAATGAGGTAAAATTAATTTGATATTTAAATAGAATTAGAATAAAATGTTTTTGTTGTTTCTAATATAAAACAAAAATTTGATCCAAATTATTTTGTAGAGTTTGATTATTTACTAAATTATTTATAATTGAATGTAGTTTTTTTTATTACGTTATTGTTTTTCCTTTTTTGCTCAACCAGCAGGAAGATCAGGGAAATTAACACATTTATAATTTTTTTTTAAATGTAAACAGAATCTGCTGTATAACCTGGTTGTTTTGGGTTCTTTAGGTTCTGTTGATGTTCTGGTTTTCTTCAGGTTGGTCCCTGTGTTCTGCTGGAGGGGGCGGAGCCTTTCCTTACACTCCACTGGTGTCCCATCATCACCATGGTTACAAGCATCCCGGTTACCCAGGGAGACACACACCTTACCCCCCAACCTACCTGCCTCATCGCCCGCATTCTTCAGGTGAGACGATCCACTTCCTGTTTATGAGTTAATCAGCTGAAAATCTTAGAACTAAATTACATAAAGTGACATTAACAAGAAAATATTGTTTTTGTGTTAATAAATTTAAACAGATTTCTGTGAACAAAGAACGTTTAATCACACCCAGGATCAGTTTTAACTGTAGTGTTCCACAACTGACCAGGTCGGTTGGTTTGGAGGAATTTCTCCCTATGAAATCATCCTTTTAGATTTTACCGTGTTCTGATATTAAATTAAAAGAGTCTGAGAATGCAGGAGAACATTTCAGATTAAAATCTTTGTGTTAGTTTGTGTCTGAACTGTTTTAGTTGTTGAGGTCTGGTTGTTACTTCCTGTTTCCTGTGTCCCATCAGTCTGCTTGTCTGAAGGAGTTCAGGTTCTAACTGAAGGTTGGAGTAGCTCCTCTCCTCGTCCCACCTCCTCCCCTTCCTCCTCTCCCTCCTCCCTCTCTTTGACCAGCAGTGTTCCTTCATCACAGCCGCCTCCTCCTCCTCCTCCTCACAGCTCCAGGTAAGGCTCCTCATGTGGCCTTCTATAATAAACATGTTTCAGATGTAATTGTGTGTGTGTGTGTGTGTGTGTGTGTGTGTGTGTGTGTGTGTGTGTGTGTGTGTGTGTGTGTGTGTGTGTGTGTGTGTGTGTGTGTTTTCAGTCAATATCCCTGTCTGTGGACGGTCGGATGCTCTGAGCTAAGCCCCTCTCATTCACCGTGCGCCACTCTGCATGGACCAATCAGCAGTGAGAGCCTAATGCAGCCTCCTGGCCGAGTGGGCGGAGCTGCATGGGCACCTGGCCACACCCACGCTTTTTGAAGGAGGAAGTGATTTGGGTCTTACCTTTTTTTTTTTTTAGTCAAACAATACAAATGTTTACGGCATGAATTACAGATTCATCTTCGAGGGGTAGAAAGGCAGTGAAAACAAAAAATAACTAAAAAATAAAACAAAAAAATAAAAATAAAGAAAACATGAATTAAAGTGAGGGAATTAATCAAGGATTCCATAAAGTTCAAATAGAGAATGTAATTTCAGGGCATTGTTATTGTTCATCAAAAATAGAGATTTTTTTTACAACAGTTGAATTCATTTTTCCAACTGTTGATGTGGGATTTCATTTTGAGAAATTTGCATCTGTGGATGTAGTGTTTGCAGAGAGTGATCAGGTTGTTGACCAAAAAGTCCAGGTTTTTATCCTTCAGATTCAGATTCAGATCAGATTTCAGATTTATTGGCCAAGTAAAAGTACATTCACAAGGAATTTGTCTTCGGTAGATGTTCAGGTCTTCACCAGATCTTCAGGTGTACACCAACTTTAATACAAGTCCATTTCAAATGCTGTAAAGGAATTTGTTTGGTTAACATCCAGCTGCGAAAGAACAGCCAGAAATCAATGGCAAAATCACAACTAAAACAAATGTTTATGTTTATTTATGTGGCAGACGCTTTTATCCAAAGCGACTTACAATTTCATGGAGAGCAAATAATTCACACTTGTTCAAATTTATTTTAAGACCAGATGCTTTGGCAAATGTTTCTAAATAATGTACAACTTTTGGAATTTGTCTTTCATTCCGCAAGAATAAACACGTGTCGTCGGCAAACTGACTTATTACTAGCTTTTTATGCATAATATTTCAACCGTCAATCTCACTGTTTTTAATCCTAATTGCTAATAATTCAGCTACTAAGATAAATAGAAGAGGGGAGCTATTGCAACCTTGTCTAATGCCTCTGCAAACAGGGAATCTAGGGCAGGTACCATGTTCCAAAGACACACAACTGTTTATATCCTTATATAGCATATTAACTAACTTAATACATTTCTGACCAAAACCAAAATAATTTAAAGAACTCAATATGAAGGGATGCTCTACTGAATCAAACGCCTTGAAGAAGTCAAGGAAGAGAATGAATCCTTCTTCAAGCAGTATATGCGAATAATCTATCAGATCCCAAACCAGACGAATGTTGTTGTGAATAGATCTACCCCTTAAAAAAACAGATTGAGTTACATCAATAAGTTGCTATATACCATGTTTGAGTCTAGTTGCTATACAACCTGAAAGTAAGTTATAGTCAGTATTGAGAAGGGTAATCAGTCTTAAGTTGTCTAGAAGTCTTTTATGTTTATTATGTTTATTTATTTAGCAGACGCTTTTATCCAAAGCAACTTACAATTTATAACCTATAGGGCATGTTGTGATCGGTGGGGTAAACCGGAGTATCTTTATCTAGTATAGTTTATCTTTATTGTGTTTGGGAATTAGCGTTATTACACCATGTTTCATACTAGGCATTAATTCCTGTTTACAGATGCATTCTTGAATAGCTTTAAACAATAAGATTCAGATGTCTTTCCAAAAGAAGCAATAAAAAGTTGCAGTGAGCCAATTCGAGCCAGGGGACTTATTCAGAGGAATTTTCAAAAGGACCGCATCTAATTCTTCTATTATTAATTCTGCATCAAACATTGTTTTGAAAGATTCATTAATACAAGGTTTAAAATTGGTAATTTGGCTTAAATAGTTTGTTGAATCAGTTTGAGAGTATGCCGAGGAATATAAAGTGTTATGGAACGAGTGAACGTCTTTCTCAATCACTTTACTATCCCTGCATTCTTTACCATTAATTAGCAGACTTGTTATAGCTTTGCTTTCTTGTCTTTTTTTCTCCAATCTACTGAAATATGCAGAATTTTTTTCTTAATCCTCCATCCATTTTGCTCTTGACCTTATAAAGGAACCCTGTGCTCTCTTTAAATAGATATAATCAATTTTGGATTGTAAAAGCAATAACTTTTCTTTTTCTTGATTGGATAAAGCAGGTTTGCTGCAGTACTCATTGATTTCCTTAAACAAGTTACCTTCTTCTTCCCTATTTTTCTTATTTAGGGTTTTGCTGGTTTGAATAGAAAATTATCTTATTTTGAATTTAGGGAATTCCCATTTATTACAAAAACTATTTCTGCCAGTATCCTTTTCAATACTAGATATTATTTCTCTTATTTTGCAGCAGTATTCATTATGTTTTAGTAGGTCAGAGTAGAATTTCCAATAGGCTTTGTTTTTTTTAAGTGAGATTTGAATTAAAAGTTAGCTGAATTATACAGTGATCAGTTAAATGAGCCTAGGAAATTGATACATCTGATGAAAAAGTCTGTAGCGAATCAGCAATAAGCCAGTAATCAATCCTAGATTTAGCAGAATTATTTGGTTTGTGCCAGGTATATTGTTTTTCCCCTGGGTTCTGAGTTATCCAGATATCAATCAGGTTATTATCTCTGATAAAATCTTCAGTACTAGAATTAAAATGATGATTGTCAAATTTAGAAGTCCATCTATCTACCCATTCATCGTGCACCATATTCCAATCGCCTCCAAATATGATATAATCAGTGGGATGGAGAGCTCTAAGCTAATCTATTTCTAAAGTAATAATATTGAATGCATGGGCTGCATGGTGTCGCAGTTGTTAGCACTGTTGCCTCGCAGCACGAAGGTTGCAGGTTCGAAACTTGGCTGCAGCCTTTCTGCGTGGAGTTGCGTGTTCTCCCCATGCATGCGTGGGTTTCCTCCGGGTATTCCGGTTTCCCCATGGATCACAACATGCCCTATAGGTTATGAATTGTAAGTCGCTTTGGATAAAAGTGTCTGCCAAATAAATAAACATGAACATAAATATTGAACATTTGCCTGTTATGCACAACAGATTTGTGGCCATATATATTCACTAAAATCAAAAAATGGCTTTCAATCTAGAACTGCAGTTATCCAGTGGCCCTCTTTATCAGATTTATGTGTAATTACCTCACCTAGAAATCTATGGAAACATATAGCTACACCAGCAGATTTGCTGCTTCCATGGCTAAATAAAATCCGATCACCCCACATATTAGACCAGAAGTTTACATCTGCATCGGAAGAATGAGTCTCCTGTAGAAAAAAAACAATTTGCTTTCTGCCCTTTGCAAAACAAAAACAAGGATTTCCTCTTTACCGAGTCCTTAAGTCCCCTCACATTTAAAGATGCCAAAGAAATAGTGCAACTGAACATTCAGAACAATAAAAAATAAAACAAAACTAACAATGCAACTTGAGTGCTTAGAAGATAAAACTAACTTTTCTTCTTAATTAACCAGCAAGCAACAGTATTCCTTGGTACCTTAATTCACTCAAAATGTGCATTTTTAAAGTAGAGCCTTTTGGAGTTAGCCAATTTTCCAACCTTCTATGAATCCATGTGGTCCACGGTAGTAGGCACGCTTTCCTTCGCGACAAGCTTGCTCAATCTGCAGCCATGGCTTCTTCCTTGCCTCTCTATCCTCCAGTGGCATCATCTCTGCAAAGCGAACCCCTCTTTCTTTGCACAACGAAGAATCCTTGCTTTTTCACCAAATCTCCTCCTTGGTCCCTCTCCGTACAAACAGCACAACCAGTGGCCTGTTGCGGTTGCTCTCCTTTGTTCCGACTCTATGAACGACATCCACAGCGTCTTCCAGCTGGCGTAGCTCTAGGTTTGGAGGAATCTTTTTGAAGAGCTGCATGGTGTCGGCACGAACGTTTTCATCAGCTTTTTCCTCCATGCCTTTCAGCTTCAGGCACCACCGCATCTTGTATCTTTCTTGTTCTCTGACTCTTTGTTTGAGCTCTTCGTATTCCTTTTTCATAACTTGATTCTGTTTCTCTAATTCCAGAATTTTCTTCTTACAATCCTTCACTTCCTCAGCGTTATACTGCACCGCTTTTGATAGAAGCGCTAACATGCTAGTCGTTTGTTTGGCCTGTTCCTTTAATTCGTCAAAGTTTTTACCCATACCTTGAATAGCGTCTAGGATGGTCTGGTTAGAGATCTCCATTTCTCCTTTGCTTTTTTTTTTTTTTTTTTGCTGGCGGGAGGCTTTGTTGGCATCAGCGGGGCAGATCCAGTTTCTTTACGCTTGTTTAGCATAGCCATGCTATCCACCATAGCCGTGGTCACAGGCCTGCTCCGCCAGCGGTGGTTCCTCTTCAGTCGATATCACCTGGAAATTTGATTGCATCCTTCTTTCCACCAAGTAAAAGGAGTTTAACCGGCTTCAGAACATTATTTTGGCTCACTTTGAAATTCTGAGTGTGACTTTTAAAAGAAAATTTGGGACAAACTGTTGCAGCCTTCGTTTCGCGCTGCTGTTCAACAGGCCATCTTGCCGCTCCCTCCGATTTGGAATCCACTCATAAAAAAATCAGTTTACAAAATCACAGACAGACAAAGATGATGTCATTGCAGTTTTATTTTGTCCAAATAAAAACTCAAAGGTATAACATAAAGTCATTTACAGGTGAAATGTTTAATAACTAGTGGTTAGCATTTTTAAGAAATACAATTAATTGAATAAAGGCTTTTACATGTGCAAATGGAGCAAGGTGGAAATAGCATCATGAAAGGAAACACAAAACCGGGGCAGCAGTAGCTCAGGTGGTAGAGCGGGTTGCCTCATGATCGGAGGGTCATGGGTTCGATTCCAGCTCCCGCCAGGGGTATCCTGCTGTTGTGTCCTTGGGCAAGACACTTCACCCAACTTGCCTATGTTAGTGGTGGTCAGAGGGGCCGACGGCGCCAAATGGCAGCCTCGCCTCTGTCAGACCTCCCCAGGGCGGCTGTGGCTACAAGTAGCTTACCATCACTAGCAGTGTGTGAATGTGAGTGTGTGAAAGCGTCTTTGGGTGTCTTGAAAAGCGCTATATAAGTTCAATGCATTATTATTATTATTAAAACCGGAAGTTGCAGCAAATTAAAAGCATCAAAAACATTTCAAGGGTTTTGTTTCAGATTCAGAACCTTTAATCTTAGAATAAAATATAAAATACGTTTTCTTCTACAAGATCAAACAGCTGGATGAATCATTTGATTCAGGTTGATTTTATTTTTAGTTTGTAATGATGACTGATAGATCGGATCTGTTTTCTTTACCTGTAAATATTATTGTGAAATATGTTATTTAAACAAATTCTGTCTCAAAACGACTCTTCATTAAAACAATGAGTCTGTTTTTATATTGTTATAAAATAAAACTGTTCTAATGTTTAACTCTGTGGCGTAATGATGCTCTCTTTGCGGAAACGTGTCACTGTTCTAGTGCAGCTTCTGGTCCTGCTTGTTTGTTTCTGTTTGTCAAGAAAAAAAAAGTTTAAAAGGTTTAAGTAAAATGCAGAAATCTTGTTGATGGAACCTAAATAAACAATGTTAAATGTTTTATTGTTTTGAAATGCAATCGTTCTGGTCCGAGTTGTTTGTGACTCACGAATCTTGTAAAATTTTGTTAAGACTCAAATTTTTATCATCAAATAAAGATGCATAAGTCGCAGCTCTGGTTAAACTTTTTTACTAAGCTTCATTATTGGCAAACTGCTTGGACTTTGCAACAACTTACCTTTCATGCAAGCCTACGATTAATATATTAAAATATATAAATAAACAATTAAATGTATAAATATAATTTATACTTTATTTTCAAACTACTTTTATTATTGTCCCTTTTTTCTATTTTTCATGATTATCTGTCACTTGTGCTTTAGTGTCATATTATTCTCATTTCACTTTTATCTGTACAATGTTTTTCTACTTCTGTGTATTGGACTAAGAGTCCAGAATAAAGAATACTTGACTTAATATATCGCATTTTAGGTTTTTTTTTTTAAAAAAAAGGGTGATATCACGTGAAAAAATAATTCCTAAAATTATCAAATTAGTTGTCTAAACTATAATGTTAAACCCCGCGACCCTACATGGACAAGCGGGTTCAGACAATGGATGGATGGATAAAATGTTATACTTTTTTTTAATTAGTGAACATCAATCTCATTACATTGTAACAACAACCAAAACTCAACAAAAACAAAAAAAGAACAACTCAGTAGATAAACCAAAACCGTATAACTAGACCATTAGAAATATTCTAATCAGCAGAAACAACCGGATTTATAAGATTACCAAGACACGATAAATAAATAAATACAATATTAATATTAATACTACTAATAATAACAACACAATAATAATAAAATGTTAAACGACCTTGTACCTCAAAATCATCACATCCGAAGTAGGACAGTTTTATTTTGAAGGGCAGAAACTACACATCGTGACCTGGAAGTTGTTTTGTTCCTTGACGAAAATACTTCCTGTTTGGGGCTGAAGGAACGAAAGCTGGATGGATGTTTTCTGCTTAGATCCTATTTTAAAAGGTGCGTGTTTGTTTGTGTTTACTGAATAGATGCGCGTGTTTGTCTGTTTATAACAGGAAAAAGCCGCTTTTCCCGGCAAGTGAGTAGATTTAAAACAAGTAGTTTATTTTAATACCGCAACGATTCTCTTAAGTTTGTTTTAGCCTGTTTTTTTTTTAGCTATGATCATAACTAAATAATTTTTTGAAAAAAAAAATATTACTGATCTATTTGGTCACGTCTAGATAAGTAGATAAATGCTTTTGGGGGGTTGGGGGATTTTTCTTACTTACTTTTTGATTATTTTCCCACTTTTATTTTGAAATTTAACTGATGAAGTGTGCGCAGCTCGACTCAGATCAGCTTTAATAACATGAACTTATACCAGGTTGTTTGTTAACAGGTGCAAACTGTTCCTAAATCAGCTGATGGTCATGGCACATATCACCATCAACCAGTACCTGCAGCAGGTGACCTCTGACCTTTGGCCTTACTTACATAGTGTTTAGCAGGACTAAAGTCTTCTTTTCCCTCCTGCAGATCAACGAGGCCATCGACAACCATGACGGCTCCTTCTGTGCTGAGCTGCTGTCTTTCAAACACCCTCATGTTGCCAACCCTCGCCTCCAGGTGAGGCTCCACCCACTCAGGTATACAGTCAATGCTATTACATTAAACCTCACCAAAGTGTGTGTGTGTCTGTGTGTGTTCCAGTTGGCAAGTCCAGAGGAGAAGTGTCAGCAGCTCCTGGAGCCACCATATGATGAGATGGTTGCGGCTCATCTCAGGTGAGATTAATGAACATAGAAGATAAATTCCTCAGAACCCCAGATAACACACCTGTGTGTGTGTGTGTGTGTTTTCCAGGTGTACGTACGCTGTTGCCAATCATGACTTTGTTGAAGCCTACAAGTTCCAGACTCTCGTTGTTCAATATCCTTTAATATCTCATATAAAATCTTCAAAACTTCTCCCACTCATAATCAATCATGTCCTTGACCTTTGACCTCTAACGTCATTCCTTAGGGCCTTCCAGTCCCATAAAGAGGAGAACTGGTGTGTTGAGTGGGATGGCATTGTTGAAAAGCTGCCCGTGAACACAACATGACCGATGTGTTTGTGGTTTCAGGGCGCTGTCCGTCATGTACGCCGTCACTCTGGACCTTCGAATTTTCGCCAACAATGTGAGAAAATCCAGGACCAGATCCTGATGTCAGACCTGAATCTCATTTTCTCAGTTCAAGTGATAAAGTGATAATATAGAAATCTAATGGTACCTTATATAATGTTTATGTATGGGTTATTATTTGTTGTCAGTTATTCATTATATAGGTATAAACACCAAAAGTAATTCATTAAAATATAAAATTGTATCAAATCTGAGCTTCAGAACATAAATGGCCTGTATTTGAGACACATTAAATTAAAAATAGTTTTAAATCAGGTTGATAAGAAATGTGCTAAACCTGCAGTTATGTTTTCAAGATCCCGTTCTATGTGGATTTGGTTCTATGTTGAGCCGGTTCTTTGTGGACGTGCTTCTATGATGATCTAGTTCAATGTGGATTTGGTTATATGGTGATCTGGTTCTATCAGGATGTTGTTTTTATGTAGATATAGTTCTATGTGAATCTGGTTCTGTGTGGATCTGGTTCTATAATGTTATGGTTCTATATAGATCTATATGTGGAGCTGGTTCAATAAGGATTTTCTTCTATGTGGATCTGGTTCTATCATGCGTCTGTGACAGTGTGTGTGTCCTGTCACTGTGACCCGATTGATCATGCGCCCTGGCTACTTGGACAAGAGGGATCTCCGTTTGGCTGACTGGTTAGCATGCATGACTTTCACCCGGGAGTCTGGGGACTGAATCCCGATTGGACCATTTTTTGGACCATCTGCCACAGATCTCTCTGAAGAATTCACAACATTGACGGCTTCAGCAACGCTGTGCCACTCCGTGGATTTTCTCTTATGTATTTTGCAAAAGCACTTCCTTTCATTTCTCCACCTCACCCACAAGTACCTCAATTTCTGCTTCTGTGAAATTGCGCTTCCTTGATCTGCCTTGATCTACGGTCACCATGTCATTGGCGGAGCGCTGCAACAGCCAGCTTATGTATATGCATGAGATCCACAAGGCACTTTGCATTGACTATTTATGGCAGTAAGTGGGCGTGGTGAGGGCGGGATGTGACTAAAAAGCCGCTGAGAAACATTCTAGACAGTTTCTGGTTTATGAAGCGGAGATTGCATACAGCTGTGCGTACTCCATGTTTGATAGATCACAAACCTGCTTGGCGTAAGTACTTTATTTTTGCTGGTTCTGTTCAGGCAGAGCAGCAGCTGCAGAAGAAGGGTAAAGGTCAACCAAGTGAGATGTTGGAGAAAGCTGCCGAACAGCTGATGAGCTGCTTCAGAGTGTGTGCCAGCGACAAGTCAGTACACACACACACGCACGCACGCACGCACACACACACAATCACTAACCATAATGCTGTGTGTGTGTTGATGTTCTGGTTCTGACTCATCTTAGTCGTGCCGGGATCGATGAGTCTAAGAAGTGGGGGATGATGTTTCTGAGCAACCAGCTATTCAAGATCTACTTCAAGGTATGATCCTGTTCTTTAGAGTCCTTCAGGTTCTGGTTCTGGTTCTGATCCATGGTCTTGGTGTTCCAGATCAACAAGCTACACCTCTGTAAACCTCTGATCCGGGCCATCGACAGCTCCAACCTGAAGACCGAATACAGTCTAGCCCAGCAGGTCACCTACAAGTACTATGTGGGCCGCAAGGCCATGTTCGATAGCGACTTCAAAACGGGTCAGTCCAGTACCGGGTCCAAAACTACAGAACCATAGAAACCACAAGCATAACCAGATGTTTCCTCCACAGCTGAGGAGCTCCTTTCCTTTGCCTTCCGATACTGTCTCCCGTCCAGTCAGAAGAACAAGAGGATGATCCTGATCTACCTGCTGCCTGTCAAGATGCTGCTGGTCAGAACCGGTTTAATCCAGTCTAAATCTACAGGTTCTGACTGGTCTGGTGTAGGATCAGGTCCAGTAAGACTGGTGTATTTTGGTTGAAGGTCTAGTTAAACATGGTCATGGCTCAGGTTTGGATCAGACCCAGTAGGACCAGTAGAAGATTTGGGTCTATAAACTAGATCTTTAGTTGAATCCACTTCCTGTTTACAATCCAGTGCAGAACGGTTCCTGTTTGCTTTGAATGAAGCCCGGTTCTTTAAATCCAGCTGAACAGGACTGGTTCCCAGAACTCCCAGTTTGACTCAAAGCTGTTACTGGTCTTTCAGGGTCACATGCCAACCCATCAGCTCCTCAGGAAGTATGACCTCATGCATTTTGCTGACGTCACCAAAGCTGTGAGGTATGTAAAGAGGTAGATAAACAGGAACAGGAAGTGACCTCACACATGTCATGTGACCTGAGGTGTTTTCCAGCGAGGGGAACCTGCTGCTGCTGAACGAGGCTTTATCCAAACATGAGACCTTCTTCATCCGCTGTGGGATCTTCCTCATCCTGGAGAAGCTGAAGATCATCACCTATAGGAACCTCTTCAAGAAAGTGTGAGTCACCAAAACCAACTTCCTGTTGGAGGAAACTGGCTCCATTTGACCTTTGACCCTCTATAGATACCTGCTGTTGAAGACCCATCAGCTTCCGCTGGACGCCTTCCTGGTGGCTCTTAAGTTGATGCAGGTGGAGGATGTGGACATCGACGAGGTTCAGTGCATCCTGGCCAACCTCATCTACATGGTGAGCAGTCGGACACAAAGCCCGGTCCTGGAGGTCCAGGTGGTCCACCTGCTGGTCCAGAGTCTGATTCTTGTGTCTTTGTGTCTCCTATCAGGGTCATATCAAAGGTTACATCTCCCATCAGCACCAGAAGCTGGTGGTCAGTAAACAGAACCCGTTCCCTCCTCTGTCCTCTGTCTCTTAGACGACGTTACCCACAATCCCCTGGGCCTTGTTATTGTAGTCTCCTTTTGGTTTTGTATTAAAACTTTTGTTAAAGAAAACATTTTGTGCTTTTCCTGACTAATTCTGGTCTTTGAGTCTGTTTTTTTTTTTGGTTTCAATCAGAACTGAAACCAGAGTTTAAAGTATTTATTTATAAATCAGAACATTTTATTTCACAGTTTAACAACACACAAAAAAACACAACTTAAGACTGTCTGACGTCCCTGTAGGGGTGGTGAGACATGTGGGCGGGGCTTTAGTGGTCCTCAGGGTACTGGCTGATTTGGGGGGTCATGTGATCCTCTGCTATCTGCAGCCTCGGTCTGATCCAGCTCAGGTACCGAGACACCTTGGAGAACACCTGACCATCACAACCTCTGGATGATGTCATCAGCAGCCCAGTCAGGAATGCCGTTCCTTTCTCCACTGTAGCAACTGGCGACCCTGGCAACAAGCCATCACATAGCCTGCTGACCTCTGACCTCGACCAGACAGTACCATGCGACGGCTCGTCAGGACTTTTTGAAGTGCTGTTGAAGGGTTCTGCTCTAGTTGGAGTTCTGTCATGAGTCAGGTTCTGGATCCTGTTCTGTGTGTGTTCCTCAGGCCTTCTCGGGGCTCGATGGTTCCACAAAAGCCTGTTTATTTTAAAGGTGTTGTTCTGATTTGCTGATGGTTCTGTTTCATTCTGGGACAGAACCTTCTGAGGTCTGTTGGGGTTCTCTGAAGGTTCTTGTGGACCCATCATACAGAACATCTTATTGCTCAGTGGATGTGAGACTATCAGCGTTCTGCGACAGTCATCCAGAGTCATGTAGACCAGGTCCCTGTTCTGGCCACGCCTTCTGTCCATGACACCTGTCCTCCCAGAGTTCATCAGGATGTTTTCGCTGAAATCCTTGGTGGGCAAGCAGAGTTGAATGAGGGTGGGGCTAAATGTCAGGGGCGTGGTCAGCTCAAGGAGGGTGAGGTCATAGTCATTGTGACCGGAACGGAATCGGTCATGTAGGTACAGAGCTCTCACCGGGATGGGCTTCCTGTTGCCTAGGAGACAATGCATAAGCTAAGTAACTATTTTGTTATCTGTCTCCACACGGGGCCGGGTGTGGTAAACGTCTAATACCTGTAGTCACATAGAAGTGTGAAGGTTGGAGGTCAGATCCTGTGTTGAGGAACAGGCAGGAGGCGGTGGTCAGGATGGACCGCTGCCCCAACACCACCCCCCCACAGAGCTTCGTCCCTCTGTTGTTTATCACGGTCACCTGCATACGCAAAACAAACCAACCTATAGCCCTATTTATCATTCCTTTATTGTTACCTCTGATTGACCTGGAGCATTGTACCTGCCATGGGCAGTTTCCATGGCGACAGGCTGAAGCACTGGCATCAGAAAGCCTTCCACAGGGAAACTCCACTGTGGACAAATAGAGGTGGTTACTCCAGAGGTTTCTGAGACCTGCTCTGGTAAACATGGTGTCAATGTGATGTCAAACCTTCAGGTAGACAGCTTCGCCCATCGCTCTGTAGTTTGAATCCTGATATGCATGAGCAGGTGAAGGAGCCGTAATCCGCTGTGCACAGCTGGTGACAAGCTTTTGGACCTTTGGTTGGACACTTGGACATTTCTGAGACAGGAGAAAGTGTTAGAAGGACCTATGGGGTACAAACAGCTCCTGGCTCTGAGGATCCCTGAACACACCATGATGCCTAATCTTATAGGCCCCGCTTTTCCACTCAGCAGTGGGTTGGGTCAAACCTGGAGTGTGGGGTTTGTCCGGTGATGTTTTCCCTCCCAACTTTGGTGCTCCCAGTTCACAGATGGACCCATAGCTGGGGGCGGGGCAGGAGCAGGAGAACCCACCCACCTTATCGGTGCAGTTCCCCCCATTGAGGCAGGGGTTGGGTCTACACTGGTCCCCGTCTGAGATTCAAGAACAACAAGAAAAGAGTAAGAGAATTATGGATGAAAACATGGTGAGGTCAATCTGGTGTCAAACATCAAGTCAGTCATTAAAGTGTTTGTTATTTCAATAAAACTGCTGTGGTCTCTTAGCCTGGCAAACCATCCTACTTACGTTAATGAGTAAAATGCCACGAGTCATTGAACAGCCTAGTCATGGCGCGGAATCTATGACTGTCTTTTAAACTGATCTGCATGAAACTGTATAGTGCCAGGACCAATTGGAGCAATGGATATTCATGACATATTCACCTCTACAGATGTTGGTGAGTGGTGCAGGCCACCATGTACGATCAGAGAAGAATCAAGTCCATCCTTTTTCAAAATAAAGGACTTAAGCACCTCTATCTGCTCATGATTCAAAGAAAAGTCTTAATTGTCCAAAGTTGATGCAAAAGCCCTTTCAAATAAGCACTGTTCTGTAGCTGCCATCTTTGTAGGTTTTCTCTGTTGCAGCTCTAGCTTTAAGCTGACAAATGTAGAGGTGCTGCAACTGCAAGTCACACAACTCCTCAGTCCAATGGTAAACCTGTTAAGGTTACAATGGAGTGTGCCTAGACTGACGTGCATGGCAAAATAATTTTGTTACTGATTCGGTTGGTCTAGGTTATTGGTCTTTAGTATGAATGAAAGCTTTGTGAGTCGCTTTCTGATGAAGAAAAGTTCTGATGCTCATGTTTCAGGAAGTAGAAGTTAATCAGAGAATGGGATGGGAAACGACGGTATTTGGAGGCTTTCTTGCTGTTATTCATGACCTTTTTGATCAGCTTGCCTCTGATTGGCTAACAGCAACGTAACTTTTCTGTTGCTCTTCTTTCTTGGGTAAAAATTGGAACATTGATGATTTATCTCCTCAAACAACACACGCTTGAAGGAGTTCTGCCATGTTGTGGAGCTGCTAATGCTAACGGTTAGCTTCTGGAAGCCACTGCGTTTGCCCCGACACTAAATCAACACAGATTTGTTTAGAGCCATGATGGGTGAGAATGCAAATTGTCCAGTGTGACGTAGATGTGTGTGGCTTTTTCCCGACTTGTGTGTTTCCTCCTTTATTTCATTTCATCGGCTATCGAAGGAAGAAGGAGAAGACTATTTTCACATTCAGCCTGCATGTGAAATTCAGATTCATCAAGTCAGTTCGACTGAATTTCTGTGTAACTTCTAAAGATTTGTTTTATATTGAATATAAAAAAAGATTCATACTGACAAACTTTTTCATGTTTGAAGATAAAAACTCACCGACATAAACAGTCCAGAAGGCCACCTGCAGAAAATCAGACATTAAGAATCAGACTTTTTATATGTTCTCTGGAGTTGTCTCAGGTTTTAAACCTACTGTCTGGACGTGGTCTTCAAAGACCTCTCGTGCCTCCTCAAAATTACACCGCTCCTCCAGGCACTCCCTCTCCAGGTTCCCTTGGAGGATCTCCTCCACCAGGAACTGGTTGGCTCGCTTGGGCCTTAGGAATACCTTGTGAGCCTTAGGAGCCTGACGGAAGACTGCTAACACAAGAACCAGGAGAAGGTGGAACCTCCATTAGGAACAGAACCTCAGGGTAAGATTACACAGGCTTGTGTGACCGTCATCCACCATCTGAGACGATCGGTACAGCTAGGGTTGAAAGGTTAAAAGGCTCTGCTATGTTCTGGCAGTTTATTCAGAAACTGATTCTCAAATCTTTAGTTGATGATTATTCCACGCACATTGAAATGGAACAAAAATCAAATGTGTTTCTAAATGAAAATTTAAAAAAGTTTGTTTCTAGTTTGAAACATCAGAAGTCAGAGGTCAAGCTCTTACCTTCAGACTGGCTGAACACCTGAAGGAAACATCCGAGGAGAGCGAGTGTGAGCAGAGACGCTGACATGATGCTAACCACGACCTCACTGATCGCAGATCGCACTGCTGTGTGTGTGTGTGTGTGTGTGTGTGTGTGTGTGTGTGTGTGTGTGTGTGTGTGTGTGTGTGTGTGTGCGTGTTGGTGACACAGCCATTTAAGCAAACAGCAGGTCAACCAGCTGATTAAAGACTAGATAATAACCATTCTTGAAGCTCTACCAACACCAGATTGGTTCCATTTAGACATTTTTATTTTAATTCTGATAGAAGAAACTTGTTTTTATAAACACATCTGTTTCAGACTTTTGTCTTTAAACAGATGAATGAAACGAACATTGGTTCCAGGAGTGGACTCTGTCCTCTCAGCTCTCCAAAACAAGCAGCAGCTTCGACCTCTGGTACATTGTCTTTGTTTATTTCAGGTAAACTTGGAGGAACATCAATAAATAAACATCTGAGTCAGACGAGCAAAATCCTTCTTCATCTGCTCTTACTTCAATCCACAACAGCAACACTAAAACAGTCCAAATCATTCAATCCATCTTTGTTTTTATCATTTAATTATTTTATTTCATATTATTATTAATATCATTTTTATGAAAATCTGCTGCTGATGTCTGCAAATTTAAACATCTGTTTTCTAACAAAGGTTGTTTAAACAGCTATGTTCCCAAAACTTACTAAACTTTACTAAACTGATTTGGGATTCTCTTTACTGCTTTCGGATTGTAATTATTTGGTCTATGTGTGTGGGCTACATCTACCACCTTTCCACCCGAGACCGGCTTCATCTGACCCGAAATTTATTACACAGAAAATTTAAAGGCTCAGTCAAAAAAGAAAGAATCATTTTTAATTTGAAGACAGGGGAAAAAAAACTAATTTATTCCATAAGAAATTTGTTTATTTTGATCAAATTAATTAAATAACTTTACAAAAAACTCAACGTAAAAAGAAACATCAGAATTTTGCTTTTATTTCTCTCTGTTTCAGAGTCAACTCAAACATTCAACTTTGCCACTAAAATAAAAATACATGAAAACATTTTTAGACTTTTAAATGTTTTAGAAAGTTTGTCTGTTGCTGAAACACAAAGCCGAGAACATCAGAGAACAACAAAAAGTACTAAAGTAAAGTTTCTGCTGGACACATTTATTTAGTTTTACAAGATGATAATATTCTAGGTCTTTATGCTGCTTCATACAAACAAATAAAACATTGATATGGCCGAGCTAAGAGTCCTGAGGAACTCCATTAGCTCCAACTTCCCAAGCTAATAGTAGTAACTGTTTATAATCTGTTAGATTAGACCGACTTCAGCTGTTAAAGGTACAGCCTCTTGATACGCCCCTGTTGTCTCCTCTGCCGGCCGCCGCTGTTCTTGTTTGACATCATTCGTTCGATGCCGTCATGGATCCAGTTGATGTACTTGGACACCTGCGTGTAGACACCGTATTTGCCTTTACGCGCGCAACCTTCGCCCCAGCTTACAATCCCAGTGATGAAGTAGGTGCCACTGTAGCGCGTGACATGTGGCCCGCCGCTGTCGCCCTGACATGCGTCCTTAGCAACTGTGTCGTAGCCGGCGCAGAACATGCGTGATGTGATGCGTAGGCTGGTTGATTCCATACAGGTTTGTCGATCCACGTAAGGTACGGAGAGGCGCTGGAGAATGGTGGACGCCTGCCGACCTTCACCTAGACGTCCAAAACCGCTGACCAGACCATCCATCTGCTTCATCAACACCTGCAACCATGTTCATTAGGCCTGCTGAAGATTCTTTCACAGGTAGGTTATTAATACAGATGAGATCGAACTTCTTCTTTACATGTTCATGGAAAATATTCGGTTTTACACCTGAATGATCGACCTCGATGTTCTAAACATCTAACATCATTCCTAAAGTGATTCTGAATTTTAAACTTGAGTGGAACTGATCAGCGATGAACTGTGTTTTATAAACGAAGGAAAACTTCACTTATGCTTTAATTACATTTGCAGTGGTCTCTAGCAGGAATAAATACCATGCAAGTCATTCTCTGGTGGAATAAAGCTAGAGGAGAGACTCTGATTTCTTCTGATTGGCTAACAGGTATGTGACTACCACTGACTCCATTTGCTAATTTATCTTCACATAAAACACAGGCCTGGAGGAGTTCTGCTGTGTGGTGGCAATGCTAATGCTAACAGTTAGCTTCTACTACTTAAGACGTTCTCTGCTGTTTCCTGGACTAAACCAACAACAGCCTTCCTGTCGTGAGTCAAGATGGGTGAGTCCATGAATGTTTAGTAACAGAATGACGTAGAGCTTCAAGGAATTTCTAATCCTAGAGTTTCACTGTCTATTTTCTATCTGAAGCTAAGGCATGAGATTGGTGTAGGAGACTATTTTCATGTTCAGCCTGCATGGAAACCTCAGAGTAATTGATTATAATCAGAAATAATTACATTTTCAGTAACGATGACCTTTAAAGGCATGTTCCATCATTTTTCAACCATATTTTGAAGGAGAGCAGTCTCAAAGTGAGAACAGGAGCTAGGAGAGATTTCAGACAGAGGAGCAAAGTTTATCCACGAAACAACTCAAATATTTAAATTAAAAACAAACATTCACCTTCTCAGCAAAGTCGGGCTTTGGGAGGCAGGCTGGCAAGATGTACCTGGAGAACTTAATGGGTGTGGCCAGTTTAATGAGAGCTATGTCATTATGGTAGGTGGCGGGTCTGTAGTGTATGTGGCTAATGATGGTGTCCACCTGGTGTAGGGCTTCATTTCCATGGTCCACCAAGGTGTCAAACTCACCTGGAGACCCAGAAAGAACAAGGGACATTGTAAATTGACTGTAAACTAAACTACAAAGCTGGGCTATTGCTATTGGAGGTTAAATGATTTGTAAAATGCTTTGACTTGGTTTGGACCTACCAAGTCTGACAGACAGGTGAAATGATTGGTTCATACAATGGGCGGCAGTTAGGATGATGTATTCATTAAGGATTGTTCCTCCACAGAACCCTTGGTTGTCTTCATTCAGGAGGAGAGCCTAAGAAGAAGAAATCTGATAAAGTCATAAAACCACAGGTCAGCACTTAAGGCTCTGGGGTCTCATTTATCAAACATTGCGTAGAATCCTTACTAACATGGAGTAATTTTTTTTGGGGGGGGGGGACAGGGGGTACATGTCCCCCCCACTTTTTCCAAAGTCGAGTTTTGACCCCTGCACTTTTTACCATTCAAAGACAATATCACCGGTACACTATATTGAATTGACGCTGGTTGAGCTCTAGGACCAAGCAGAAAACAACCGTTTTAGTTGAAGCCTGTTTCCCATTAGAACATACGAACGTAGAACATGTAAAGATACACCCCCACCCCCGTGTCCCCCCCACTTCTAAATTGAAAATTACGTCCATGCTTACTAAAATGCACAAAGCAGTACAAGTGACAATACTGCAGGATTTAATAATTTTATCCTTCTTAGCAGCAGCACTGCAGGTGCTCTCCATGTCCAACATGTGTGTAAGCCAGATCCTTAGTCAACTTAAAGTTGCGCACATTTTTCTACTAAGTTTTCTTTTATAAATCCCAAAGTTTGCGTGGAAAGTTGCTTACGCAGTTTTCTGACCCCGTTTTGTGCGTAAGCAAGCTCGATAAATGAGATCCCTGATCTAGAACCCGTGAGGTCCTGGATTACCTGCCATGGACATTCTCCTGGTGGACAGTCCTCTCCGTTGACAATCCGCATGTGCGTTGCCCTTTGAGGGAGAATCTCTTTTTCAAAAACGGTCTCCTGGACCCGAGTCTGACCACTGGTGTTGCTTGGTGAAAACAGGTCAGTACTGTTGGGGACCACCTGGACCAACTGATTATCTATGGAGTTTCCATGTGTGACGTTCTTCTCTGTAGTGTTCTCTCGCTCGTATCTGAACAGTGTCCGGGTAGAACCAGAGATGATGGCGCCACACTTAAAAGGTTCTGAAAGAGATTGAAAAAGGAAGCAGGGTTGATATGTTGCAATGTTTATCCTAAACGTCATTCCCAGAGTCTTGCTTTGGTTTTTTGGACAAACTTGACATTTTGGAAGACCTGAGTTTCTCTTACCATTGGAGTGGCAGGACTTGTCATCTGATGCCAGAAAGTATCCATCTGCACAGGAGCAACGGATGTTTCCTCCGTCAACTCTACAAAAGTGGTCACAGCCACCATTTTTGCTCTCACAGAGCAAAGGAATGACTGCAAAGATACAAAACCAGCATCAGGACTGGATTTACTCACCTCCTATAGAAGCACAGCTACTCCAGTTACCCACAAACTAAATGTTCTTTAAACCTAAACAATTAAAAAAAATAAAATGTCTCTGACTTGTGTTTCAGACTGCAGGAGTCGAACCCTGCTGGTCATTAGTCATTCACATTGATTTCTGTCCTGAGTTTGATCCAAAGCTAGAACCAGTGGAAACATCTTTTACAACATGGAGCATCAAAACTCTGAATTTCCAGGAATCCTCATGTTTTTAAATCAGATCACTTTACTAAACTCAGAACCACCACCTGGCCTCAACAAAGGCCTCCCAAAACAGAAGAAACCTCCAGGAACAAGCTGGACACCAGGGGTGGGTTCATCCATCCATTTGTGCATTTCTTGATCGTACTCGAGGGTTCAGATGAACCAGAAAATCCAGAGCCTTTCAGTTCAGCTGCTTCTCTCGCTGTTAAAATTAGGTTCTGACCTGTTGATCCATTTCTCCTCCATCCAACCATCACTCACAAACCAAAACTCCTTCTTTGGAGGCAGAGATTACTCCCAACCCAGAGGAGCAGAGTCATAACCATTCATTTAAACTTGGAGAATCTGAGTCAACAGACTAATTTTAAAAAGCTGAGCGTCCAGTATGGGTCTGGTTTTTGTACCGATTTCACAGTTGAAGCCCTTGTATCCCTCTGGACAGTAGCAGGAGTAGCTTCCTATCCCATCTTTGCATTGTCCTCCATGAGCACATGGGGCTGAGTGGCAGGCATCTCCATCTGCAGGAAGATCAGGACTACTTCAGTCAGGCATTTTCTCCTGATGGTTTAAATGAACTGTTTCAATCAGATCGTGTTCTAGGAGATCTCTCACCGACATAAACAGCCCAGAACTCATTCTGAAAAGACACAAACAGAACATGAAATCCAGATGTTTTAGTCAGAAGAGGAGGTATGACCCTGAGTTCATTTTTTGATTTATGGTTGTTCAGCGTTGGTGATTAAAAACTCACTGTTTTCTCAACATTTTCAAAGATCTCCCTCGCCTCCTCAAAGCTACAGCGCTCCTCATTGCACTCTCTCTCCTGGTTTCCCTGTTTTACCTCCTCCAGAAAGCTATTGGCCCGCCTGTGCCGGGTCAGAACCTCGCTGGCCTTCTGGCTGTTCAGGAAAACTGTTGATGGAAAAGGGCTCATGTAAGAATTCTGGTTTGGTTTGTTCCCTGCTGAAGACATAAGCTGGTGTTGGACTTCCAGGATTTCAGGGTTGTTTTTCTTCTAGTTGGTACCAACTTTTCAGAGGTGGTTCTCAAGCAGATCATCTCAAAGGTTCAGGAGAAATTCAACAGTTTATCAAAAAATATAAAAAAATTAAACACAGCAAGAAAACTAGTCAGAGCAAAAAAAAAAAAACATTACACTATATCATCCACAATGACCCTCATCATAAGGTCAAAGGTCACCTTCTGCCAATCAACAGCCCCCATCCCTCCACCCTCTGCTGAATCCACCCTTTCATGTTTCTTCTTGTTTTCTGTTAGAGCCCCCCAAAACACACACACACACACACACACACACACACACACACACACACACACACACACACACACACACACACACAATTATACGTACCATGAGCAGCAGCAGAGTGAAGCAGCAGGAGGACCAGGGACGGTCTCAGACACCAGAACATGGTCCCAGCTGGATGTGAGCTCGGCTAGAGAATCCTCTGTAAGTTGAGGTGAAGCAATAAATGTGAGGAGGCGAGGGGGAGGCCGTGAGGCCAACGACCTGAGCTGGGGGAGGAAGGTTTGGGTCTGGGCGGGCTTTATCCCTCACATCTGGCATCTATCACAGCTGTAGGACTAACTCCAACTCCCACAGTTCTTTGCTTCAGGAAAGCTCTAGACTGGACACTTAGGAAGCCTTAAAAGTCATGCATTTATTTTGGTAAACCTACAAACTTAATAGTGGAAATTTACCAGGTATGAAGCTTCTGTTCGTGATTTATTTTATAGGTCAGTTACCAAAAAATCTTTATAGCACATCTAAACCAGCCTCTCCATTATCTACTGGTTTTATTTCCTGTCTCTGTTTTCTGGTCCATAAACATGATTATAAAGTTGTTTGCATAAAATCATTCTCACAATGTAATCTCTGCAGCTTAAAGAAGAAATCTGGATTTTTTTTATCAGAGGGCACCAACGAGAGGGGGGGGGGGGAATTATATTGCAATACAAATCTTTTAATAATAATATTAATAATAATGCATTGAACTCATATAGCGCTTTTCTAGACACCCAAAGATGCTTTCACGTACTCTCACATTCACGCACTGCTAGTGATGGTAAGCTACTTGTAGCCACAGCCGCCCTGGGGAGGTCTGACAGAGGCGAGGCTGCCATTTGGCGCCGTCGGCCCCTCTGACCACCACTAACACAGGCAAGTTGGGTGAAGTGTCTTGCCCAAGGACACAACAGCAGGATACCCCTGGCGGGAGCTGGAATCGAACCCATGACCCTCCGATCAGGAGGCCACCCGCTCTATCACCTGAGCTACTGCTGCCCCAGCAGTTATGGGTTTCTAAAAAAATGGGGGGGGGGGGGGGGGGCTCCAAACGGTTACCTTAATCCTTGACATTTGAGATATCTTCCAGCCATTTCAGGGCTCTGTCACTTTAAGAAAAATAAGCTGTTTCTGGCCACACCCACCAATCCCTGACTCAGGCTGCTATAAGCTGAGAAGCTCAGATAATTGGGTGGGGGTCAAACTCAAATTCACAATGGTCCAAAATGAAAAGCCGGGATGAAGCTCAATAGTAGAACTTATACAAATGTGCACATTTTCCTTCATAACCAGATATGTATTTTTGAACCTTTTCATCTGGAAACCAACTTGCTTTTGCATAAACACTGAATCTGCAACTAGAAACAAAACATACATTAGTGGTTTCCAATACTTGTTATGTCTCAGGTTTTTTCTTATTCATTCCTTAAAATGTGTATTTATTCTGTATTTTAGAATTTTTTTTACTTTTGCATATTTTGAGTCTTAAGTATTTATGTTTTCTTGTTATTTACTCTTTAATCTTGTTTTACTCTCCTTTTTGCTTCTGTAATGAATGTTATTGCCGCTGTGACACCAAACTTCCCTCAAAGGGACAATAATGGGATCTATTTCTATTATATCTGTAGCCTTTCAAGGTCAATGAAAATCCAATATCTCAGCTACTAAAATCCATGCCTTCAAGCCAGATACCTGAAATCTCATCATAGAATATTTGGGGTGAGGCTATGAGCTGTGAGCACATAGGTATGTGCTGCTGAACATGGAGAGCATTTGAGCAGCTGGAGCATGGAGTTGGGTGTCAGGAAAGAGAGATAACTGTGCAGCAGCCACAGAGTCAGACTCTGAGTGTGTCACCCCACTGGAGTTTAATCAGCTCCGTCTGGAGGTTGGTTGGTGCACTTTCCACTCCAGCTGTGAACAGATTACTGAGCAGTTAGAATCTCAATTTCTGGGCTTCAAAGTCAGCAAATCGCTGTGTAAGAGGAGTATTTTCAGTTTTTCTGAGGAGGGTAATGCTGCAGATGCAGAGACTGGTAGCACGGATGCTAGTGACTGTAAACAGAAAAAGAGTGGGTGCTTTGGACTGTCACACTAATGCAGCAGAGCACTATGGGATTTGTAGTCGTTGCAGCAAATGAGCCGTTGGGCTAGTTCTAATACATATCTGATATATGTGGGCTAAATATAAATATACCACAGGATTTTGGATAGAATTTTATGTTTATTGATTTTATTCTGATCTTTTTTTTTACATATTTTTTTCTTTGAATGGAATAAAGAATGAAAAAAAAAACACCGGTGCCAACTAGCTAACTAGCTACCTAGCTGCTGGGGCGACAGGAAACAAATGGAGAGGAATAGCTAAGTCCGATGGGTTCTGGAAGCTCATGTAGAGGGTTTTTTTCAGGATTATTGGTGGTACTAAGCTTCGGTCATTTTCAAGCTTAAAATAATGCTCGCAGTTTATTGTAAAAAAAGCAACATTGGTGCCAGCAAGCTAATTAGTTAGTTAGCTACATCATTTCGTTTTATTAGTTAATTTAATGGCTGCATCACCTTCAGCTGTCAACAAGTTCACACAATTCATCTCCAAACACTTTATCATCAACATATTACCTTCTTTTTACTCCTTTTCGGTGTGAAGGTCCATTAAAGGTCTTGTCATTCCCTGAATTTAAATGGCAAAGCTGGTTCACTGAAGACAAAGACAATACATTTTTACCGCCAATTTTAACCCAATATGCTGGGTCATATTGTTTGACCCAATGGTGGGTTAAACTGACCCAACCAGATGATTTTTAGCACCAACCCAGCAGTTGGGTTGGCCAAAAACCCAACTGTTTTTACTGTGGTTGGAAGAACGACTCAGCCACCTGGTTCTGATCATTTCTCATCTGGACTTTAATGATTAAACTTGTACAGATCAAGAGGACTCGGTTCATCTCCTAGACTGGTGTTTGCTCCAACAGCAGCTGCATCTTCAGGGTGGGCCAGTTCTTCGTGGTGGTCTCCACCCAGTCCAAGAACTTAGCCACATTTGTGTACACCCCATAATACCCTGGGCGTGAGCAGCCACGCCCCCAGCCGACCACGCCCGTCAAGAAGTGCGTGGAGCCATACTGCGTCACCAGCGGGCTACCGTCGTCACCGCGGCAGCTCTCCTGCTGACCCTCCAGATATCCAGCACACAGCATGTTGGACGTAAAGTTAAACTGGGCCCTCTGGGAGCACTGGGAGTTCTGGAGGATAGGGACCTCCATTCTACGGAGAACCGGAGAGATGTGAGCGCCTAATGTGGGCTTGACGTTTCCCCCGGAGGTTCTTCTGCCCCATCCAGACACAGTGTGGTACCGAAGCAGCAGGAGCTCCCGCTCAGAGAAGTCTTTGGTGGGAAGGCAGATGGGAAGGGCGAATCTGTTCACCGACACGGGTTGGTTCAACCGCAGCAGAGCGATGTCGCTGTCTCCGGTCTTCAGGTTGTAGCTGTGATGAGGAATCACCATGGAAACGGGAATCTTCTGCTCCATGCTGTCTTCCACTTCCAGGTTATATTCACCTGGTTTGTTGCAAAAAATGATAAAACATGTTTTCAAAAGACTATTTTGAAAAAGTTTTTAAGTGAGATCAAGTCCCAGTTAGTTTGGAAAAGAAAACCAGTGTTCGCCACATTTACCCACTGAATTAACTAGACTAACAACAAGTTATGAGAAACCTTTAAAAAAATAAAAACAAACATATGCATCTCCAACTGAGTGTTATACCTGCCACCACCGTCAGGTTCTGGGTGTTGTTGCCATGGAGACAGTGGGCAGCTGTGATGACCCAGTCTTGGTGGATCAGAACTCCTCCACAGTGACTTTCTCCATTTAACTGGATCAGAACCTTTGTTAGAACATGGATGAGAACATGGATCTGTTAGAAGCACCACCCTGACTTGTCCCGGTCTGGTTCTGGATGCACCTGTAGGGGGCGCTAGCAGCAGGTGACAGGGGCACCAGGTGAGCTGTTACCTGCCAGGGACACTCTCCTTTGGGGCAGTGAGAAGCTCCCACCATTCGGGTGTGGACCACAGCGCTCTGGTTGAGTCCGTTTTGTTCCGGGACGAGCTGACCACATGGAAACTGGACTGGAGCAGAACCAACAGAACATCAGAGATGGGTCTCTTGATTACAGACAAACTTATCAGCTGGTCTTCACTACATGATGTAGAGAAGGTGTGTTTGGATGTTCATCACCTCTGGCGATGCACTGTCGACCATCATCCCCCAGCTGGTACCCTTCAGCACACGAACACCTCCGTCTGCCTCCAGAACCATCACAGAACTGCTGACAGAGTCCGTTCTGATAGACACACCCGAGGGAATCCTCAAACACTGAAGTCAACACATCTTTATTAATTACTGGTGCTTTAGAATTTAAACCTTTATTATTGATTGGTTTGAAATGTTATTAACAATTTCTTCATGGATCCTTTTTTTACAGTTTTGTTTAAATTATTTATGTTTTAAACTAACCGTGAAATGATTTAATAAAGAAGTAAGTTTAGTAAAGTCAGTGATCGGTTCACATCACTGTTATTACCCATCTGACAGTGTCGTCCCTCAAATCCTTCTGGACACAGACACTCATAAGACTTGTCCACAGAGAGACACGTCCCGTTGTTCTTACAGGGGTTCACCTGGCAGGGGTCACGACCTGGAAGCAGACTACTCTTTAGAGTCATTCAGTTCGTTCAGGAATCAAGTCTGAGATCCCAAAAGGGTCAAAGAACTGGAGAAAACTGCAGGCGTGACAGATTCACCGATGAACCAGAATGGAATGTGGTTCTGTTAGCCGTCAGAAGTTCTCGGATCTGACCCAAACACGAACGGATAAAGCTTCTGTTCTACACATCTGGCTGTGTGTAAATTTCCTGTTCATGGGAAATAAAACTTAAAATAATAAGGAATTTTATTTTACGCTTCAAGATACAAACTACAAGATGGTTTGCAAGCATAATTAAAAATAATAATAAAAGATGAGGTCACACAAAAGCCAGCCTGAACAGGTGAGTCTTCAGCTGCTTTTTAAAGGAGACCACTGAGTCCACTGATCTCAGGCTCAGGGGAAGAGAGGTCCAGAGTCTGGGGGCCACAGCAGCAAATGATCTGTCACCTTTGGTTTTTAGCCTGGTGCTGCACAACCAGTATATTACCTGTTATTTGAAGACAACAGAATAAATCCTGTTCTCACCTTCATACTGCTCCCAGAACACCCTCTGAAAAAATAAAACACATATTTACAGTATACTGGATTATAGTATTTATCTTTTTGATACAGGAAAATAACAAAGCTGTTGTAGACAGCTCAGAATCAGCCTCAGTTTGGAGAATGTAGTATTTAGAACTTCATCCACTAACGAACTAGTCTGACCAGACATAAACCAAACATGTTAAATCAAATCCAAACATGTTTATGTTTATGTTTATTCATTTAGCAGACGCTTTTATCCAAAGCAACCTACAATTGATAACCTGCTATAGGGCATGTTGTGATCTGTGGGGGAAACCGGAGTACCCGGAGGAAACCCACGCATGCATGGGGAGAACACGCAACTCCACGCAGAAAGGCCGCAGCCGAGCTGAGTTTCGAACTTGCAACCTTCGTGCTGCGAGGCAACAGTGCTAACCACTGCGCCACCATGCAGCCAAAACATCTGGTTATTTAGCAAAGCTTTACATTGTTTAGCATCTCTTTATTAAACTTCTATGATTCTGAGATATTAGGTGGTTTGAGATGCCATGAATTAATTTTGGGTATGGACCCAGTTAGACCAGCCTTAATAGCTCAGTGTTGGGTGCAGCGGACCGTTTTGTCATCGTTTTCAAAGACTTCTCGAGCCTCTTCGTAGTTGCAGATCTCCTCGATGCATTCCCTCTCCAGGTTCCCCTGCTTGAGTTCCTCCAGGAACCCGCTGTTTGCTCTGCGCCATCTCCTCAGAACTGAGTCCGCTTCCTGCTTTTTTACAAACACTAAAGAGGAAACAGCTGTCAGAGGTGGGTAGAGCAGCCAGAGTAGTACTTAATTATATTTTAACTCAAAGAGAAGTCAAAAGTTCTCAAGTAAGAGTAAAATATATTTGGTAAAAAACCTACAGAAGTACTGAGTAACTGATTCAATTTGTTACAATTATTTAATCAGATTGATAAATTTATATTCATATTTCTGCCGCATTTCTGGTTAAAACCTGCTGGATCTTCATTCAGTCAAGTAACTTGTGGTGATAGAGTAACTACCGACTTTACTCAAGTAAGAGTAAAAATACCCCCCAACATGTAAAAGTAACAAGTACAATTCAGTAAAACTACAAATATTATATATTTTTTAATATTTGCACCCTTTGTAGCATCTCAGTCAACATTTAACTGAATGTTTGTAATTTACTGAGCTCTACAAAATAACTTTTGCAGGAATATTCTGGGATGTTTGTAATCAAAGTCAGTGATGTCAAGCAGAGTTTATGAAGGAAAAAAAATCTGGAGATTCTAAATGTCTGACCTGGATATCTAAAACTCCTGGCGACTGTGGGAAATGATCTGAATTTGACATAAGGCCTTCTAGAGTCCTAGGACCTCCAAGGCACTTCACAACACAGTCATTTGCACACACACACACACACACACACACAGAGGTGAGGCTGCCGAGCACAAGCCACACCGGTCCCTCCAACCACCACCAGGCAAAGAGGTAGCTGCCTTGCCAAAGGACACAAAAACAGCGACAGACTGAGTCGTGCTCGAACCTGCAACCTTCCTATTACAGGGTGGACACTTAACTCCTCTGCCACCAGTGCCACCAACAAGCAAAGATGTAAGCAACATTTCTACAAAGGAAACATTTGGCTAGTTTTGTTTACTGGTCAAGAACACACGGATATGAAACATAAAACGTTTTGGAGCATCTGACCTGCAGCAGCAGCAAAACCCAAAAGCAGACTCAGGCAGCAGATCCTCAACAGCGTGGTCATAATGTTCAGAGTCAGAGACACACAGAACTGGAATCAGAATCAGGAGGAACGTGGATTTTTAGTCCCCACCTCCTGTAAACAAACCTCTGAAGAACTTTGCTCACGTCCTCTCCCAGTGTTCGTGTGGATGTCCCCAGGTCCAGTGGTGGTTCTAAACTGGCCTGTGTGTGAGGAGTCATGTGATGGGCTGGTTACCTGACCAGGTGTAGCTAAGTGCTCTCTCTCTCTCTCTCTCTCTCTCTATATATATATATATATATATATGTTTATGTGCTTAGCAGACGCTAAAGCGACTTACAGTTTTTTTTTTAACCTATAGGGCATGTTGTGATCTGTGGGGGAAACCGGAGAAAACCCACGCATGCATGGGGAGAACACGCAACTCCACGCAGAAAGGCCGCAGCCGAGTTTCGAACCTGCAACCTTCGTGTTGCGAGGCAACAGTGCTAACCACTGCGCCACCATGCAGCCATGTGGACAGATTTAAACAGGAACAGGACTAAAGGGTCTGCTGCTATGTCTAACCTGACTACTAGATGTCACTGTTTGTCACGCTGGACGTTTCTAAACGTTTCTAAATTATGTTGCTGGTTCACCGAAAACTTTGCAATCGCAAAAACTGGATTTCATATGCTACACTTTGTGCTTTGGTGCATTTTAATAAAATATCCAGTAAAGCACCCGGTACCGAAATAGTCACTTCCATACAAATACCTGCATGTGAGAAATGATTTACTGCAGCAGAACAAGAGAAAACAAAGCTCTTCATTCTTTGGTTTCTTTTTTAAGAGATTACCAGGATAAGACTGAAACTCAGACCATACGTTTTTTTGAACATAGCTTTTATTTAATTAGTGTTTCTGTCATTATTGTCAGTTTTTCTTTGCTGTAAAACGTCCTTATTCAGTTACGGTAACTTAGTCTAAGGGATGCCAGCTTCCCTC